ATCCAGCATTAGTCATCCATCTCTAATCAGAGAACCGCTTCGTGATTGAAATAGCATTTGTTTTTATCCGTTCCGGTTTTCTCAATGAGTTGGTCAAAATGTCTCATCAGTTATGTTCGTCATAGTACCGTAAAAGCGTATGGCACATTTTCGGAATGAGGTCTAAAAAGCTCGTAGAACGGTACATATCGACTGGCGTATTCATCATTGCACGAACTATTACCATTGGCGTGGAATATAATTTCCTTTGAGATGTTGTTTCTCGGACTGCCGCAAAACGTTGTGAATCTGAAATCCTTATAGACAATGGATCATCCACATGGTCATCAAATTTCCTTTCCGAATCATATTGTAAAGCTTGAGGTCAGCTTATAATAATTCGCATATAGCTGGAAATTTGTGTGAATGTTTGGAGCAAAATTATAACTGAAAGCGGAAAGTCTCCATCGATCCCACTTCTGAAATAAAAAATATTCACGAACAAATATCACAAATACATTTTTTTGTTATTTAATTTTACCATAAAAACAGGTCAGACATAAATTGTATATTACACACATTTCCTTAAGAATCGCCATTTCCGAGATGTAGCGATTCAAAAAGTTGAAAACGTTGTGTTCTCTATATGACAAGTTAAAAAGTTGAACAAAAGTAGAGAATTGAGCAATTGAGAATTTGATTGGGATTCTCACAGTGCCAGCGGCGGATTTAAGAGAAAGGATCTGTAAAAAACCTTAAGAAATCAAAAACAAACCGACAAGATGTCAATTTGCTGCCTAGATAGTTCCTAGTTTGCTCGCTGTGAGAGCCCATCTATGGAGGAATGACATAACGACATGACACGCTCAGTGACCACGTTGCATGCTTTGTTGGTTGCAGAATGGCGAGACAGTCTGTGGAATATACTCAGAGACGATGTATAGCAAGGCCGCAGGAGGATGATGGTGTGTATTGGTATTGGTGATCTCAAGTAAGTGTATTTGAGACGAGAAATCAATGGAATTATCATTAACACAGATTATTAGTACACAGATCCTCACTATGCACTGCCGTTTCCTTCCGGCCATAGCATACAACATAGATAGATAGATAGATAGATAGATGCTTTATTGTCTTCGGATCATAGAAATGATATAAGACTCGTCAGGCATATCTCTATGAGCACATTATTATCTACAAAAATTAAAAATATAGTTAAGTATAAATACATAAATTTGTCGGTTAAAAATGGAAAAAAACACAGTTTAGTCGAGAAAACAACAGATACAATAATAATAAACAGATTAAGGTGTAAAAGAAGTAAGTACAATAAAAATAGAAAAAAAATAATAGGTACGCATATACGAGTAAATATATACACATACATAATACATATATATATATATATATACATATAGTCAACGCCAAACAAAGTGGCGTGCACGTCATCAAGGTGGGTGTGTTGAAAAATTTACATTGTTGCCAAACTTTTTGTAAAATAATAAAATTTATTATTTACATATCTAGGTTTATAAGCAATATTAACCTCAAATGAGAACAAAAATAATAGTATAATAAAATTATAGATCTGTACTTGCATAATCATTAAGTATGACAATTATTGATCAGATGACACTATGAAACTACCATATTTAATTGATAGCTTAAAGGTACTGAATAAAAATCCAAATGGGGTCCTCCAAATTTTATGCATGGTATTTATTTTACAGAATTCATACAGAAAAATGCATTCTAAAATTAGGTAAGCTACTGGTGTAAGCTTTTTCTGTACAATAAAGTTAGTCGGAGTTTCTTTCTTCAGCGCTGTCTGAATCTGAATCTTCATCACTCTCAAAGTTGATTATTAAAGGTTCGATGTCTGGTCGATCAAAAATTCGTTCTCTTTCATACCATTTAAAAATTTCTTGCTCAGTATGTCGAACACTATTTTTCCACATGTCTGGGGTAACCGTTTGTAGAGCCTCGTTCCACATATCCAAACAGTCTTTTTCACTGTTACCATCTCTACCAATATGTCTGCTATAGTAACCTTTTGCTATGCCCCAAATTAACTCAATAGGGTTAAATATATATATATAAATCACGTATATTTTAGGTGGTTTGTTTCTAAAAAAGCAGTTATTTTAAGAATAGGAATGAACAAAAGAAATATAAACTGTCGACCAAAATATATATAATTAAGAAGCATTATGTACCGAGCAACAATACTCAATAGCTCTGTTTTAAACATTGTGTTTAAAAATGGTATGTTTTGATTTGTCAACCAGTCTTGGATATTTTTTTTTGTCCATGCATTGTTGGGCACTTTGTTCAATATCATGCTGTGATAAGGGGCGTTATCCAGTATAATCATAGATGGACTCTCCAATTTTTCTAATAACTGATGTTGAAACCATTTCAAAAAATTGTCCTGGTTCATCTCTCCATGGTAATCGCTCAATTTTGTTTTCGAAGAAAATATCGCTTCACTACCCTCAATAAACCCATTTTCATTTCCAGCATGTAATATAATGTATCTAAAATATATTAGTTTTAAATTTTATAGTGCAAATTGTGTAAAAGTACATACCTTTTACCATCTGTTTTAATAGCTTTCACGCTTTTTTGGTTTCCATTTTGCCAAGAGCGACCTATGGTCCCATTTTGAAATATCCAAGTTTCATCGAGGAAGACAAACTGGTATAAGGCCTCAACCTTGGCTTGATTGTATTGGCTTAGAAATTCCACCCTTTTCAAAGCTATACTTGGTAGTTCCATGAGCCCTCGTCGCGCATTGTCCTTAAGCCACTTAAATCCAATATCTCTAAGCAACCGCCTTAAAGACGTGGCACTACCATCAAATAATGCCCTATCTCTTAATCGAGACCATAAAGTTTGTATCGTAACTTGTTCTTCTGAAACCATGTGTAATATGACATTATAATTTAGTTAACAAATTAATGCAAATTTCTGATAAGTTATTATAATAAGATCTTACTTTTGTGATACATATTATAGATCACTTCTCGAATGGCACTTGTATCCAATATCGCTGTGTTGGTTACACGTTTAATATAACTCCGCTTTTTCTTGGGCGATTCTAAATTTGCATCACTTTTCACAGCCTCGGAAATACGACTAACTGTCCTTAAACTAATTTTTAAAGCAGCAGCAACACGCTACAAAAAATGAAATAAAATTTCACTATTATTAATATACATTACATATAATTATTAGTAACCTACCTCTTGAACAGCATTTAAAGGCAACAAAGGCCCGTTGTTGTCCCTTTCTTGCTCAAAGTAGTGCATTAACGAGGCCACGAGTTCCTTACACCGACTATTTAACTGTTTGGGCACCTTTATATACCAAAATTGCCTTTATCTACTCGTAAAATGAATAATTTTGTTTTGAAACAAACAGTTGTTGATTTACAGTATGCGGGGCCAAAGGATTTATAAAGATTTGTAATGCCACAAATTGATTCAGTGTCAAAATTAATACAAATGTCAGTTCCCAGTTTAAATAAGTTTCAAGGTGACAATGTGTCAACGCTGCGAAATCGGTTTAGTGCGTTTACATGTCGATAAGTGATTGGAGCGTTTGCAAAACATTTTATTTCGCATAATGCGTATAAATTTATCAGAAAGCAACTTATGTGATATTTTAATAACAATGTTTATATGACTATTAACCATAATAAGAGAGTAATGACCATTTTACAATTTATATATCACATTAATATGAAACTGCAATAGAGCAATTGTTTGTGATAGAAACCTAGGCATTAGGTCGGGGAATTTTTATAGTGATGACGTGCACGCCACTTTGTTTGGCGTTGACTATATATACACATACATATATATAGACACACATACATATACATATACACACATATATATATATATATATATATACAGCCATAGTTGCCTATTTAATTTTTTGGTGCATCACTCTTACCCTGAAAGAAACTCGGTTACTGAGTAGTAGCATCTTTCTATTAACAGACTCCTCAGCTCTTTCTTGAACCTATTTGAGCATCTAATATCTTTTAGTATTGATGGCAACTTATTGAATACCTTGGTGCAGCTTAGACGTCAAATAATGTCATCTGTGAAGCAGATGTTACATCACATGATGACGTTTAGGCAACACGTACAGCTACGGAACGAGTACACTACTAGTGCTAACTTGACATCTTGTGGAAAAGCCTACATAATGCCTCAAAAAAACTATATAATGTCAACGAAAATCGACATGTCACTTTCCAAGATACATAATTCCCCTGCCGGCCATCAGTTTTGTAAGGGCCTAGGGCGGGTTTTTCAATTGTCACAAGGGTATACATTTTCAGAAGCGCTGTTAGGCATGTCCCCACCCCGTTCTTCAAATACTTCTTAAACTCTTGAATTCAGACTTCTATAATTCAAAGTTGCCACCTCATAATGCCTAAATTCTACTGATTTTTGCCTCAAGAAGCGGAATGCGTTACGAACAGAAATTGTTTGTAGTAGTGTCAAAACTAAGGTTCCTCGACGTCATATCCCAAATCGGGCTTAAATTTTGAGTGAATTGAAAGGTTTAAGCACTGTCGCTCCCCCATTTTTATACTATAGGGTGGTCCATAAGTCCTTTGAAATTCCAAATTTGAATAAAATTTAACGGGTGAGCGTGAGCGGCGCGGGCGGGGTGGGCGCAGTATCTTCAGTGTCTGGGAATTCAGTCGCCATGGAGTGTTTCACTGGAGCGGATCGTGCTTTTTGTGTGCGCGCGTTTTATCAAAATAATGATTCGGCAACCATTGCGCGGCGTAAATATCGAGAATACCACAATTTACACAATTTTACAAAGAGTCCAACAGCTCAAACGATTAAGAACTGGGTTGCTAAGTTCGAAGAGACTGGTTCGACGTTAGATAAACAGCGGTGGGGTCGACCAAGGACAACTCGTATTGAAGAAAACATCAACATTGTGGCACAGTCTGTTCGTCAAAATCCTACCCAGTCTACTCGTAAGCGTTCCAGTGCACTAAACGTACCCAGAACATCTTTACAGCGGATGTTAAGGAAAGATTTACGTCTGCACGCTTACAAAATTCAGTTAGTGCAGGAATTAAAAGATAATGACGCTATTCAGAGACTAAACTTTGCGAATGAAATGTTGAATCGATTTTCTTCGCTCAATAATGTGTTGTTCTCGGACGAGGCTCACTTCCATTTAAACGGACATGTAAATAAACAAAATTGCCGTTATTGGAGCCCCGAAAATCCAAGGCGTAAGCATCAGAAGCCCTTACACAGCCCTAAAGTTACAGTTTGGGCTGCTATGTCAGCGCATGTCATCGTAGGCCCTTATTTTTTTGAGGACGACAGAGGTCGCGCATTAACTGTTACTTCGGAGCGGTATGTAGCAATGATAGAAGAGTTTTTGACACCAGCGTTGCAGAATTTTACAGGCTATAATACGCAGACCTGGTTTCAACAGGACGGAGCAACTGCCCACACCTCCAACACTTCTATGCCCGTCGTCTGTCAACTTTTTCCCAGCAAAGTAATTTCTCGAAGAGGAGACATTTCCTGGCCACCACGTAGTCCAGATTTGACCCCAATGGACTTCTTTTTATGGGGCTACCTCAAGAGTAAAGTGTACGACACCACTCCGCGATCAGTTGATGTCCTGAAAGAAAATATCCGAAGAGAAATGGCAAGCATTACAGTGTTGACGCGCAGTCATCGACAATTTTAGACATCGTTTATATGAGTGCCGTGATCGTTATGGATTGCATTTAGACGATGTGATTTTTAAAATATAATTCCCATTCAATAAAGATGATAACAAAATATAATAATTCTTCATAATGTAACTAGTTTGGTTTTTTTCTTTTTTTCCAGCTCAAAGGACTTATGTATAAAAGAATCGTGTCTAAAAAAATGACAGACGGAAAAATAGAAACTTAATATAATTTCAATTACGAAGTGTTTGGTCCATACTCATCTATATCTATCAGTGCATTTCGTTCGTCCGAGATGGCAAAATATACATTTAGTTTTTGAAAATTGCGTGAACTTAAGAAATCTTGTTTTCCAAACAGAAAAGGTTCTTTGTTATGATACGTGAATGCGTGGAAGCCAATATGGCGTTTATTTGACAATATTTGTGTAAGTTTTAGTGCGTTTAAGCCACCACGGTGATCTTTTCCAAAGTACCTTTTCCAAAATCAAGATATGTGGTTTTATTTATTGGCCAGCAGATTGATATAAAAGTCTGTTCAAATTCTGTTCAAATCACTTTCTAAGCTAATGTAATGATTGTTTTATTTTGAGACTGTGAACTGATGTAGTTCCATAGTTTATATGTTTTTTTTTTGAGACTGGCTAAGAGAATGTAGTTATGCAATGAATATTTTTTGTGTTTTTCGCATGGTTAAGAATTTTATTTTTATTTACATTCAGTTTTATACTTTATAGAAGTCGTAACATATTTGTTATTGTTATTTTTTTCATGAAATGGTATGTATTTTCTACAGAAATGACTGTAACAAATTCATATGTCTGCATATATCCATGCTTTTAATGTTAAATCATTATAAAACTTCAGTACGTCACACTGAGAATATACTTTCCATTTTACCCCTTCCAGACTGAAATTCTGGGAGCGCCACTGGGTTTAAATGTATATATTTCGAAAAGGGTGAATCATAGCGATATTTTTTTAGGCAAACATGATTGCACAATGCATATTCTCAATAAAAAAATTAAATTATACCAAGCGTAAAAAATAACGAAGTTTAAAAAACAGAGAATGTTGCTGGTGGCATTTTTTTAAATACCCTCATATGCCTAATCTAGTTAAAAACGAAGAATAAACGCTATTTTTTTTCCAAAATACAATAAGTTTATCATGCTGTATCTTGGTTGCCTTTGACTTTCGGGCCAAGAAAATTCAGCTTAGTCTCAATTTTTATTTGAAAGGAATCTGCTGTTAAATGATTTACCATTACTTATGCGATACCCTGAATAGATGTAATTGCTGACTGAGCTAATCAAAGAGGTATGATGAGTTACCAATACATCAATCAGCATAGGATAGCTGAGAATACTAGGGAGAGATTGAAACAACATTGCAGCAATTCTTTCCGATTCAATCGACGTTATTGTAACAAATTCATTGCAGTTACAAATGGCGGTGTCTGATACTGAACTGATACTACGCCACTGCAAATCACTGTAATCACAGACCGCCATAAGAAAATTAAATATTCACGAGTTCGAGATGACCGTTGCAATAAGCGAAAAGTACCGTTTCGACCAGACCGAGTGTCATCGCATATCATGCGTCCACGCCCCATACGGAATATTTGGGTCGTATTACATTTTTCCTTTCAACAATAAAATAATCGAAATAGTTTTTTGAAACAACTGCAAGCAGGCTAGAAGGATAATGGCGCGTCCCGATAAACGCCGTATACCTACTCTTGAATAGTGTGAGATCACTGGGGGTCAGGTCTGGCGAATATGGTGGATCATCTACCAATTCAGAGCCTACTTGATGTAGGGTAGGGTAGGCATGGCTAGAAGCATTATCCTGATGAAACAGTGAGCCACTTGTCAACTTTCCCCAATGTTTGAGATCAACTTTACATAAGAGGTCGCTGCGTAGTACTATTGATCCGTTTTGTAACACATCATGCAATTTTTTTAAGTTTTGGCCTATCGCTTACTGGGGCACCTCCGTATTGTTGATTTTCACAAGATCTCATGATGTTTTTGTGGGATATTATGACATGTACATTGGTGCCACTAATTTTGGAGTTATGACTTTCCCTCATTTGAGTTTGATCAGGCTGTCTGCCCTGAGTTGGAATGGGCAAGGATTCTTGCAAATCTATCTCGAAATCTGAAGATGAATTTTCTTGCACTGCTTTGTGAGATGATGTTGAAGGAGCTGCTATTTTCTGAGAGACTTTTTTGTATTTCCCTGAGGATCGAGTCAGTTTTACCATATATTCAGTCTTACACCCAGAAGAAAAGAATGTTTTCAACTTGATTTTTTTGCAATGAGGTAGTCTTACACCAAGAATGAAACGATAACACTTCGCGACAGAATGAAATGATCGATGTCTGGTTGTGACACCTCATTCCAAGCAACCTGAACTTCGTGGATCAGAGTCTGTGACGGATGGTGCAAAGTAGATAATCTCCTCCCCATCATATCCCTCACATGTTCGATGGGATTTAAATCCGGTGAACGGGGTGGCTACGGCCAGACATTAACGCCCGCTTGTTGAAGAAAGTCCGCAGAACGACGAGCAATAGGAGAACGTGCTGAAAAAGGACGTGTGGATGGCCCTCTAGATTCAGCAGTAAAGTTATTATTATTATTATTATTATTATTAAACAACAAATTTGAGTTGAGTACAAGTACTATAAACTCAAACACAAAAATAGATAATAGTGTACAGACAAAAGAAATATAACAATTTGACAATCTTAGCACTTCTGAAGTAGACATATACAGAATGGGAACAATATGTTAAGCACTGCGGTGTCTATCGTAATTGTTTTTGAAACTGTTGACGGATTCCGAGTTCACTACATAAGATGGAAGACTGTTCCATGCATCGAAGACACGGTTTGAGATGAAGCGCTGACGAGTAGAGGTTCTAAAAGCTTTCTTCTGCAATTTGAAGTTATGGCCTCTGAGACTGTTCGTTGCCAGACGAAACAGATGCGACATGTCCACACCAAACAAATTATGCAGTGCTCTGAAAGTGATGATGAGATCTCCTCGTACTCTTCTATCAGCAAAAGCAGGCAGGTTATATAGCTCGAGGCGGTCTTCATAACTTGGCCTACGTGTGCCATATGCCATACGTGTAGCACGACGCTGAACGGCCTCTAATAAGCTGCTATCGCGAACAAGGTTTGAATCCCATACCGGACCAGCAAACTCCAGTAGGGGTCGTACGAAAGTTGTGTACAAAAAGGAGGAGGTACTAACGGTGCAACCGCTAAATGACATTTCCATCATATATAGCAACCGCTTTGCCTTAGAGGTTATGTTCTGAATGTGCTCCGACCAGGTGAGCCGGCCATTAACTGTCAGACCAAGATCTGTGTGATGAAGAACAGTCTCTAAGGTATGTTTGGCAATCTTATATGTTAAGTTAGGATTATTCTTTCCCAGGTGGAGAACGTAGCATTTCGATAGATTTAAAGGCAGGAGCCAGAGTTCTGACCACTTTCTGATCAGCTTGAGGTCTTCTTGAAGCACAGATGAGTTCATGACAGTGTTATAGACTTTAGTATCATCTGCATAGATGGAACACATAGAATAAAGTCGGGTGGGAAGGTCGCTTGTATAAAGAAGAAAAAGTATTGGCCCTAGCACAGATCCTTGTGGAACTCCACTAGTAACACGATGACTAGAAGAATAGGCGTCTCCAACACGGACGGAGAAAGATCTGTCTAACAAAAAAGCTTCAATCCATAACAACAAATTTCCCATGATTCCGAGATGTTCAAGCTTGTGCAGGAGCCTTTAATGCGGAACTCGATCGAAAGCTCTGGAAAAATCCAGAAAAACCACGTCGACCGGTTCATTTGCGTCTAAAGATCTGGTCCAATTGTCAATGCAGTGTAACATGTTGGTGATAATTGATCTACCAGGAATAAAACCATGTTGGTTGCTAGGCAGCAGGTTGTTCTTGAACGCAAATGTCATAAGTTGTTCCTGGACGATCTTTTCGGCTATTTTCGCAGCTATAGGCACAAGACTGATAGGACGGTAGTTTTTCGCAGATGTTGTTTGTAGGACGCGCACCAGTCATATTGCCTTAAGCAAAGAGAAGAGATGATCGGTTACCATAGACAGTAGCCCCCCAAACCATTATTCCAACAATCCTGTGTACATTGCTCGCAACAGCAAATCCTATATCACGCCGTTCTCCACTGCGGCGGCGGCCTCTTACCCTTCCACGACCATCGAAAGGATGCACCCTAATACTGCATAGGCAGACGGATCGAGCAGTCTTTGAAAAGGTGGTATAAAGTAAACGTCTTATAAAAAAATCTATAATGAAATCACATGAAACCCTGGTTATTGATCTGATTGTGTCAAGAATAACAAGCAGGCAAATGGACAGACCGAACATATAGTAGTTACGTCTGACAAAGAAAAGCATTACAGACTGAACCTATACACCTTAGGAAAAACCATTGTTATACATGGGAAATCATTTCTTGGCAACAGCGCATCGGCTCGTCTACTTTCATCGCTATTCGTACATATTTCCTACCGTTAACCGCAGACCTGTATCACGAATGAGAATAATAGGCAGATACGCTGTGTTGCCAATTTGAGTAGAGCTTTCCGAATTGTGGGGAATTTAGAGTTAAGTGTTGATTCATTCAAGCTTTTAATCAGCATGGCCTAGACGTTAGAACTTCATAAAGATAACATTGAAGCTGAATGCTGCTGGAGTATAGTGTTTCGAATATTCAAAGCGGAGCGGGACACTTTTCAACAAAGAAATTATTTTACGAAAATGCGTTATATTTTTACGATTTTTACGATCTCTGTTTCTCAAAATGTACGTCTATTGTAGAATTTTCAGCAAACTAAGCAAGAAACGTAATCTAGTATTTACTCAACATTACGGATTTCTCGAAATACATTAAAAAATGTGACCTAGATACCTAACTGCCCCAAGCTCTTTAAATATAACACCTTAAACCAGGGTTACCAGGTGCTCAGTCACGTTGATTGTCATGTTGTACTGCGCAAGTCAGCAAACAATCTGGCGTAATAAACGTTAGGAATCATCAGGTATTGCCAGATTCCCGAATACCGGGCACCATAGTAACCGTTATAGTTGTCCTTCAAAGTTGTCAAATCGCCCCTATGGCGCAAATTCGCCACACCAGGCAACTGTGCTATAAACAAACCCTGTTTATCACTACTATTAGATAGTCATATGGTAGTTGTAGCCCTATCTAGCGGTCCATGATTTCTCTCAATACTGTTGTATCTCTACTGGCAACAAGAATAGGGATTACAAAATCATTTATACAACAATATATAAACATGAAAAATATGATTTGAACCATGAAACATTAATACAATTTTAAAGTTTGAACTTTTTTCATTTTTGGAATACTCTTATGTGGAATCCGCAGCTATTTTTCCCGAAATTTGGGTAGACTTAGATTTCTTAGAAATATGACATATTGGTATCGGCAACTCTGCGAATGGGAGAAACAAATCGCATTTGTTGAGCGCATCCGTCTAAGCGGTAGGCGCCAGCGCCCGTTCTGCCATCTCTCTCTTTTATCACTCTTCTACTTTACCCCGTTGTCCGTCACACTCCGACGCTGCCACATAGCATCCTACAATCGAGTGTCTTTCACGCACCTACATACTTTTGTATATTTCCATCTCTCTTCCTCATCATAATGTATAATAATGTGTTTTCCCAAGGTGTATATATATATATATATATATATATATATATAATGAATAGTAACGATCGCAATTTACTCCCCTGTGTCAGCTCTACTGATATATTTTGAACGCTTGTCATAATATTTCCAGTTTCATTTTTATTTTTATTTGAAAATGAACGAAATGCCATTTTGAAGTCTAGAAATATCATTAAAGTACATTCTTTCTCATCTATACTTCTCCAGTCTTCCTCCACCATTTGGATATTTTTTTCCAAGTCCAGTTTGAGATTGTGTCAAAATTTTGTTTTCTTCAATGGATTCAAAGACTTGACATTATATTATACCTTCGAACAGCTTCTCGACATCTGGCTCGACATTAATCTGCCGCTTATTTGTATATACAAATATATAGCTCAGAGTGTTGAACTTTTGGAACATAACACTTTAATTTTGATGGGAATTCACCGTGCACTAAACAATGATTCGCCAATTCTCTCCAATTATACTGAAGCAATCATTTAAGATCCTTTTTGAGAGATTCTCGCTAGGATTTTTATTGTACTTTATAGTCTTCCGAGGACTGGCATTGACTTGGGTTTCAAAACGGACTCCCGGATGGATTAAAAGGTATGTTAAATTATGTGATATCGGTTAAATTCAAACAATAATCCAAAGGTGTGCGTGAACCCACATGCACATAATGGCAAAGTACAGTTAGGTAAAGGTCAACGCTCAGATAAGTTGTTGGCGATACAACTTGCGAGCAGGTGGTCAGCATTTTTCTGAATTATGCTGATTTGGTACTGCCTCAATAGACTCCATTCTTTCAATCATAAACGCATATTTATGTATCCCAGAGCCAGGCTAGGTTAAGTCCGTTTTTGTCAAAATTGAGTTTTATATGTATGTATTTAGGGGGGGGGGTATTGGATTTGGACAAAATTCCATTAGTTACAGATCTTTTATGAGCTTTTTATGTTAAGCTTATGATATTTTGAATTTTGCAGCGTCCATCTACCTGTAATAGTTACGAATTTTCGTCGGATCCAATACAAGAAAATTATTTCCAATACAATCATCTCAAAACTGCTTATTTGGACTCAAGGAAGTCTGGCTCTGACGTACAGATTTACAAGAGATGTTTGCCTTACAGTAAGTAAGGTCAGATCGTCTCACGGAAGTGTTACAATCAAAATATCGAAATCTGCACAGGTAGCGGTCAGGTGTTGAAAAATCCCAACGAGAATTGTCTTACAACGAATTGTCATTTGGCTTCCACGAGCAACGATATAACTATGGCCTAAGTGAAAGATCACCCCGCTGAAATTGAAATTCTGGATAACATATGCCATCAGAATTATGCCAAAAGAGTATACCGGTTGTTTAAAAAAATAATAAAAAGTTCCTAAATCGTTTTAATTTTTTCTTAACTTCATTTGTAATGAGATTTCAAAATAAATTGCACATTAACATTGCCACTTTTTCTCCTCTATAAGAAGGCATAATTAGAATTTCAATATGACGTTTCGCCTCTTGTCATCCAGCATCAACTTTATTTTACCTTATCGACACCATATTAAATTTTTGCACTGATTCCAAAAATGTATAACACGTCATTATTTGATATTTCCAAGCCTTAGATTCTTAAAAAAAAACAGAATTTCCTAGGTAGGCCTTGAAATTATCAAATAGTCATTTGTTTCGCATAGATACATGATTTATCCCAAGATGACTTTTATTTTTTCCTGTCTTTATTTGAGATTTGTTTTAAAAATAAACTGCATACTGTTATTGTTACTTATTCTCGTCTGCAAGATGGCGTTGTCAAATTTTAATTTCATTTTTTAGACTTTCATCACCAACTTTGTTTTTTTTATATGTATGCTATGTTAGACATCTGCTTTATTTTGGTTACGAAAAAGCTCTTGATGAAGTTCCGCATAAACATCTATAAACTTGAATATTTTGGTGTACCAGGTAATCTTTTAGGTTGGATAGAAGAATTTCTTATCGACAAAAATTTCCAAGAAACCCAGTGCTGAGTGGTGTTCAACAACGCTTCTGTTCCCGTCATATCTATCAATTGATATATATTAAGTGACATATAAATCCGAACACCCAGTTTAAATGGTTTTATTTTAATAAAAGTTGATGAATGTATTTATTTTACTGTAAATAACAAGTGAAAAAATTTTCAGCCTTATCAGTTGGACATTCCGGTTTTTATACTGCTTTTTTTTTAATTCACTAATGCTCTAAAAATGAATATTTCAGCCGCAGTAGAGAATCAACGTTGGCGGATTTTGGTTCTTGACATCCTTTACGATCGGTTACTATGCCTAGAGTACGGAGACCTGTACGATTTCGTCAACTTAGTGAGTTTGATAGGGGCCGTATAGTGGGACTTCGGGAAGCTGGACTTTCTTTTCGGGCAATTGCAGTTAGAGTGCAAAGAAGTGTAGACACTGTGGTTAGGTGTTGTCAGGCATGGCTTCGAGAAGGCCGTACGCAAAGAGCAAGGGGCACTGGACGCCGCCGTAGAACAACAGACCGTGAAGATCGCCGCCTAAGATTATTGGCCTTAAGGGACCGTTTCTCCACTACCAGGTCCATTGCAAATGAATGGTTTGCAGAACACGGAAGACCTATTGGCATGCGAAGTGTTTACCGACGAATGAGAAGTTTTGACTTGTTTTCACACCGGCCACACTGGGTCCTCCCTTTAACTCGAGAACACCGACGTAATCGCCTTGAGTGGTGCAGACAACGGTCACTCTGGGATCAGGAATGGAACAGTATTGTCTTTAGTGACGAGTCTCGATTTTGTTTAGGCATGCACGATGGTCGTGCCAGGGTTAGAAGGCGACGTGGTGAAAGGAGGAATCCGCAGTTTTTTGTTGAAAGACGTGTTCATCACACTGTTGGAGTTATGGTTTGGGGTGCTATAGGTTATGGTTCCAGGTCACCTTTAATCTACATCAGAGGTAACATGAACGCGCAGCGTTATATCCACGAAGTTCTAGAACCCCATCTTTTACACTATCTTGACACCCTGGCAGATCCAACTTTCCAACATGATAATGCCCGACCACATGTTGCAAGAGTCACAATAGACTTCTTTCAACATAATGATGTCACTTTGTTACCATGGCCACCAAGATCTCCCGACTTATCCCCAATTGAGCACGTGTGGGATATGATGGGTAGGAGATTGCTCAATTTGCAACGTCCTCCTCAGACTCTAGAAGCACTTCGAGAGGAGTTGGTGGTTGCCTGGAATGAGATACCACAGGAGGACATTAACCACCTGATCAGAAGCATGCCTAGGCGCGTTGGAGAATGCGTAGCACATCAGGGTGCATCCACACATTATTAAAGGTCAAAGGGCTTTAAAGCAGTGCAATCATTTTGAAATTTTTACCATCTACTTATTATGATTCATTAAGTACTTATACAAAATTTTATTAAAATAAAACCATTTAAACTGGGTGTTCGGATTTATATGTTACTTAGTATATTTGATTGAAGCAGCTGCTCCTGCTATGATAGAAAAGCTATACAAGATGTATATTTGACCAACACTTGAATATACACACAGCGTATGGATTCGCTATTTCGTCAAAGACAAAATTACTGGAAAGATCGCAGCGGAAAATAACGCGAATTCCGTCAGATATTCGACATTTACCACATGTCTAAGGCTATGAATTTGACAACACTTACTGAGCGAAGATTTCTAGGGAACCTGATTGAGACATTCAAGATCATCAGTGGCTGCTACTCATGTACCTACCCTTCAAATATTCAATATGAATCAGTATCTCCATCTCCGAGGAATACCAAAAAAATATAAAAAAAGTTGATAAGGGTAAATTTCGTTTCAAATCGTGTGGTGTACTCGTGAAACTGACTTAGTTAAGAAACAGTGGGTGCAGCAACTGTCAATTTATTCAAGAATAATCTGGATAAGGAACTACTAGTAGAAGACAGAACAGCGCGGTTCGTGCATTATCCAGCTTGAAAAAAAGACCTTACACAACAGTGTAATCGGACTTTTCTGCCTACTGTTGTGGTGCTAATAATAATAACTTGAGATCAAACTGTTCTGGATATCGCACAGAAGACTCAGAGGTGTTAAATAAAAAGGTTACGACAACTTACCGTCAAAATATATGCACTCGTCCTAGTCATCTTGAAAGCTTATCCGACGCTTTGTCGCAATGCAACCTGTCACTGTTCAAACTCGCGATGCCGTTACCGTTAACGACGGGTATGTACAGATAAGAAAAAGGTCGTACCGGATAGTCTTTCACCAATCGATAAGCCACATTTTCGGCATAAAGCGGCGCAGGTTGTCTTTGTCGTAAATTGTGTCAGTGGACACTCGATGATGGCACACAACGCACCGTCGTACCTTGGCCGTGCCGAAGAGTTCTTGAACTTGCACGGCGGACGCGACGGTACGGCTTGAGGAACCACCGCGATGGTACCTGTGCTGCATGGATGGGGTTATCAAACTGGTATCGAGCAGGCGGTACCGCAGTACGCGTATGAAGGAAACAGACAAAGACTGTGATGACATGCACATTTCGCTGAAACGACTATACTTCATTTTTCCTTATAGATGCTATATTGGATGTTCACACAGGTGAATAGAGTCGAATCGTTTCGAAAGTCGAAATCGAAGCGTGATTAGGTGATACGTCGACCCTTTAGACTTAATTAAGAACTATTTGTACCAAAGGAAACAATTTGTTAGAATTAATAATGTTCTAAGGGAAAAAAGGATTTTTAAAATTAGTGTGCTTCAAGGGTCAGTCTTGGGACCTCTGTTATTTAGTGTATATTTGAATGATATGTTTGATGTATGGTCTCAAATCTACTCCTTTGCAGATTATACAGTTGTGTTACCAGTTGAAAAAGCCTGGAAAGATGCTGAGAATACTATGAATGTTAAATTACAATATTTGAACGAATTGTTTGTTTGTAATAAATTAATTGTTAATAAGAGTAAGACTGAATTTATAACTTTTGGGTGCTATAGGGATAGTTTACCTGAATTTATATATATATATATATATATACAGGGTGTTTCAGTTTATTGTTGCATAACTTTAAGATTCGATAGAACTTTTAAAATTAATGCATAAAGTGTATATAAACATGGGTCGAAAAATGCGTGGCTTCCGAAATACAGGGTGTTTAAATTTACTTTCTAAAATAGTTTTTTTTAAATATTTCGAACAATATTTGATGTATAACAGTGAAAATTGGTATACAAGGGTTTTTTGGTACGACAAAACGAACCATGGGAATAGTTTTACTGTAGCCGCTAGAGGGCGCTCTCGACTGTACCACCTGCAGTGTATTAAAATGACCGAAAATTTTTTCTTAGTGCAATTTTTTGCTTTTTGAATAAAAAAAATGATTCTTCGCACTTTTCAACATAAAAAAGCTCTCTTGTAAATTTTCGTTATAGTTAGCCGTTTTTGAGATATTTCGATTTTTAAGGTTCGATGCATTTTTAATTATTTATGATAAAATAACGTTAAAAAGTCAGTATCTCGATAATTGTTAGGAGTAGGCTGTGCCTGCAAATATTTTTGGAATTGAAAGCAGAATAAGGTTAAACGTCAATTAGTTGACAGTTAGTTTTGTTGTCTGTTGAAACCTGAAACGTTTTTTTGCAATTGTGAATGCACGAAATTTAGTTTCTTTTACCAGTTTTTTTTTAAGTTTTATAAAAATGCCATTTTTATTCTCCAATCAACAGTTAGCGGATATTCATTTTGTGTATGGCTTTGTAAATGGAAACGCAGCAGAAGCAGCCAGAGAATACGCACGAAGATTTCCAAACAGACGACATCCAACTCGCTCAGTATTTGTAAGAGTGCATCGCCAAATAATTGAAAATGGTTTTGGAAATCTCCAAAGGGATCAAAACATAAATGTTTGTCAGCGCAGATTTTCCCGTATGATTCTGCATGAGTTTGATAGAGATCCGACCACAAGTGTTAGGAGAGTTTCTGGTTCCTTGAGAATTTCAGCAAGCCATGTTCACCGTGTTCTTAGAAATGACCATAGACGTCCTTACCATTTGCAACCTGTGCAAGGACTACAGCCAGGGGACGGAGAACGAAGAATCACATTTTGTCAGTGGATTCTTGATAGAACTGATAATAATAGGGAGTTTTTAAGTAACGTTTTATGGACCGATGAGTCATGCTTCACTAGACGTGGAGTGGTAAATTTTCATGATCAACATATTTGGTCGCATGAAAATCCGCATGCAGTTCGGGAAAGAAATTTTCAGCATGAATTTAGTGTGAACGTGTGGATTGGTATCTACCGTAATCGACTATTTGGACCCTACCTTTTGCCTGCAAGGTTAAATGCTGCGACCTTCTTGGAATTTTTAAAGGCTGAACATGCAAATATGTGGGATGATGTTATGTTAGATTTAAGAAGATTGGCCTGGTTCCAGCTCATTATTCGAGAATAGTTAGAAACTGGCTGGACGAAAATTATTCAGAAAGATGGATCGGCCGTGGAGGACCAGTCGCCTTGCCTCCACGCTCCCCTGACCTAAATCCATTAGATTTCTTTGTGTGGGGATTTCTAAAATAAAAAGTGTACCAGACTCCCGTAACCACAAGAGATATGCTAATAGACAGAATCAGGAATGCATGTGATCAAATAAGGCCTTATTTGAATAATGCTATACCACGTTCGATCATTCGTAGATGTGAATTGTGTATTGAACAATTGGGTTTACGTTTCGAGCAACTAATTTAGATTTTGTATGTTTGTCCTAACTATCCAATAGCATTTTAGTTGTAAATAATTAATTTAATTTGTTAAAAATAATATTGGTAAATTAAACATATTAATAATCTGTTTTTTGTGTTTATTTGCAGTTAGGAATTATTGCTGTGTTTAAAAACGCAATCTAAACGACCATCTTAATTACTTGTAATGCCCAAATCGAAAATGTAAAAAAAAATATTATTTTCCCATAAATAATAAAAAATGCATCGAACCTTAAAAATCGAAATGTCTTAAAAACGGCTAACTATCACGAAAACTCACAGGAGAGCTTTTTTATGTTGAAAAGTGCGAAGAATCAGTTTTTTTATTCAAAAAGCAAAAAATTCCACTAAGAAAACACTTTCGGTCATTTTAATACACTACAGGTACAGTAGAGACCGCCCTCTAGCGGCTACAGTAAAACTATGCCCATGGTTCGTTTTGTCGTACCAAAAAAACCCTTGTATACCAATTTTCACTGTTATACATCAAATATTGTTCGAAATATTTAAAAAACACTATTTTAGAAAGTAAATTTAAACAACCTGTATTTCGGAAGCCACGCATTTTTCGACCCATGTTCATATAGACTTTATGCATTAATTTTAAAGGTTCTATCGAATCCTGAAGTTAAGCAACACTAAACTGAAACACCCTGTATATATATACAGGGTTATCCAAATTAAGTGTCCACCATTAGTAACTTTGTTATTAGTGAAAATACAAAGTTGTTTGAATTAGCAAACTAGTAGCATTTTTAACGCTGGTAAAAATGAGAAATAAAAAAAACAATTGAGAGTCGTTATTTTGATTTTTTTCAGTAAAATAACATTTTTTTAAATGGAAACCCCTGTATATTATATTTTTTTCTGTTAAAGCATCAAATTTTAAACAAAAAAGTTCATAATGACTTTTCCGCTAAAGTCAAAAATAAAGTCAAAATAACGATAAATATTTTTAATTATTTGCAGTATTATAATATTAAGACGGCTATGAAAACAACATGGCGTTCGCGATTTGACAGCATTAAGATAAGCGACAAATTGTTAAACTGGACATACTCGCAACTAGAAGGCTTTGGAAAACAATGATAAAATCAAATAATGTCAAACATTAGTGTAAATACTTGTTTATAAGCTTTATTGTGTCATTAATTTAAAGAAAAATGTTCTCCCATGAAGAAAAGTGTGATATGTTAGAATGCTATTTAGTGTGCAGAAAATCCTCCTTGAGAGCAAGAGATACTACAGTGAATTATATCCCGCTCGCATTCAACCGTATGAACGATATTTTCTGAGACTTTATCGAAAATTTAGGGGCAACGAAAATGTTTTTGCTAAAACAAGGGCAAAAAAAGAATTCATAATAAGCGAGGCCACGGAAATTGCAGTTATTGGATATTTTGAAGCTTATCGTGAGAATTCAATAGCAGATATTCTCAAGGACTCTAATTTCAGTTATGGTACTGTTCAAAGGATTTTAAAAAAATACAAATTTATTCCGTATAAGTACCGACCAGTTCAAACGCTTTTGGCAGGGGATCCAGAGAGAAGACTTGTTTTTTGCCATTGGTATCTTAGCTTCTGTCGCCAAAATGTAAATAACTTTCGTTACCTTTTATGGACAGATGAATCAAATTTTTCAAATTCTGGAATGTTTAATAGAAAAAACCACCATTATTGGTCAAGAGAAAATCTTTTGTTAGTACATCCAAGAGGCCCACAAGTCCGTTTCAGTTTCAACGTTTGGTGCGGTATAATTGGTTCAAAAATTGTTGGCCCGTTCTTTTATGAGGGAACCCTAACTGGTGAAAGATATGTGGAATTTATGTCAGAAATTCTGACTAATTTCTTAGACGAATTGGATCTTATAAGTAGACATCATCTGCATTTTCAGCAAGATGGCGCACCTGCCCACAACTCCAGAGGTACTTATCATTTTCTAAGTACTACTTTTAATGATCAGTGGATAGGAACAAATGGCCCAATACAGTGGCCTCCCAGATCACCAGATCTAAACCCACTTGATTACTTCTTGTGGGGTTACTTAAAGAACCAAATTTACAAGCGAAGGTACGATAACCTTGACGCGTTAAAGACTGCAGTTAGGGAAAAGATAACCCAGATAGATGGTAGGACCATACTTAAGACAGTTCGAGCAGTTGAAAAACGTGCCCAAAAATGTATTGAAGAACAAGGTGGTGTTTTCGAGCATCTTCTTTAAAAAAAATTGTTATTGTATTTTGTAAGATTATAAGTTGATGTTGAAAATAAAAATTGTCGATACAATTTAATTGTTTCAGATTGGAGGCCATAACTTCAACAATTTGTAACCTAGGAGAAAAGTTATTGTAAGCTTTTTTGTTTAAAATTTGATGCTTTAACAGAAAAAAATATAATATATAGGGGTTTCCATTTAAAAAAATGTTATTTTACTGAAAAAAATCAAAATAACGACTCTCAATTGTTTTTTTTTATTTCTCATTTTTACCAACGTTAAAAATGCTACTAGTTTGGTAATTCAAACAACTTTGTATTTTCACTAATAACAAAGTTACTAATGGTGGACACTTAATTTGGATAACCCTGTATATATAAACTTTAAGCTTAGTAAACCCTTTTGACGGTAGTCTCGAGCTTTCGACAAACTATGTTGTCATCTTCAGGAGCTAAAACAAATATGAAGCTAGCAACTAATTTAGAAATGATTCTAGCTTCACATGTGTATTTTAGCTCCTAAAGATGACAACATAGTTTTTCGAAAGCTCGAGATTACCGTCAAAAGAGTTTACTAAGCTTAAAGTTTGCCAATTCTCAATTAATAATTAATTGTATTTCTTGCCCAACTGATCGTTGGCAATAGCAATGACTACTGCTCGCATTATATATATATATACAATACAATGTGAGGACCGCCTGTATACCAGACAAAGTGAGGACCACCAGAAGGAATGCAGATATAAATGTGGTTTTACGAGGAAAGCACTATTTAACTTTATGACTTGTATATAGAACAAAGTGAGGACCGACCGAGCTCCTAACGTAACGAGGCCCGTATATTGAAACACTTACAACAAGCAAAGTGAGGACCTTTCAGGATATATTCTCACTTAGCGCATACAAACTGAGGAGCGTACAAGGTTGCCTATGTTAACGGGATTTTCTCAAAGTTTGCTTTGTTTGGTACGTAGCTATGATGCCGGCAATAGAGAGAGAGAGAGAGAGAGAGAGAGAGAGAGAAAGATAGAAAGAGAGAGAGAGAGAAAGATAGAAAGAGAGAGAGAGATAGTTGTTGACCATTTCAGTAGCTTTAATAATTACCAGATACATTTCGTGAGCGTTTGTCAAATGCGATCCATGAGCGTGAAATACCAAAACATGCAATAACAAAATGACGTCAAGTAGGTTGACTCGTACGAGAATCACTATATTCAGTAGATTAGGATCGTGAGCATATGTGAAATGTGGTCCACTCAGGAGCATGAAACACCCCAACATTAACTTTGGCATTACGTCAAGTAGATTGACTCATTCTAGGAAGAACGTGACTGGGCGAATTAGGATCCATGCAGGAGAGTGAAACTTACCAACATGCAATAACCAAATTTTTTGCCATGTATCTCCTTATGAAGTTTATTAATGTAAAATTTCTATGCCAATAAATAGATAAAACAACAAATAAGAAACATGTCATATAACATTAAAAAAACATAGAATCTCAATTCCGAAATTTTTAACTTATAAGGACATTTTCTACCTTACCGCAAACGTAGTTCCAGGACAACCGATTTTACGGTAATACTTTTATTACTTTTACTACTACTATTACATTTTTCTCTTACTTTTTCTGGAGACCGAATGGCGAGGGGAACTTGAATCACCCGTATATTTTTTATTTGAAATGAAACAAGAAAAGTTCTGATACATATGCATGATTTCACATTCATAAATTACATAAAAATATGTAATTCATAATGTAATATGTATACAATCTGTAATTCCTAGCTCTATTTCTATATTAAAGCAACCATAAGTGACCACAATAACTAGAAACTCTATTCGGATTTCCACATCATACTTTTGGGCTTAACAGTTACAGTGGAAGGTCGAGAATTAACTAACTCACATATACATACCTTAACATTAACCCACAATACTCTTTTATTCAAATTTTGGTAACGTGCTTATGATTCAACCTTTATTGCTACATTTTGTCTTACGTCTATACGAAAAATTGCCATTCTCAATAATTGATCCTACTGTTTATTATCTTTTGAAACAACCTGAGCCCTAAGCTTCTCAGCAAGACTCTTCCTGATGTTCAGCTCCTTCGTTTCAAAACTAGGCTTTTTTCCGTCCAACACTCGCTCAGCAGCTTTAGCAGATTTTGGTCTCTTTCTTGAACTTTCATCAGAGGCGGTTGAGCTTTGTTGATCTGCGTTGTTGAGCTGCTTCCTACGAGCCTCTTTTTTCAAGGCTACTAGTTTATCACGTTGAGCCCTGAGGTACTCTTGGCGCTTTTTCAACTCTATGGCATCGACCTGGAACATCAACCGTTCTAGAGTGAGATTTGTAATGTTGGGGAATGCCAGTAAGAGATGAACGAACTAGTGGAGCATTACAATGACTTTAGCAGGATACTTATTTAACGATGGCAATAATATGGTAGAAGAGCTTGCAAAAAAGAGATCACTACTTTGTATAAGAAGAAAAGTAGCTTGAAGATCAAGGTTTCCAGTCGCCTGAAAAAAAAACGTGGGAACCTCAGAGAAACCTCGTAATTTTCAACCTAGTCGTTAAGCATTGAAAATGCAGATATTTGGGCTTTTTAAATCATCACTTATTGTTAAATCTGCTATCTTGTTTCATATTTTTTTCAGAAAGATTTGCTATACGTCAAAAAACAATAGATCATTTCAAATTCCACTGAATTATTCTGTAACATCCAGTTTTAAGTGTTAGTAGTAGCCTAACTCCTTATATCCGAAAAAACAATTTTGAGATGCATACCTCGTTTGGTTTTTGTTCATCCTTTTTTCCTTTATCCTGAAGTGAACCTGATTTTTCACCTTGATCCTCATTTGTAGCATCAGCTTTTTTAGTTTTTTCCATAGAATCATTTTTCGTAGATTCCTGTAGAAATTTTTCTAAATTCGGTCTTTGTTCTTGTATTATATTCTTCACCTCCAGGGTATCAACTGCAGGCTCTTCTTCAGACGCGAACGTTCTAGAAAAGCCAAATAGGGCTGTTTCAACTAGCTGAATAAATATTTGAAAAAAATCTGCACATAAGATTTTTTTGACCATAAAGATTAGATTCAGTGGTATGGACATATAGATCCGAACACACAGTTTAAATGGTTTTATTTTAATAAAATTTTGTATAAGTACTTAATGAAGCATAATAAGTAAATGATAAAAATTTCAAAATGATTGCACTGCTTTAAAGCCCTTTGACCTTTAATAATGTGTGGATGCACCCTGATGTGCTACGCATTCTCCAACGCGCCTAGGCATGGTTCTGATCAGGTGGTCAATCTCCTCCTGTGGTATCTCATTCCAGGCAACCACCAACTCCTCTCGAAGTGCTTCTAGAGTCTGAGGAGGACGTTGCAAATTGAGCAATCTCCTACCCATCATATCCCACAAGTGCTCAATCGGGGATAAGTCGGGAGATCTTGGTGGCCATGGTAACAATGTGACATCATTATGTTGGAAGAAGTCTATTGTGACTCTTGCAACATGTGGTCGGGCATTATCTTGTTGGAAAGTTGGATCTGCCAGGGTGTCAAGATAGGGTAAAAGATGGGGTTCTAGAACTTCGTGGATATAACGCTGCGCGTTCATGTTACCTCTGAAGAAGATTAAAGGTGACCTGGAACCATAAGTTCTAGCACCCCAAACCATAACTCCAAGAGTGTGATGAACATGTCTTTCAACAAAAAACTGTGGATTCCTCCTTTCACCACGTCGCCTTCTAACCCTGGCACGACCATCGTGCATGCCTAAACAAAATCGAGACTCGTCACTAAAGACAATACTGTTCCATTCCTGATCCCAGAGTGACCGTTGTCTGCACCACTCAAGGCGATTACGTCGGTGTTCTCGAGTTAAAGGGAGGACCCAGTGTGGCCGGTATGAAAACAAGCCAAAACTTCTCATTCGTCGGTAAACACTTCGCATGTCAATAGGTCTTCCGTGTTCTGCAAACCATTCATTTACAATGGACCTGGTAGTGGAGAAACGGTCCCTTAAGGCCAATAATCTTAGGCGGCGATCTTCACGGTCTGTTGTTCTACGGCGGCGTCCAGTGCCCCTTGCTCTTTGCGTACGGCCTTCTCGAAGCCATGCCTGACAACACCTAACCACAGTGTCTACACTTCTTTGCACTCTAACTGCAATTGCCCGAAAAGAAAGTCCAGCTTCCCGAAGTCCCACTATACGGCCCCTATCAAACTCACTAAGTTGACGAAATCGTACAGGTCTCCGTACTCTAGGCATCGTAACCGATCGTAAAGGATGTCAAGAACCAAAATCCGCCAACGTTGATTCTTTACTGCGGCTGAAATATTCATTTTTAGAGCGTTAGTGAATTAAAAAAAAGCAGTATAAAAACCGTAATGTCCAACTGATAAAGCTGAAAATTTTTTCACTTGTTATTTACAGTAAGATAAATACATTCACCAACTTTTATTAAAATAAAACCATTTAAACTGGGTGTTCGGATTTATATGTCACTTAGTATATCTTGGAAACCAAGGATGTTAGAAAAAACTTTATATACAAAACTTTTAGGAAATCAAATGGTGCATCTATTGGAGACCTTGGTTTTGACGTTGAAGTTCATTTCAAGGTCAAGTTGATTTTTTCACATAGCAAAACAATCCTTTTTAAACGGTATGAATATCATAGGGGCTGAGATTACGTCTAAAGGTTATTTCAAGGTCAACTGTTGCTATTTCATGGAATGTGAAGCAACGGTTAGCTGGAAATAGCAGAATATTAAAGAAGAACCTTTAATGCGAAAATTGCAGGATACCCAATGGCACACCTGATGGTAACCTTTATTCTGGCCTTGGCCAACACCTCGAGGGTGAGTTCAAGGTCAAATTGATTCTTTCACATATTTTTTTTTTCTGCACATAAGATTTTTTTGATCATAAAGATTAGATTCAGTGGTATGGACAAATATCTTGGAAACTAAGGATGTTAGAAAAAAACTTTATATACAAAACTTTTACGAAATCAAATGGTGCATCTATTGGAGACCTTGGTTTTAACGCTGAAGTTCATTTCAAGGATAAGTTGATTTTTTCACATAGCAAAACAATCCTTTTTAAACGGTATGAATATCATAGGGGCTGAGATTACGTCTAAAGGTTATTTCAAGGTCAACTGTTGCTATTTCATGGAATGTGAAGCAACGGTTAGCTGGAAATAGCAGAATATTAACTTTTAATGCGAAAATTGCAGGATACCCAATGGCACACCTGATGGTAACCTTTATTCTGGCCTTGGCCATCACCTCGAGGGTGAGTTCAAGGTCAAATTGATTCTTTCACATTTTTTTTCTGCACATAAGATTTTTTTGATCATAAAGACTAGATTCAGTGGTATGGACAAATATCTTGGAAACTAAGGATGTTGGAAAAAAACTTTATCTACAAAACTTTTAGGAAATCAAATGGTGCATCTATTGGAGACCTTGGTTTTGACGCTGAAGTTCATTTCAAGGACAAGTTGATTTTTTCACATAGCAAAACAATCCTTTTTAAACGGTATGAATATCATAGGGGCTGAGATTACGTTTAAAGGTTATTTCAAGGTCAACTGTTGCTATTTCATGGAATGTGAAGCAACGGTTAGCTGGAAATAGCAGAATATTAAAGAAGAACCTTTAATGCGAGAATTGCAGGATACCCAATGGCACACCTGATGGTAACCTTTATTCTGGCCTTGGCCATCACCTCGAGGGTGAGTTCAAGGTCAAATTGATTCTTTCACATTTTTTTTTCTGCACATAAGATTTTTTTGATCATAAAGATTAGATTCAGTGGTATGGACAAATATCTTGGAAACTAAGGATGTTAGAAAAAAACTTTGTATACAAAACTTTTACGAAATCAAATGGTGTATCTATTGGAGACCTTGGTTTTGACGTTGAAGTTCATTTCAAGGGCAAGTTGATTTTTTCACATAGCAAAACAATCCTTTTTAAACGGTATGAATATCATAGGGGCTGAGATTACGTCTAAAGGTTATTTCAAGGTCAACTGTTGCTATTTCATGGAATGTGAAGCAACGGTTAGCTGGAAATAGCAGAATATTAAAGAAGAACCTTTAATGCGAAAATTGCAGGATACCCAATGGCACACCTGATGGTAACCTTTATTCTGGCCTTGGCCATCACCTCGAGGGTGAGTTCAAGGTCAAATTGATTCTTTCACATTTTTTTTCTGCACATAAGATTTTTTTGATCATAAAGATTAGATTCAGTGGTATGGACAAATATCTTGGAAACTAAGGATGTTGGAAAAAAACTTTATCTACAAAACTTTTAGGAAATCAAATGGCGCATCAATTGGAGACCTTGGTTTTGACGCTGAAGTTCATTTCAAGGACAAGTTGATTTTTTCACATAGCAAAACAATCCTTTTTAAACGGTATGAATATCATAGGGGCTGAGATTACGTTTAAAGGTTATTTCAAGGTCAACTGTTGCTATTTCATGGAATGTGAAGCAACGGTTAGCTGGAAATAGCAGAATATTAAAGAAGAACCTTTAATGCGAGAATTGCAGGATACCCAATGGCATACCTGATGGTAACCTTTATTCTGGCCTTGGCCATCACCTCGAGGGTGAGTTCAAGGTCAAATTGATTCTTTCACATTTTTTTTTCTGCACATAAGATTTTTTTGATCATAGAGATTAGATTCAGTGGTATGGACAAATATCTTGGAAACTAAGGATGTTAGAAAAAAACTTTGTATACAAAACTTTTAGGAAATCAAATGGTGTATCTATTGGAGACCTTGGTTTTGACGCTGAAGTTCATTTCAAGGACAAGTTGATTTTTTCACATAGCAAAACAATCCTTTTTAAACGGTATGAATATCATAGGGGCTGAGATTACGTCTAAAGGTTATTTCAAGGTCAACTGTTGGTATTTCATGGAATGTGAAGCAACGGTTAGCTGGAAATAGCAGAATATTAACTTTTAATGCGAAAATTGCAGGATACCGAACGGCACACCTGATGGTAACCTTTATTCTGGCCTTGGCAATGACCGCGAGGGTGAGTTCAAGGTCAAATTGATTCTTTCACATGGAAAAGCAGAAAGGAGTAAGTTCTGGCATTAGTTCGTGCACATGATTCTTTTCTCACCGAGCAACTTCGTCCAAAACCTCGTTTTCCACCACCACCACCGGTATTTCCCTGACAACCTTTTCCATTTTCTCTTCATTCTCTTTCTCTTTCACGAATTTCCCTTCTTTGCCTTTTGGGACGAAACTGTCCGGGGTTATGCCGTATTTTCTTTCGATCAGCTCGAGTGCTTCAAGTTGTAACTCGACGTTTCGGCGAGTCATCATTTTCTTGAACATATCGTAGTCGTTTGCGGCCCATATTTGCTCGAAGAGGTTCTGAAAGAATCGTTATTCTAATAGTCATTGATATGTACAGGGTGGCCAACTAAGAATGCGAGGTAGGGGAGACCGGGGCTGGTAGCCGCACGGGTTGGTAGCCGCACTGGCTTTTTCCCCAAAACTATAAATATGGCGACAATGCCGCGTCTCGTGTTTTAAAGCTTAAGTCGCGCCCGAACTTTGTGGAACGTTTCAGTCTGATCAGTGCAATAGAAGTGAATGCACGCCATCAAGTGTTATTTTGATGCTCGTAAGTGAATTTATTTTTTCTATTGGTTTTATTATAACTTTTGATGTAAAAGTAAGAATATAAAACGAAGTAGACCGTCAGAATTCTACGGAAATCTATTTTTTAGTAACATATTTTTAATAACCACTTTAGTTACCAGACAAAAAATAAACGCAAAAGTATTTTAAAAAACGTTTTGGGGTCGGTCGCCGCATTTGTTGAGGGGCAGGTTGCCGCATGCGGCAACCATCCCCACTTTGGATTTTAAATCATATTGTTGCGACGCAAAAATGTATTTATTTATATATACGTAATTTTAACGATAAGCTTAGCATGAATAATTTAACTTCTAACATAATCATAGCGAATGACCACCTGTATCCGATGTAAACTATAGAAGTTACTCGTATTCCACGTAAATAGAAAAATAACAAGGGTAAAACAAAAGTAAATCCCCGTATTACTGTGAGGACGAGCAACTTCCTGTTTACCGCTTTTCATCCTTATTAGCTATCTCTATCTGGAAATCTCCCTTTCAACTTTTACGCTCATTATCAATACCTTAGCTTCACATTTGCATCTAACTGGACCTAACCTGTATCCACTTTTCACTTTCACGCCTACTCTCGACTTATTCCCTTTAGCTCCACCCTTATGACGTCCTATCTATACCTTAGCATTTAAACCTTTCTTAACACTCCTACTCTTCCCTAATCAACCAATAGAATAGCATTGGATAATATTAAACACATAGCTGCATGCGAAAAATATTGTATACGTCGACAGCATGACAGATTCGTCTCAACTTGCGAACGAGTAACACATAACTGTTATCTCCAACCACTTGTAACTCTTTATCGTATTACGCCATAAATTAAAATAAATCAATATATGTAAAAAATAAAGTCTTTGTAGATCAATTTGTACAAAGAAGAGTGAGTATACATAATAATAAATATATATTTCACTCCTACACTCAACACATATAATTTGGAAAAACATATTTAAAAACGTTTTATTATCTTCATAGAATATGAGAAACCGTAAAAGAACCACTGAAAGGGGTAAGACACCAGCACACATTATGCTAAGGGCTGCAAGAGAGGTCAAATTAAATAATAAATCCATTAGAGGAGCAGGAACCGATTACGATATCCCTGAAAGAACCCTGAGACGATTTCTGCAGAAAGTCACGGATGAAGAGCTTTATGGCACTAATGAACTACCTACAACTGCAGTCGGCTATATAAAAAATAGACAGGTAAAAAAATATAATTACTTATTGGGCACTTTAGTAAACAGTGTGCTTGTGAATTATTTAATACATTTTCTTCATTTTCAGGTTTTCTCCGACGACCAAGAGAAACAATTAGAGGAATATATATTAAAGGCTGCCGATGTATACTTTGGCTTATCACCAAAACAGATAAGAACTTTTGCTTATGAATGGGCTGTCTCACTAAAAATTAAATTTCCCGATTCCTGGAATACAAATAAATGCGCCGGACAAGATTGGTTTACCTATTTTATTAAAAGACACGCTGGTCTGTCCATACGTACGCCGGAAGCCACAAGTTTGGCACGAGCATCAGGATTCAATAAGCACAGTGTAGGAAATTGGTCCTCAGGATATCTACAATATGGATGAAACTGGAATTACGACCGTTCAAAAACCTGACAGAATTGTAGCAAGAAGGGGCTTTAAACAAGTAGGTCGAATCACCTCTCAAGAAAGAGGCACATTAGTGACTCTCGCGATAGCTGTAAACGCCATTGGTAATAGCATTCCGCCCTATTTTATTTTTCCACGCGTTAACTTTAGAGAGCACATGCTCTTTGGTGCCCCACCTGGAAGCGCTGGCGCAGCTAACCAGTCTGGATGGATGAAAAAGGAGCATTTTCTGCACTGGTGTCAACATTTTCTTAAGCACACTGGTTGCTCCAAAGAAAGGCCGGTACTTCTGTTGTTAGACAACCATGACTCCCATTTATCAATTGATTCTTTGGACTATCTTAAAGAGAATGGAGTGACGGTGTTGTCCTTTCCGCCACACTGCTCTCACAAGCTACAGCCGCTGGACAGATCAGTGTATGGGCCCTTAAAAAAATATGTAAATACAGCATGCGATGGTTGGATAACCAGTCATCCAGGGTCTAGTATGACCATCTACGATGTCCCTAAAATTGTGGCCGTAGCTTTGCCAAGCGCAATAACACCAAAGAACATAACAGCAGGGTTTAAAGTGTCAGGAGTTTATCCATTCAATGAATGTGTCTTTTCTGAAGACGAATTTCTCCCCTCTTATGCTACTGACCGCCCACTTATTGAGCAAGCAAAAGATGATGAAATTGACAGGAAACCTAATAATAGCCCTAAACCTAAAATATCTCAGGATACTAGTCCCCAACCAGGAACATCTCGGGATTATTCTGAAATTCTTAACGCTGATAGCTCAATGCCAAAAACTTCTAAGATAAACCCACCGCTCGAAGAAAAAACTCCGGAAAAGCAAATAATTAAAAATATTAACATATTAGCCAAAGAAGATACCGAGTTGAACACCCAAAAAAAAACAGTCAGTCCATTTGAGCTAAAGCCCCTGCCAAAAGCTCCACCAAGAAAAAATGAGAATAAAGGAACTCGAAAAAGGCGTCACACCGAGATTTTGACAGATACGCCAATAAAAGAGGCACTCAGAGATGAACAAACAAAAAAAGTTCCAATAAGAAAAGAGCTTAAAAATAACAAAGAAAACAAAAAACAAAATGAAAGAAGAAAAATGTAAATAAAAAACAATTGGCTGAAGAATCGAGCGATGAAGATGAGTGTCTATGCGCTTACCCTTGATACTTTTACAAACAGTCGTCCGGGTGAGGAATGGATTAGATGTTTTTCATGCAGTGGGTGGGCACACAAAGAATGTGTGGGAGAAGATAAGATATTTGACTGTTTTTTTAGTTTTACTTTTTATTACCTGAGTTTATTAGTTAAATTTTCTAATAATTTTAGGTTTAAAAAAATGTACCTATTTGATTAAAAAAAAATAAAAACATTTTTCTTGTCAAAATTTAATATTAGAAAATAAAAAATCACACATTCTTTATTTTTTTACAATCATTTTTGTATGCGGCAACCTACCCCATGTGGTGCGTCAACCAACCCCGTTAGAGGGGTAGGTTGCCGCACTCTGCTTTACTGAAGGAAATATATATTTGTATCAAAACGATATGAGATAAGAAAACAAAAAAAAATATTTTATGTTGCAAATATATAGGACTTTTCACGGCAACAATGGGTTTTAAAAAATATTAATTATAGTAGCCGTCATAAAATAAATTCAAAAAAGTGCGGCTACCAGCCCCGGTCTCCCCTACTGTATCTAGGAATGTATCTATCGCAGAGGCTTGGGGCAAAAACAGAAACTTGAGATTATTTTTCAGGTTTTTATCTTGGCCATTTCAGTAATAACTGTTTTTGCCACAAGCCTCTAGATCTACAGGGTGTTCCTTAATGATATGCGAATCTTTAAGAGTGTGAATCTACATGGAAAATTAATTTTCTTTGCTTATTTTGGATGACATGGGGGGTAGGGGAGTCTGGATGATGATTACGTCATCGGTAGTTATTTACGACTAAGAATAAATCCAATCTACTTAATTTTTTTTCTAAGGTGAGTGACGAAATCATTTTAGGTACCTATGAGTACTAGAAATATTAGAAATCGCCAAAAAGTTTCTCGTTACTGATTAGAAAATATTATGGCCTATCTCAAAGTATACAGGTAATATTCATTATATTATAGATTTATTTCTTATGATTGATTCCGTCAATTGGTCACAAAGTACAGGATGTTAGTTTTATACATATATACAGAAACACCCTGTATTTTGTAACCGGAACGAATAGCTCGTTTAAACATATTAGATTTAAAGCCATAGGGTTTTGTATTTACCATATATATTGCCATACTTTGTATTTATGTAGCTTAATAAGAGAAACTTTAGCAGACGCCATAGAAAGTTTTTATTTGAACGGCCCCTATCATTAAGGAACACCCTCTATGACGATTGATTAACGTATTCTACCTGAAGATAGGAACCATACACTCGCGTCAAAACACATCGTACGCTACTGTCGGATCGGTATGCCTTTGACTGACAAAGCCGATGCGCGCGTACCCGCCGTATACAGAGATATGCCCCGGTAAAAGTGGAGTGCGATATGTTTTGCTGCTCTCTTTCTTTTCGGTACCCGAATATAATGAATGGATTAAGAAAAGCATGCATTGTTGTGCAGGCAGCATCAGGCCAATGTTGCCGTCTGCTGTGATTTGTACCAGCTATGATGCTTAAATAGTGTTGATATTACTATTCTGTAGAGACGAGAAGAATCAAATGACTCACGTGATCAAAAGATAGGTGGTGTTTTTTTCCTTCTTTGCAAGCGTTTTCAAATTGCTCAGGAGTTATGCCGATGTCCTCCATGAAATTTCCAAGCATAAAGTCAACCTGATAACAGCAATTATTATAGAAAAATCAGCTAGATACAAAATTCCATACATATTTTTGATATGCATATAGTGACGACATACAAGCAGGGTAATTTCAAAACCAGACAGTTGATTATGAGTAACGCAAAGAGATCCTTTCGGACTAATGAACTTTACAGTGGAATACGTCTAAATCATATCAGATATCTGTCTTATATGCTGGTACCAGTTGTTCACTAACGTCCAGTTTTAAATTTACCTAACCCGCATATGAAATACTCACTAGATTTTTGAACTCATCGTAAATTTTCTTGTACTCATCGCTTTCACCAACGTTCGGCTCAAAAACTGCAAAAAAGAGGATAAATCATTCAATTGATTATTAGCGTTTGAACAAATTAATGTCAAATAATTCCCATAATGCGAATATTGAGTGTGAAAAATAAACAAAAGACGTACTTAAAGACTTTTCTTCAACAAAAGACTGCAATGGTGCATTCCAAATAGGACCGTTCAAAAAGCACACCAAGGAATCGAAAACCCAAGAGTTGTCCTCCGTTTCCTCCATGTTTTCGGACTTTTTACCAAGTGTGGACCCGATTGTTCTCGAAAATCAATCACTGAAAACGAAAAGCAGTTTTTTGTGAGAATATTTTTTCAGGACAGATTTGATAATAATTGTTTGATTCGATTTGTATGCACGAATCTGAAATAACTTGAATAAATACTCGATATTTACAAGGGGATTATTGAAGTGTTAGAGACTGAAAGAAGTATGAAAGAAATGGGCCATACAAACAAATTTAATACGCACACACTTTCAGCACGTAAAATTTCCGCATAATCCTGTGTTCGATGTAAACAAAGCATTGTCAAGGCAACGAGGGAGCCTCTTCGCAACAATGCACTATTAGTCCAGGAACTAACGGGTGATTTTTTAAAAGGTATAGGATTTGATTTTCAAAAAAAACACAAAAAATTTGAAAAACGATTAAATCTTTATTTGAGTCGATAGAACGGTCGATATAATTCAATGTTTAAAGATTATTTCATGTAAATGTTGGCCGCGGCTCCGCTTTAGATGGCCTATGCGCAAGGTCCAATTTTGGCACACTCTCTCCAACATATCGGCCGATATCTCACAAATAAATTCTTCAATATTGGCTTCCAGTGCGTCAATCATTGCTGGTTTATCCCTGTAGATATTAGCCTTAACTTGGCCCCACAAGAAATAGTCCATCGGCGTTAAATCACACGATCTAGGCGGCCAATTGACGGGCCCCAAACGTGAGATAAACTGTTCACCGAACTCGCCTCTCAAAAGGGCTATTGTTTCGTGTGCGGTGTGGCATGTGGCACCGTATGGTTGAAACCACATGTCAGCCAAGTCCAGCTCTTCCATTTTGGGCAAAAAAAAGTTTGTTATCATCGCACGGTAGCGCTCGCCATTCACAGTTACGTTCCGGCCATTGTCGTCTTTGAAGAAGTACGGCCCGACGATGCCACCGGCCCATAATCCACACCAAACAGTGATTTTTTCGGGATGCATTGGTAGCTCTTGCAATGCTTCTGGCTGGTCTTCACTCCAGATGCGGCAATTTTGCTTGTTAACGTACCCATTCAACCAGAAATGAGCTTCGTCGCTGAACACAATTTTTCGATAAAAATGTGGATCTTTCTCCAACTTTGCCAGCGACCATTCACCAAATCGGAAACGTTGTGTGAGGTCGTATGGCTTCAATTCTTGCACCAGCTGTATCTTATAAGGTTTTACACCCAAATCCTGTCGCAAAATTTTCCACGTAGTGGAGTAACAGAGGCCCAATTGCTGCGAACGGCGGCGAATCGACATTTCACAGTCGTCACTAACACTGGCGGATACAGCCGCAATATTTTCTTCAGTCCTCACTCTACGTCTGCGTGTTGGTGGTTTAATGTCCAATAATGTAAACTGGGTTCGAAATTTAGTCACAAGCTTCTTCAGTAGGCCGACCAAATTGCCCATAAATTGGAAGCAGTGCTCGATGCACTCTCTTAACCGAGCATGAATTTTGATAGTAAAATTCAATAATTTGCAAGCGTTGTTCGTTCGTAAGTCGATTCATGGTTAAATTATAGACCAAACTGAACAAGTTTGACATTGACACAAGACACGATTCACGCGTCATCTGTCAAAAACAGTGTTGCCAAAAAGATACTAGCAAAAAAATCACCCATTATAATGTACTGTGACTTAAGCCATTGCCATTGACCATTATGAAGCAGTTTGTTAAAAAAACAAGTTCTCCGATTTCATTTGGCAAGCAAATATCCTGAACGGTCTGTCCGATACACAGCTTTGCCGATGACAGCACTCTACATGAAGGAATTCAGATTAACAAATTTGGTTTTCCCTGTATGCGGTTTGTTTCTGTCAGATAATGGAGTCCTATAAATTAAATCCACTTAGCTGAATAAATTCTCTGTTTACAATCCTACTTAAAAAGTATGTAGGTATGAAAAGCGATCAAGGTAAAAAATCATTTTTGATATACAATATTAACAGATAAGACAAGTGTCTCATCTTATCAACTTGAATTGTTCTAAGATTGCCTGATACGATCGATTGATACATTTTCTTAAAGTTGTGCGCTTAAAACAACAGTAACTAACCCGTATCAACATCATGAAGTTCTTCGCGCTTTTCTTCGTTTTCGCAGCTATCTCGATGAGCAATGTTGACGCGGATTTCATAACAGGTACGGTAATGTTTTTTAAAGTAATAATAAAAATAATTTTATCGCAAATATAGTTGCAGTTAACATCATCCTGTCTATCGTGACGAGAAACATGGAGAGGAGGGAATATGTAGAGCTTATACCTAAGTATCGATACGAATTTCCTAAAGAAATCGCTGTTCTAGCGTAAGTATAAGATGCCAATCAAAGAAAAGTAATTTTAAAATGAAATTTGGATAGTTGACTTGCTACTTAATGCTTCATAATAATATCATTTACGATCCCTACTATTCGAGACTGATTTAGAAAATAGACGTATTTTGTAATCAGCTTCAAATTCTTTAACTGGTATCTGTCAGTTTATCAATCTTGGTTCGTAACAAATAGTAAAAATTTAAATAAAAAATATACTATCTATACAGGATTACACATTGGTTCTCAAGATACAGGATGTTCTTTAAATATCCTTTACCTAATTTCGGTGGTGGTATTTATAACATTAAGGAGCTGTTTTTTCTCTTGAAACTTATAGAGGGTAGTAGATAAATTATTTTACATCATAAAAAGTGTGGATGAAGCACGCTTTTCATGAAATTTTTTTCTCAAAACATTGTATTTTTTAGCAGTTATTTCCCCCATTATTCCACCGCCATCTACCATATGACGCTGACGTCTGTTGATATGTCATATATGAGAGGCGCTTGATTGCGGTGTTGCCGGATTGGACTCCGTATTTAGGGAAAAATATGAAAAGTGGAAAATTTATACGCATTTATATTAATGAAAAACAAAAACAAAAAACTGAAACAAACAACAGTAGTAAAATTAAAAGTGATTCTTACTAAGTATAAAACAAAAAATAACAAACAGCAGTAAAATAAAAAGCAAGCCTAAGTGATTATAAAGAACAAAAAATTAAAACAGTAGTAAAACAAAAAACAATTCCATTTAATTATAAAAAAACAAAAAATTGCAAACAGTAAAATAAAAAGCAATTTGGATGGAATGAAATTGTTCTTCGTTTTACTACTGTTTTTACTTTTTGTTCTGTGTTGTCACTATTTTACCGCTGTTTGTTATTTTTTGATTTTTATAATTACATGGGATTAATTTTTGTTTTACTACTGTTTTTATTTTTTGTTTTTCATAATTATTTATAATTTATCATTTTTTAGTTTACTACTGTTATTTTTTGATTTATCTTATTAGGAATCGCCTTTTATTTTGCTACCGTTGTTTGTTTCAGTTTTTCGTTTTTGTGATTCATTATTAATATACATATGTATATAAATTTTCCACTTTTCATATTTTTCCCTAAATACGGAGTCCAATCCGGCAACACCGCAGGCAAGCGCCTCTCATATATGACATATCCACAGACGTCAGCGTCATATGGTAGATGGCGGTGGAAATAATGGTGGAAAGAACAGCTAAAAATACAACGTTTTGGGAAAAAAATTTCATGAAAAGTGTGCTTCATCCACACTTTTTTTGTTTCTGAATAATCTATTAGACTACCCTCTAAAAGTTTTAAGAGAAAAAACAGTTAAATCGGAAGTTCTACAAGACGCAACAGCACCGAAATGCAGTTAAATGGATTTTGTTATCGAAAACTAAACAAGATACGATAAAAATTCAACAGACAAAAAGTTGTATTTCTAATTGATTAATCCAGAGAGTATAATAAAAATTGCACAAAAGTCTGTGACGTACATTTTTTTGTCACAAATGTCCGTTCCTACCCCACTCGAGACGCCACTGTACTCGCTAAATCTAATCAAGTTAGTGCTAAATTAGCTCCTTAACTTCAAAAATACCCCCGCCAACTTACAACAAAATTAGGTAAAAGATATGATATTTACGAAAAACCATTTTTTTAATTCAACTTCTTGTCTAAAAGTAACTCAAAGAATCGTCTATTGAATTTATGGTACATACTTAATTGTCACCCTGTATAATAAACAGACATTCAGAACCACCCTGTATAAATTTCAGAGCTGGATCACTGGAACTAAAAAATATCAGATTGTATGGATTAAAAGAGGCGCACAAAGTGATGGCTGCAAAAGATGGCGCAAAGGATAATAGTACGCACTACGTAGAAAATGTTGGAATATATTTAAATGTTCCGGAGATTTTTCTAGAACTTGAGTACGATGCTGATCTTGGGTTTGTTGACGAAGTACCTATTTACGGTACGGGCAATATACGGTAAGTTTTAATAGTTATATTTGTTAGTCTCCTCCATCGGACTCTCTCGGAAAAATATTCTGTTTTGATTTTTGTTTAAACAATGTTTTTGAACAAATTTGAAGAATCGTTTTTTCGATCTGAACGTATAGAATATTTTTAGGTTCTTTTGAATTTTTCTCTGAAGTTTAAACTTGTTGAGATGAAAGCGACATGATAATTATTGGTTTTTTAATTGACGATCAGGATGCGCTTAATGTTTTTCTGTGTAAACTCAAGAGAGATGCAGCACCAGAGGAATTATGTAAAAAACTTAAAAATGTCAAAAATCCGATGAAATGTCATCTTGCAGATTAGGTAGTTTTTAGTGTTCAAATAGTCCATTCCATTCTGTTCGCTGACGGCAACACGTACAGCTACAAAACGAGTACACAACCAGTGTACAACATCTTGTCGAAAAACCTACCAAATGTCAAAAAAACAACAAAATGTCACTTTTCAAGATACGAGCAGCAGCATATTTTTTTAGCGTACGCTTGACTTACATTTAAATAACAAACGTTTCATTTTTGTTTTTCTTTTTCAATTACTCTTTTATCCATTCAACTTTAAAAAAAATGTATAGGATTCGTCAGTCATTTAAGAAAAAATACAAACATACAAATATATTCAAAATATAAATAAAGAACAAAAACCAAATCAACAGATTTAAAATTAATGATTAAAAAACCAGCATTTATATACAGGTAAGATCATCCGCAGTATACAATAACAATACCCCCTAAAATGTATTGTGATTTTGTTAATGGATATTTGAAGCTTATTTAGGAACTTATAACGCATAGATTTTATGCAATTTTCTAGTTTACAGTTATCAAAACTTCTATTGAACTTGACAACAGAGGTATCTATCAACAAGCAGCAGTTATGGAAAGATATAACTGTGGAAGATTTGACGTTAGACTTTGGTTTTCGTCATTCGAGCAAGGTAATGTTTAAAATAGGGAGCTACTCGTGCATTTTTTCACGAGAATCCATATCACGGTAGAATGACAGCTAATTATCTAGTAATATCTCAAAATTCCCCATATCGGCACAGTACACATAGTTCTGACGGATCCGTCAACAACGTCAGAGGTAGTCAGACCCGTATTTTGTTTTGGTTTTCTGTAAGGTACAGTTCATTTTGTACTTGCTAACAGCTCCTTTATTTGGAAACGTTCATTTGCATATAAAAAACAAAACGCTACAAACAAGTCTTATTAGATTTACACCCAATAATTGTTTTAATTTGGTTTTAGTCACAAATAACCAACTTCTGGAGGAACAAAACAGTTAGCGGGATCTTATCAACAACAATCAACATATTAGTAGAATTGTTCAGCATGTGGTTCAATTACGAAAAGGAATGTATCAATTGTATCGTTGGTGAGAGTATCCAGAAAGCTGCGAACGAAATTCTTCATCCTAAGAACGAAGTTGATTCACGTTTTGACTGTGAGTGTTTGAGGGTATGTATCCTTGGTACCCTTTCGAAAAAATCACTCACGATGCGTGCCTGTTTTTGAATTCATAATGTAATTTCCTCGTTAACATTATGTATCCCTTTTAAATGTTTGTTTCAGGACCTTTTCAAAGGAAAATACAAACTTGAAAAAACCGTGGAAACACTGATTACCGGTTATAATTCCAACCAAAGTTTTGTGGAACTTGTTAGCAAAATTGGACAAGACGGTAACGTGAAACGCCTATATAATGCTGGAACTGACGAAATCCTGAAAGTTTTGGGCGATAAAGGGATTCTAGAGAAATTGGGCATGTGACGATTTATAACTTGAAATAAAAATAGTTTTTTTGATGCTGTATTTATTATGATCAAAAACATTAATGAAAGGAACCTCGGTATTAAATTTATTGTTAAAAGTAACCCGTCGAAGTATGGAGCACAAAGTGCTATCTACATTTCGTATTTCGATAGTCCTTATACCTCTGAGGGGATACTTTTGGTATAAAGCTATCTTTCGTTGACATACCTAAAGACCTAAACCGTGCTTATGATTGCTAATAAGCATGAAACAGCGTTGTACACGGTTGGCCCACTATTGGTCGAACAGTAATGTTAATAACAGCAACATGTATTTCAGCTGATTGGGGTTCGTTTACTATTTACATTAATAAATTGATGCCTCCTTTAATCTACGCCTATGTGTCTGTGCTCAGGGATACACTGTCTGGTGCTTTCTATCTTTTTATACTCCATGATTTCGATCCGTTCAAGTTGGCAATACTGTGAGTACGCAACGAGTATTTGAAAACCCAGCTGTTTTGTGATTTTTGAATAAAAGTAGGGGGTTAGATTTTCTCTTTCATTTTTGATCCAAACTTGAAAAAACCGTGGAATGACTGATTACCGGTTATAATTCCAACCAAAGTTTTGTGGAACTTGTTAGCAAAATTGGACAAGACGGTAACCTGAAACGCCTATATAATGCTGGAACTGACGAAATCCTGAAAGTTTTGGGCGATAAAGGGATTCTAGAGAAATTGGGCATGTGACAATTTATAACTTGAAATAAAAATAGTTTTTTTGATGCTGTATTTATTATGATCAAAAACATTAATGAAAGGAACCTCGGTATTTAATTTCTTGTTAAAAGTAACCCGTTGATGTATGGAGCACAAAGTGCTATCTACATTTCGTTTTTCGATAGTCCTTATACCTCTGAGGGGATACTTTTGGTTTAAAGCTATCTTTCGTTGACATACCTAAAGACCTAAACCGTGCTTATGATTGCTAATAAGCATGAAACAGCGTTGTACACGGTTGGCCCACTATTGGTCGGACACTAGAGTAATGTTAATAACAGCAACATGTATTTCAGCTGATTGGGGTTCGTTTACTATTTACATTAATAAATTGATGCATCCTTTAATCTACGCCTATGTGTCTGTGCTCAGGGATACACTGTCTGGTGCTTTCTATCTTTTTATACTCTATGATTTCGATCCGTTCAGGTTGGCAATACTGCGATGGCTCACTGCGAGTACGCAACGAGTATTTGTAAACCCAGACCCAGCTGTTTTGTGATTTGTGAACAAAAGTAGGGGGTTAGATTTTCTTTCTTTCATTTTTGATCGAAAAGTGTGTGAAAAAGTGGAACTGTGGTTAGAGAAGCCATCAGTTTGAGTAATTTATAAATTTGCTCTACGTTCGTTATATAACGATGCCGGTTTTAGACCAAAGACAAACAACTAATCAATAGAATTTTATAGTAAGCTATAGCTCTCGTAATCACTATCTTTAATTCATCTATTACCGAGAAATCTAAAAATGGAAGCACTTATTCCGGTCATCAACAAATTGCAAGATGTCTTTAATACTGTTGGATCAAACTCCATACATTTGCCCCAAATCGTGGTCCTTGGATCTCAGGTAACAAGAAACCTTTCACCCTTTGACCAGCTAGCTTATTCAAAATTCATCGTTTTAGAGCTCAGGCAAAAGTTCAGTTATTGAGAGCTTAGTGGGGAGGTCCTTTTTACCAAGAGGTACAGGAATTGTTACCAGGAGACCTTTAATCTTACAATTAGTTTATTGCCCGAAAGAGGACAGGGAGCATCGAAATGCTTCAGATGGTAAGTTTGCATATCCTTTGTTGTTTTGCAATTGTTCATAATTTAACTAGATTTATTCAGTTTGATAACTTACACAATTGTATTAATTGCATGTTGTAAGTGCCAATAAATTAAACTGTTATGGGCGTTAATAATTGATATTGCTAGAATCACAAATGGTTCAGAAAACAAACACTGGAATTTCAAGATATTCATAATATATCTGACAATGGAAGGAACTTTTTTAAAGAATGTTTTATATGTATTATTTTTTTCTCTATTCTTTTACACCATATTTAAAGGAATTTTTTTTAAGAGCATGAAAATACAATCTACCTTGCTAGGCTATCTTTTTTATTGAACAAAAGAAGTTACCTGGCCTTGTTTTTTGAAAATTATTTTTTGAAATGTTTGCCATTACTGTGGGTAACATTCGGTTTCAGAATTTCAGTTCTCAATTATAAGTCTCTGCATTTTGAGTAGTATTTGGGGGTAATGCTGACTTCTAATTCCTCAATCTACTCTTTTGTCAGAGTAAACAGGCCAGGAAAAAGTCTAGAGGTGTGACATCACAATACACATGATTTATGTGGCTAATTTATTGCTTAAAATAATAATAATAATAGTTAGCACTTATTGCCCAACATATACAGGATCCATTTACATAGCATTATAAAATTAAAAAATCTATACTATTCATATGTATTTTGTGACATATTCTTAGCAGTACAGTTTAGTTTCTTGAGTTCACAACTGAATATGTTGACATGCTGCAATATCTAATTATAATGTGAACTCTCTTAATGGTGATTTCAACATTAGATTTGTCTTAGCAGCAGTAGAATAAAATGTTATTGATTATCTAGAGATAAACTTAAGTATGTTAAATTTAGTATAGGATAAAAGATCTGGACAATCAATAACATCAGTTTATAAAGAAATGAGTGCGATGACAGCCTGGTAGAGCTCCAAACTGTCATTATCAAATAAATTTAGCAGAAGATTATACTCTGTTCCTTGTTCTGTATATACAGGGTTATCCAAATTAAGTGTCCACCATTAGTAACTTTGTTATTAGTGAAAATACAAAGTTGTTTGAATTAGCAAACTAGTAGCATTTTTAACGCTGGTAAAAATGAGAAATAAAAAAAAACAATTGAGAGTCGTTATTTTGATTTTTTTCAGTAAAATAACATTTTTTTAAATGGAAACCCCTGTATATTATATTTTTTTCTGTTAAAGCATCAAATTTTAAACAAAAAAGCTTACAATAACTTTTCTCCTAGGTTACAAATTGTTGAAGTTATGGCCTCCAATCTGAAACAATTAAATTGTATCGACAAACTTTATTTTCAACATCAACTTATAATCTTACAAAATACAATAACAATTTTTTTTAAAGAAGATGCTCGAAAACACCACCTTGTTCTTCAATACATTTTTGGGCACGTTTTTCAACTGCTCGAACTGTCTTAAGTATGGTCCTACCATCTATCTGGGTTATCTTTTCCCTAACTGCAGTCTTTAACGCGTCAAGGTTATCGTACCTTCGCTTGTAAATTTGGTTCTTTAAGTAACCCCACAAGAAGTAATCAAGTGGGTTTAGATCTGGTGATCTGGGAGGCCACTGTATTGGGCCATTTGTTCCTATCCACTGATCATTAAAAGTAGTACTTAGAAAATCATAAGTACCTCTGGAGTTGTGGGCAGGTGCGCCATCTTGCTGAAAATGCAGATGATGTCTACTTATAAGATCCAATTCGTCTAAGAAATTAGTCAGAATTTCTGACATAAATTCCACATATCTTTCACCAGTTAGGGTTCCCTCATAAAAGAACGGGCCAACAATTTTTGAACCAATTATACCGCACCAAACGTTGAAACTGAAACGGACTTGTGGGCCTCTTGGATGTACTAACAAAAGATTTTCTCTTGACCAATAATGGTGGTTTTTTCTATTAAACATTCCAGAATTTGAAAAAATTGATTCATCTGTCCATAAAAGGTAACGAAAGTTATTTCCATTTTGGCGACAGAAGCTAAGATACCAATGGCAAAAAACAAGTCTTCTCTCTGGATCCCCTGCCAAAAGCGTTTGAACTGGTCGGTACTTATACGGAATAAATTTGTATTTTTTTAAAATCCTTTGAACAGTACCATAACTGAAATTAGAGTCCTTGAGAATATCTGCTATTGAATTCTCACGATAAGCTTCAAAATATCCAATAACTGCAATTTCCGTGGCCTCGCTTATTATGAATTCTTTTTTTGCCCTTGTTTTAGCAAAAACATTTTCGTTGCCCCTAAATTTTCGATAAAATCTCAGAAAATATCGTTCATACGGTTGAATGCGAGCGGGATATAATTCACTGTAGTATTCTCTTGCTCTCAAGGAGGATTTTCTGCACACTAAATAGCATTCTAACATATCACACTTTTCTTCATGGGAGAACATTTTTCTTTAAATTAATGACACAATAAAGCTTATAAACAAGTATTTACACTAATGTTTGACATTATTTGATTTTATCATTGTTTTCCAAAGCCTTCTAGTTGCGAGTATGTCCAGTTTAACAATTTGTCGCTTATCTTAATGCTGTCAAATCGCGAACGCCATGTTGTTTTCATAGCCGTCTTAATATTATAATACTGCAAATAATTAAAAATATTTATCGTTATTTTGACTTTATTTTTGACTTTAGCGGAAAAGTCATTATGAACTTTTTTGTTTAAAATTTGATGCTTTAACAGAAAAAAATATAATATACAGGGGTTTCCATTTAAAAAAATGTTATTTTACTGAAAAAAATCAAAATAACGACTCTCAATTGTTTTTTTTATTTCTCATTTTTACCAGCGTTAAAAATGCTACTAGTTTGCTAATTCAAACAACTTTGTATTTTCACTAATAACAAAGTTACTAATGGTGGACACTTAATTTGGATAACCCTGTATATGGTGCTTTTTAAACACTAGATATTCCAAAAACTTTGTAGTTTGAGTCTTTCCTTGTGAAATACTCGAGTACATACAGTAATCGACAAAAGTATGTAGACAAATATGAATATTTACCTAAATACCTTTAGAAAACGAATTCATACTTCATTGCTACAGTTTCGTGTCAGAAGAGGGTTAGTTTGTGTTCATCAAGTATTGTGGAATAAGTTGAGTGATTTTAAGACCGTGCCGCGTGGTCCAGAAATTTCTTTCGATGTGAAAGCTAAGATCATTGAGTTATACAAAGATGGTCAACGTCAAGTCGACATTGAAAAAAATTTGAAGCTGAAGCGTAAAGCAGTTTGGGCAATATCGAACATGGTTGGTTTTCTATAATTCAATCAACTTTGCTTTTTTTTTCTATAATTGTTTTGCTTTGTCTATATATTTTTGTCAGTCATAGTTCCAGATTTTTTCAATTTTTATTGATGGGAGTCTAATGAATTTATTTATGTATAAGTGAGTATTATGCTATAACGATTTATATATACAGGTTGGTGTATTAATAAAACAAGTTAAAAAAGAAATACAGCACAATATTAATGTGTCTATATATGGGGTTGTCCAAAATGGACGTAGGAAAGTAAACGCATATTAAAACAAGCAAGATTGATATTCAAATCAAGTTGGGTACTTTATTTTGAAGGTTCATTTATACCATTTATGTATGAAAAATAATATCGCTCAAATGTTCACCACGACTGGATTTACAGACGTCCACGCGATGGTCGAAATTTTCAATGACATTTTGCAACATGGTCGGTTCTATGGCATTTATCTCGGCAATGATGTTGTTTTTGAGTTCTTGGAGGGTGGCTGGTTTGTTGACGTAGACTTTGCTTTTCAAATATCCCCATAAAAAGAAGTCCAAGGGAGTGAAATCGCACGATCTTGGTGGCCATGGCACATTTCCTCTGCGCGAAATCACGCGATCACCGAAGAAGGACTGCAATCGATGGATATTGACCTTGGTTGTGTGGCATGTTGCACCGTCTTGTTGGAAATAAACATCGTCCATATCAATTTCTTCAAGTTGCGGCAAAAAATAGTCCTCTATCATCACGTGATATCGCTCAGAATTGACGGTAACGGCGTCCACGGCCGCATTTTCGAAAAAGTAAGGTCCGATGATGCCTTTTGACCACAATGCACACCACACAGTCACTTTTTGAGGATGCTGATACTCACGGGGATTTTCGTTCGCCCAGATGCGGCAGTTTTGCTTGTTTACCGTCCCATTCAAAGTGAAATGCGCTTCGTCGCTGAACATGATTTTTGATGAAAAATTGGCATCAATTTGGCGGTGTTCAAGGAGCCAATCTGAGAACATTCGGCGCGAAAAATGGTCGGCCCGACGCAGCTCTTGCGTCAATTGGATCTTGTAGGCGTGTACATTCAAATCCTTGTGGAGAATGCGGAGCAAACTGGTTCTCGAAATGCCCAATTCTTGGGATCGACGCGTTGTTGATTGTTTCGGATCGTCTCACACACTCCTTCACAACAGCAATATTTTCCGGTGTGCGAACGCTCTTTGGCCGGCCAGAGCCTGGCAGATTTGCCACAGAACCTGTTGCCTCGAATTTACGCATCAGACGACCGATGGTTGTTTCGTTTGGGCGGTTGTTGCGACCGAAATGTTCACGAAGCGCGCGAAACGTGTTTTTTATTTTTGCACCATTTTTGTAGTGCTCTTGAATAACTTTAATGCGGTCTTCAATCGAATACGACTCCATAGCGATCAATGGTAAACATTCAACTAACAAAATGACATGTCGGTGACAGAAAACAAAGATGGCGTCTATGTCAAATTGACGTTTACTTTCCTGCGTCCCTATGGGACAACCCTATATTTTTGTCCATTACTGTACATCAGAAAAAATGATAATTTCAATGCTGCTTCAGTACTACATGATCAGCAACTTCTAACAATGAATGCATTAAAATATTGTCAGCATAAAACAATTTTCAGGTTTCATTTACATTATCCAAATCATTAATGAACATATTAAATAATAGTGGGCCTAAGTGTGACCCTTGCTGAACACCTGAGTTTACACTATCTGTGTTAACATTGTACCCATTATAGTACACATAATGTGATCTATTGCATAAGTAAGATTCACAAATTTTTTTAAGAATAATACCAAAAGCTTTTAAAAAGTCAGTGTAGATAACATCTAAAAAGTACCAGTTTTAGCTTCTGTCTGATTTGATGATACTAGTATGAACTGCAGGGTATATGTGATTTCAAAGTTTGGCAGAATGGATATGGCACAGTAATTGGTGATAAATTTATCACCTGTTTTAAAAGTTGCCAAATGACAAATTAGCAGCTTGTTCAATCATTGTTGCAGTAAATCCATGGTTTCGTGGACCGAGCTGCAAGTGTGCCTTGTTGAAATGGGATGTTTGAATATCATGGATAAACCACAAGAAGTTTAATAGTGGTTGACAAATTGAATTCGATGAAACCTTGGTTGTATCATTAAAAATTGAAATTCCAGATAGTACCACATTGACTATTGTAACAGTCAACTTTAGAAACAAATAATCTTTAAAAACTGAATGTTGAGAATGCTCGTTTTCTTCAATAATAATGCTAACATGATAAGGTTGATTGTTTTTACATTTCTTATCAAACTTCTAAATGAATTATTTATCATCAGTTTTTGGGGTACTGACATCAAGGTTATTTTAAATGGTACAAATGTGGGGTTGTCCAAAACGAACAAAGGAAAGTAAACGCATATTAAAACAAGAAAGATTGATATTCAAATCAAGTTGGGTACTTTATTTTGAAGGTTCATTTATACCATTTATGTATGAAAAATAATATCGCTCAAATGTTCACCACGACTGGATTTACAGACGTCCACGCGATGGTTGAAATTTTCAATGACATTTTGCAACATGGTCGGTTCTATGTCATTTATCTCAGCAATGATGTTGTTTTTGAGTTCTTGGAGGGTGGTTGGTTTGTTGACGTAGACTTTGCTTTTCAAATATCCCCATAAAAAGAAGTCCAAGGGAGTCAAATCGCACGATCTTGGTGGCCATGGCACATTTCCTCTGCGCGAAATCACGCGATCACCGAAGAAGGAGTGCAATCGATGGATATTGACCTTGGTTGTGTGGCATGTTGCACCGTCTTGTTGGAAATAAACATCGTCCATATCCATTCCTTCAAGTTGCGGCAAAAAATAGTCCTCTATCATCACGTGATATCGCTCAGAATTGACGGTAACGGCGTCCCCGGCCGCATTTTCGAAAAAGTAAGGTCCGATGATGCCTTTTGACCACAATGCACACCACACAGTCACTTTTTGAGGATGCTGATACTCACGGGGATTTTCGTTCGCCCAGATTCGGCAGTTTTGCTTGTTTACCGTCCCATTCAAAGTGAAATGCGCTTCGTCGCTGAACATGATTTTTGATGAAAAATTGGTATCAATTTGGCGGTGTTCAAGGAGCCAATCTGAGAACGTTCGGCGCGAAAAATGGTCGGCCCGACGCAGCTCTTGCGTCAATTGGATCTTGTAGGCGTGTATATTCAAATCCTTGTGGAGAATGCGGAGCAAACTGGTTCTCGAAATGCCCAATTCTTGGGATCGACCCGTTGTTGATTGTTTCGGATCGTCTCTCACACTCTCCTTCACAACAGCAATATTTTCCGGTGTGCGAACGCTCCTTGGCCGGCCAGAGCCTGGCAGATTTGCCACAGAACCTGTTGCCTCGAATTTACGCATCAGACGACCGATGGTTGTTTCGTTTGGGCGGTTGTTGCGACCGAAATGTTCACGAAGCGCGCGAAACGTGTTTTTTATTTTTGCACCATTTTTGTAGTGCTCTTGAATAACTGTAATGCGGTCTTCAATCTAATACGACTCCATAGCGATCAATGGTAAACATTCAACTAACAAAATGACATGTCGGTGACAGAAAACAAAGATGGCGTCTATGTCAAATTGACGTTTACGTTCCTGCGTTCCTATTGGACAATCCTTTATAACTACACACTTTCTCTTTTTTTGGGGCCCTTTGGCATTTTGAGGTTTTTGGTGGCCCCTCAATAGCCCAATATTTTGTTTATGCACTGCATCTTACAGGAACACTTGATCTTGAAGAATGGGGTGTTTTCTTACATGCCAAAGACAGAGTATTTCGTAATTTTGATGACATTAGAGCAGAAATTCAGCGTGAAACAGATCGTTTGGCAGGAACAAATAAAGGCATTTGCAACGAACCGATCAATCTCAAGATATATTCCACCAAAGTAGTGAATTTGACATTGGTTGACTTACCTGGCATCACAAAGGTACTCTTTTTGAAAAAAGTATAAATATTCTTTGGAAATTCGTACATATTGGGTCCTTCAGGATAAACTAATATTTTATGAATGAATAGGTAAATTCTTTTGATAGGTCCCCGTGGGTGAGCAGCCCCCAGACATAGAACAACAAATTCGGGAATTGGTACTAAAGTATATTTCAAACCCAAACTCTATAATCCTCGCTGTTGTCACCGCAAACACAGATATGGCAACGTCAGAAAGCTTAGCTATAGCTAGAGATGTAGATCAGGACGGTAGACGAACTTTGGCTGTTGTGACAAAGCTAGACTTGATGGATGCAGGTACCTTATTATGATAAAAAAAGTAGAAAAATATTCACGCTGTTCAACAATTTTTAGGAACTGATGCTATCGATATATTATGTGGCAGGGTGATACCAGTAAAGTTAGGCATAATAGGAGTGGTAAATAGATCGCAACAAGACATAATTAACAACAAGAGCATCCAAGATGCTTTGAAAGATGAAACATCATACTTGCAAAGTAAATATCCAACGTTGGCAGCGCGGAATGGTACCCCGTATCTGGCCAAAACACTAAACAGGCTGTTGATGCATCATATTAGGGACTGTCTCCCTGATCTAAAGGTAAAATTGAACATTAACAACTATCCTATACTGCCATACTTACGTAAAAGGTGAAGTAAATCAAGAAACTTGGGTTCAATATTGTGATATATGCAGTTAAATCTTATTTTTTACTATTTGACTGTTTTTTGTTAGATATAGGTTTTTTAGATTTATGTTAAAAATTCCCATACAATTTTTTTTTTGGAGGATATAAATTTGAATGCAATTTTGGATCATAATTTTTGAGGAGGTTCAAATTAAAAATTCAGTTATATGTTATTCACTGCTTTTATTCTCTGTTAAACAAACTTACTAATTTTTTTTGTTAGGTTTAATAATTTATCTATACAGGGTGTCCGCAAAGTTGGGGTTTTCCTTTACACGACGTGTAGATCTTGAAAACATAAGCAATTTTTCTTAGTACCATATACACCAATGTCTTAAGGGAACCGAGATAAAGGGCTCTGCAACATCAAAAATATCTGAATACCGTCCTGTAGGCGCGACCTCCCCCAGTGGTACTAGGACACTAGCTCAACCCGACGACAGAACTGGGTCGGGGTCAGTGTGTCAGGTCAGTATGCAACCTTCAACCGACGGTTACGGTCACGCGTGAAGAGATAATCGCGTAGACGTAAATCCCTCAACAAGCACTAGAGACGTGGCTAGAGAAGTGCAAGTATCAAAAACTAAAGTGTGGCAAACGCTCCGTGAAGAGGGGCTGTATCCGTTTCACGTCCAACGTGTACAAGCCCTTCAACCTGACGATTTTCCAGCAAGAGTGCGGTTTTGTGAGTGGTTGTTGCATCAACATGACAATAATCCGTACTTTTTGAAGTGCATATTTTGTGACAGACGAATCTACGTTCACGCGTAATGGGGTGAACAACTTTCGCAACACTCATGTTTGGTCAGTAGAAAATCCGCACGCTGTCCGTCGGGCACATTTTCGGTGAATGTTTGGGCTGGCATGGTGAACCTAGACCTAGACTTTTTACGCAACATTTTGCTTTCCTTGTTTGCCTGCGTCTGCTCGGTAGCGCATCAGCTGATTTCATTTTCTGTTGGAGCGGTATGATTTCGGGCAGAGACGTACTTAGCCCTTCTCGTCAACTGGAGAGTGAGTACTTTTTCCTTTATTTTTTTTTTACTTGGTCGCCCTCGTTTCATTACACATTACCTTTGTTATTTCAAGGGTAGTTGTTTCTGAAAAGGAAAATCCCAGCTTTGCGGACACCCTGTATTACTTTTTTAAAGGAAAATCAGTAATGTAAAATAAGTTTTTTTTATGTTTTTAATATAATTTATTCATATTGAAATTCAAGTAAATAGCACAAAAGTATACATCTTTTCAACACTTAATATTTCATTTTAATAATAATTATAGAATTACATCTAATACTTACATTCAACAACAATAATTATATAAATATATTAAAAACAGACTTCTCATATGTTAAATTGAATGAAGTACATTTTTCAAAAATATTGTTTCATAGTAAAAGTAATTATTCATGAGGATAAATACTTACTCACAAGTAAGAACTACTGCATAAAAAACTAAATAGGATAACATAAACTTTTCCATTCTTATAATTTGATTTCTACTTTTATGTTTTGGAAATATAATTAATACGAAATATTTGAGAAACTGAAAAAAAATATTTACCTCAATGATATACAGCAGACGCTCGATAATGTAAACTAATTTAATCCAAGTGTGGTTCACATTATCGAAATGTTTACATTAGCGAACGTGATTTATTAAAAGAAACGTTTAATACATACTATTTATAACAAAATAAACAAATATTCTAACAGCGATAAGTATTTTTTTAATTAAAAGAAAAATAATTAACAATTTTTGTCTGCGTAAATTTGCGCTAAGCATTGTCTTCCAATGCCTGCGCCCGTAATTTACGAAGAACTAAAATATCCGTGTATGAAACTTCTTTTCTTTTAGCCCAATCTAAAGCTTGGTTAAAAACTTGTATAGCTCGCGCGTCAGTCACTACACTTCTGACTTCAATGGGATCGTTCTCATCATCATCACTGTCCATATCCTCCTCCTTATCAGCATCATTCGTCTGCTTATCTTCGTTCCATAAATTAATATCAGCAGGAGTACAAACAATGTTGGGATTCACTGTTTTCAATAAATCAACAACATCCAATGACACACTAATAACATTATCATTATTGGATCGCAAACGTTCTCTAATTACGCTTAAGGGGACATCGTCTTCTTCATCATCTTCATTATTGGTACAAAAGAGATTGTTCCAACATTTTTGAATAGTTTGATGGTTAAGTTCGTTCCAGGCCATATGCAAATCTAAAACAGCTTCTCGTAATGTTACTTTTGTTAAAGCCTCAGATAAGTTTTCAGGATTCTTTGATAAGACAGACGAAAGTAGATACTTTTTTGCTTTCCCAATTACCAGTGGCTTTATTTTTTGTGAACCATTAGCATTAGTGCAGGCTAGAAAAGTTATTCGTTGTTTCTCCGGCTTTCTTCCCGGGGCAGATTTTTCAAATGATGCAGCATAGGTTTTCTCTGGTAACGTTTTCCAATAAAGGCCACTTTCATCTGCGTTGTAAATTTGTTCCATTCTTAAATCTAGCTCGGTAATTGTTTTCATCAATTTTTCTTTGAATGGTTGCACTAATTGTGGTTGTGCTGATAATGTTTCACCAGATATAGACAGCAGTCGAATTCCATATCTTGTTTTGAATCGTTGTAGCCAGCCATCACTAGCTACGAAATTTTCAGTTTCTTTCAGTTTTTCATTTAACAGTCTCGCTCTCTGTTTAAGTACTTCGCCACTAACTGGGACATGATTTTTCCGTTGTTTTAAAAACCACTTATACAGGGAATTTTCCATTTTAGGTGCCTTCGCATTTTTTAAAGTTTTTCTTTTTCCCGGACCTCCAAATGTATTGCACGTTCTTTGTAAAATTTGAGTTTTCATACGCTTAATTTTACAGATTGTTGCTTTCGATACTCCATATTTTTTTGCTAACTGTGTCACTCCCGCACCCAGTGCAACTTCGTCTATGATTTTGACTTTCTCACTCAACTTTAAACACTTTCTTTTATAGGATGTAGATGCCATAGTCGTAAAATATATTAACGCGTGCAATGTATTCACTTAAGTTCAAAAATGAGATACATACGTACGTATAAACGTATCCTAAACGATCATACGACTGACCGAGTTTGTCGTATTTTATCGCAGAGGTGAATCCCCTACACTCTACATCATAAATCGGGGACTCCCCGACGCCTGACATAAATCATCGAGGCTTCAGCATTTTACCGTCGCGCTGTTTCCGTGCGCCGAGAGTTGTTTACGTTATCGAGCGTACACATTGTTTACGTTATCGCGCGTTCCGTTTGATCCTATAGAACGAAGTTTATGTTTACATTAGCGCAAGTTTTCATTATCCCGTGTTTACGTTATCGAGCGTCTGCTGTATTTTGTAATTGTAATAATAAAAGGCACGTATTGGTGTCATAATTTAAAACATCAGTAAATGAAGTTGACTGCCTTTTACCCAAGTAGGGCAGCATATGTCCGTATCCAGGACAAGGTAATTTTACTTCACACGCCACTGGCGAGGAGGTACTGTAATCGCGGAAACTTTCGAAAATGTGATAGTATGTATTTTTTTCAAGACAAGAGTGAACCTGATGATTTCTCAGTACCAGTCACTGCTTTCTTCATATGGAGAAGATATATCAGATAAAAGTAAAACGCTTTTACAAATTATAACAAAATTTGCATCGGCATATTGTTCCACAATCGAAGGTACAGCAAGAAACATTGAGACCACCGAGTTGTGTGGTGGTGCTAGGATTTGTTATATATTTCATGAAACTTTTGGCAGAACGTTGGATTCTATCCATCCGTTAGCTGGTCTAACTAAAATGGATATTTTGACAGCAATAAGGTGAGTTATTTATTTTTTGTATTCACACAGGGTGAGTTTTTAGAGTCGTCTCAGTCGACAACTCTGTTATTATGAATGGTATCTAAACAAAATCGTAGACAACGCTATGCTTCTGACTTTAAAAATATTTTTGGTTCTACAGGGTAACTATGTGTTTAGTAAAGATTTTCCACTTGAGGAAAAATGTCGAGGAAACATAATGATGTAAATTTTTTAGTTTCTGAAAACTTTCGTATTCGTTGTTAATTGCAGATATTTCTACTGCATTATTTTTTAATATATCAATTTGTAAATAAAAAGAAATAAATGAGTTACGAGGAAAGATAAATAGACTTGACTGGTTAACAACAACAGATACAGATGACTAATTGTTGTTGATTAAACTAGTGCTTAGGTGTAATTAAAATTTAAGATTTTTCGGTTTGTATTATGAGTTTTGTGAATAAAATGTTCATCATTATAGAAATGCGAATGGTCCTCGTCCCGCCCTATTTGTACCTGAAGTTTCGTTCGAATTACTAGTCAAAAGACAAATCAGAAGACTGGAAGAACCGTCTCTTCGGTGTGTTGAGTTGATACATGAAGAAATGCAACGAATTATTCAGGTATGATTCCAGCGAACAAATGTTTCATGTCAAGCTTCTTTTAAACGTATCTACACCATAAAATGTACATGCTTTTGTTCCATGTCAGCACGTTATGCTGTTAACGTCCAAGAAAATATTATAATCTTTCAAAGTTGAATGTAGTGATATATAATATATTATAATATCCCCGGGTAAATATTTCGAAAACTGATCATGACCTTGTCCGCGAGCTTCAAGGTCATTCCCAGGTCTAGCAAATACTCTCAAATGGAACTTCTATTTTTTACACCGGAATTAGAAACAGGAGGGAATTTTACGTCAGAGTGTGACCTTGACTATGACCATCGCCTTTTCAAAGAAAAATCAAAACATTGAAAAAATTGCTGTGTTTTTTATTTTTAATTTGAAACGGTGAAAAAGTTATCGGCCATGAGTTGACGTCGCACAACAAAGAAACGTCATCCGTATGTCACTCGTGAACTAACGTTGTCTTTAAGTATCATTAAAAACCCCTAATCAACGAAAAAAGTTATCGATTACTTGTTTTATTCAATAAAACAATCGTGCATGATGGATTTGCCGAAAATTGACACATTGTTTTCCTTATAAACATGGACATATTTTCTAAAACCAAGACAATAACGGAAACAAGATCTTATCAGTTTGCGACAAAGCGGGTCCGTATACAGCATCACAATAAGATATCCTTGAAATTATTAGTGAGTCACAAACTGTAATTTTAACTTACTACATTGAAATCTCCTTTGGACGGACTCCAACGGGACCGACTGAAAGAAAGAAAAAGAAATAGTGTTTTTAATGAAAACTGGATATACAGGGTGACTTTGAAGTTGAGTCATTAATTTTCAGATAATGATTGTAGAAGGAAGATAAACCAAAATATGTGTGTAAAAATAAAAAAAAATTAAAAAAAATGTTACCTTGTTTTATAAAGTATCCTCCCGACAAGTATTTCAGTGCGGACCTGTGCGCCCAAAAGCATGTCACAAAAACTGTTCGAAATGATTTCCGTTTTGCTCGACGCACAGCTGGGCGCGTCTTAGCCATGTCTCTTTACAAGCACGCAATAAAATCACTGGTTGATTTCTGATCACTGTACTCATTTCCTCAATTCGAGCACGTAATTCTTCGCGTGTATTAACCGGTGTTTTATACACTAGAGTTTTTAGCCAACCCCACAAACAAAAGTCTAAAGGATTTAAGTCCGGAGACCTTGGCGGCCAAGGTACAAAACCGCCACGGCCGATCCAACGATTATTAAATTGTCTATTTAAAAATTCACGCACATTTCTTGCATAATGGGGTGGTGCCCCATCTTGTAAAAACCACATGTTTTGTCTAATATTTAAAGGCACATCTTCCAGTAAACCAGGCAAATTGTGTTGCAAGAAATCAAAATAATTTTCACCAGTTAAGCGATTTGGTAATTCAAAAGGCCCCACTAAAATTCCATTAACAATTCCCGCCCACAGGTTGATTGGTTCAAATCGCTGTTGAAAATTGGTTTCCCTTATTTCATGGGGATTTTCAATAGCCCAAACGTGAGAATTACGTGAATTAATAATTCCGTTTCTAGTAAAGAGGGCTTCATCACTCACTAAAATTTGATTTAAAGAATTGTCATCATTTTGATGTTTATTTAAAAGCCAATTGCAAAAGTCAACCCTTTGTTCATGATCTTCCGGTTGTAAGGCCTGCACTTTTTGTATGTGAAACGGATAGAACTGATTTTCACGTAGAGTTTTCCAACTTTTATACTGACTAATCGCCAATTGAGTTGAAATTTGTCGGGTGCTTACTGTTGGATCATCACTTACTAATTCTAAAATTTGTTCTTCTAGTTCTATTTGATCGTGTGGTCTTGGAGCACCGGCATGATCTCCTCTGTGAGGTCTTAAGTCACCTGATTCACGAGCTCTTTGCACTACATTAACAAAGGCACGAGGGGTTGGTTGCACTCGATTGGGAAACCGATCCGCATAGATCCGTGATGCCGCGGCAGCATTTTGTAAAGAACCATGTCCACAAGTTCAGCATTTTCGTAAACATGTGCCATTTTTGATTTGAGCCTCGCAACAGACACGATTATTCACTTACGCGTTACCGACTACCGACTGATACTGACTGTATACAACTGAAGAAAATAATTGTAAAAAGATCGTTCCAAATTCTTTCGCTTTTTTGTTTCCGATGCGATGAACGGATAAGGCGGATTATATCTGTTGTTGCCAAACACGAGAACATAATATCATTATTGAGACAGGGCGGTACTCAAACTTCCAAAGGGCTATAACTTTGTTACTTTAATTTTACCAGAAAAATGGTAAAGGAAAAAAACATTTCTTTTGATCAGATCTACTCACTGTTAAAATAAATGACTCAACTTCGAAGTCAATGTTTCACGGACAACCAAATGACTCGAACGAGTTGAAACTTGTACTGAAGATGTATCACATGTTCCCCTGGCTCGCCACTAAGCCCGGCGCCTCCACTGTTGCCAGGTCGAACTCTACATTGCCAGTCTCATTAAGAAACGGGGACATTTAATACGTTTGTACAAGTGCTCAACCAATAATGGCATACTTCTAAACCTAGGTATGTAATGTACTGTTTCAGCATTGCGGTAGCGAAGTTCAGCAAGAGATGTTGCGTTTCCCAAAGCTGTACGAAAAAATCGTGGACGTGGTCACCCAACTTTTGAGGCGTAGGCTACCGACTACGAACGTGATGGTGGAAAATTTGGTAGCCATCGAGCTTGCGTACATAAACACAAAACATCCAGACTTTTATAAAGAGATCGCGACGGTTCCTACTATGATAAAATCCGGTGACGGTTCCAGGCCGACTAGACCAAAGAGCATGTACGGCAAGATGCAGACTGAGCAACAAGATTTCGTTGTAAGTAAGGTATTGTATTCGTTTTTTTTTTCATTTTATTTTATTTTAGTTTCATTCGGGAGTAGTATACAGGGTTTGTCCGGAAAGTAGTAGGACTGAGTCGATTTAAAAAAATTTATTGAGCCAATCGTTACAATTCTTTAAAAACTTTCTAAATTAGCGCGACAAGCAGAATTTTGGTCAAATTCGGAAGGTCATAACTTTTTACTTTTACCTCGTTTTTATTGATTTTTTAGGCAGGCGTTCATGTAGATATGAGTTCTTGATTTTAGTCACGGTTTGACTCGATGAATCAGAACGATGTTTCATTTCTCTAACTTTGCTAATCGATCGAACGTTTTTGTCCACGTTTTCTCAGTTGTTGTTTTTGGTTATAGATGCAGCGTAAAAATACTTCGGTGGCACTAGTTCCCAGACAAGATCAAGCTGATTTTTTCAATTACTTGTTTCGAATACTACCCGCGACTAGCTATAATGATTTTATGAATGCAGTGCAGGTACAGAGATTTTTCGTAAATCTGCTTTGTAACATGAACATTCATTTCATGTGCTAATACGGCATTGTCCAACGTTTGATCCTACTAATTTTTTTTTCTGGCGGTTGCGGTTTGATTTTTAATGATGTATGGTGTGATCAAAAAAGACAGAAGCTCTAGGAAGGTTGATCTCTATGCTACGATAAATTTTGTTTGTTCGTTCTATTTAAGTGGTGTCAATAGACATAATTATCGATATTGGAGTGACTCGAATCCACACTTGTTTCAAGAGGTACACTCGCAATATTCTGAAAAAATAAATGTGTTGGCAGGCAGTTTTGGAAATTATATTGTAGGACCTTGTTTATTCCTGGAAATTTGATAGGCGAGACGTACTTGGACATATTAGAAAATACATTAGAGCTACGAATTACCGAAATAGTAGAAAATGACGTTACAGTGGACCCCCGATAATCCGGCCGCTGTCTAATCCGGCGCCCCCTGTAATCCGACATGTCTGAATATTACATACATACGTATTTGACAATATTCGCTAATGTAGATCACGCAGGTTTGAACAGGTTACAACTTGTACGCGCCACCGCTATCGTGCGTTCATTGTTTACTATTTATTCATTGTGTATTAAGTATAGTATCTAGTAATGTCATCACAAACTCAGAAGCGAAAGCACAAAACATTGACAATTAAAGAAAAATGTGATATTTTAGACCGCTTAAATCGCAATGAAACTTTCAGTAGTTTAACAAGTGAATACGGCGTAGGCCGATCTACAATTTATGACATTAAAAGAAACCACGAGAAGATCAATAAGTTCGTTGTTGGTCCGATGTTGGTCATGAAAGCTAAGTTTTTTTATAAGGAAATAAAAAACGATGATTTTGTCGCCAGCAAAGGATGGCTAGAACGTTTTAAAAGTCGTCATGGCATACGTTTAATGACTATTACAGGAGAGAAACTTTCTAACGATGCCACCTGTATAGAGCCCTTTAAATTAAGATTTTTGCAAAAGGTGAACAATTTAAATCTTGACCCGTCACAGCTGTACAATGCAGACGAATCAGGGCTTTTTTGGCGTGTGATGCCTAACAAAACTTTCGTAAATCCGTACCTGGACGAAAAGTAAGTAAAGAGCGTGTAACCATACTACCATGTGCTAACGCTGCGGGCACACACGCGCTTAAGATGATGGTCATTGGGAAATCTAATAAACCACGGGCATTAAAAAACATTGATCTACCTTACCTGTACACTATTACGGACAAAAAAGTGCATGGATGACAAAAGACCTTTGCAAAAAGTGGTTTGATGAATGCTTCGTACCTGAAGTTAGAAAATGGTTAATTTTCCTCAAAAAGCTTCTTGATAACGCTCCCGGTCATCCGTCTGAAGAAGAACTAACAACTGAGGATAAATGCATCACTGCGATATTTCTTCCGCCAAATTGCACTGCACTGATTCAACCAATGGACCATAATATCATTCATTTTGTCAAGCAAGACTATAAGAAAAACCTACTTCTGAGAGCCGTATCAAAAGACCAACCAATAGAAAAAACTTTGAAAGAATTTAATACGAAAGACTTGGTTTTTGCTCTTTGTCACTCGTGGAATGCGTTACCGTCATCAACTATTAAATCGTCTTGGAAAAAGTTATGGCCGGATATAGTCACTACTCCAAGCAACGTTCCACAAATCAGTGTAACTTCGGAAGTTATAGAACAAGTCGCTATAGAAACACAGATAAGTGCGGGATATTTGGAAATCTGGTGCCGTGGAATGGATAAAGAGGAAAATGTTTTTCATTTAATGTCTGACGAAGGGATTATAAAAGAGGTTTCTAATTATACAACAAACAATCAGGAAAATAACGACGTCGTGATTGCAACTGCTCCACAAGTCACAGCACAAGACGCAATTAACGCCTTTGAGCTAGGTTTACAATAGGCTGAAGAGAATGGTACATCCTACAACGAACTTTTACTTTTGAGAAGACTCAGAGTCAAAGCTCTGATCTCGCGTTATAACAACCTTAAAAAAAAATTGAAGAATATTTCCAAGCTTCATAATTTGATAAATTCATTAATGATTTTGATTAATAATTCTTGATTATTTTGGTACATATGTATGTGCATTTATGCTTAATTTTATAATAAAACGTAAGCTCTGTATTGTTATTTAATTTACTAAATTCGACATACATAAACTATGTACGATTTGTACTTCAAAGTACAAACATATACATAACATATATAATCTTATCATTGGATATGTAATTTGTCGGATTACAAGGTACTCTTTTGTAAAAAATTCCGGACTATAGGGGGTCTTAGGCAGTGCTCTATAATCCGACAAATTCGATAGTCCGACACTGCCCTGCATAATGTTTGTCATATTACCGGAGGTTCACTGTAATTATAATGAAAATTACATTCATCACCAACAAGATGGTGCACTATGTACAGTACGGCCGATTTGAACACCCATTTCCCGAATCAGTGGATCAGCAGACATCGAGTGGCCGCCGAGATCTTCGGGCATAAGTCCGTTAGATTACTTTCTTTGGGGCATTTGAAAAGAGTTGTTTTCAGTACAAAGTCAGATTCCATTCAAGATCTTCGTTAGCGGATTACGGCTGAATTAGATATGCTTAAAAAGGGGAGGAATAGAGTCGAACAAATTCTTTATTATTGCATGGAGGTAAATGGAGACCACTTTCAGCACTTATTGCCACATTGACCTACCTCTTTATAGCAAATTAATTTTTACTTTAACTTTAATGTGCGTGCAAAGTGTAAGTTGTTTATTTAATACTTACTTATTTCTAAGGCCGTACTTCCATTTTTTGCGTTTTTTTTCAACTACCTGTTTGCAACATCCAAATCCTTTGCTTCATGATGTGTATAGAGATGACTAAAAACCATCGTTTTTAATTTTGTTTTGCCATAAAATGCATAGTTTATGCATAGTTTATGCATTTTATTGTGGATTTTTCCTTCAATCGTAACTTGTCAACAAATATTAGTACAGCTCTGAAATTGTATGCGAATATTCCACTTTTCTGAATGAATGAAACGAGTGTTTACTTTTATTCTTGTCACTTTTTCTCTTCGAAAAATCTTTGCTTTTCTTGAAAACTCAACTTGCTGCTAGACGAAGTTTCAAGAAAATCATAGATTTTTCAAAAAGGAAAAGTGATAAGAACAAAAGTAATCACTTGTTTCATTCTTCTGTAAAAGAGGAATATTCGCACACAATTTCAGAGCTATACGTATATTTATTTACAAGTTCCGATTGAAGAAAACATGCATTTTTTGAAAAAAAAAAATGAAAACATTATTTTTTAGTCATCACTATACATAACATGAAATTATCAGATGGAAAGGATGCAAACAGGTAGTTGAAAAAATCAAAAAAAGGGACGTGCCACCTTAATTTTAAAGCAAAGTCTTGTTACTAGCGGAACTATATTGGTTATTTTGACGATATTATTACAATTTCTTGAATTTTATTATAAAATCAAATAGTTTAACAACGATTGACAATAGGTATAAACTTTATTATACAAAATTTGCTAAAAACCATGCAAAATAGAAAACTTAAAAAATCTAAAGTGACACGCACTAACTCATGTTTTGCAATGCTTTGACGAGTAAAGGTCATTTATTGATATTATTATTTTTTTAAAACGTTTACAATAAAGAAGATTTTTTTCAGCACATGTGGTTTCGATTGGCTATAGAAAATGTGAGGGGTTAAAAACTTTACCACCCTGTATCTCAAAAGTTAAGACGTTTAGAACATACGTTTTCTTCTAAAAATGGACAAACAAATCGGTCCTTTAAATATTAAAATAGGAAACACCTTATACAGGGTGGCCAATATATAATTGACTAAATTGCGCATGCATTTCAGTAGGTGGCGCCATAGCAGTTTAAAGCACATGTATCCAATTCATCATGGAGCGCTACACGATCCCACAACGCGTCTGTATTGTTAAAACGTTTTACTTAAAAATAATGAGACGATTTTTGCAACGATTCGGAAGCTACGACGAGATTTCGGTCGAAATGTGCCCAATTTCAACACCATTCGTCAGTTGGTGCGGACATTTAAACAAACAGGTGGAGTTGAAGACTTGACAAGGTCGGAAAGAGAGTTCGTGAAAGTGTAGTGGAGCGCCCTGAGACGTCTACCAGACATCGCACGTCATTATGCACTGTCTTAAAGAAAGACTTGCACTTGCGGCCATACAAAATTCACTTATCCCAAGAATTACAGCCTAATGACCAAGACAACTGATGAGCGATGAACGGATTTGTTAATAAGCAGAATTGTCATATCTGCACATTAGAGAACTCTCGTGTAATCCATGAACAACCACTACATCCTCGTCGTGTCACAGTTTGCTGGTAATTCTCTTACTGTCACTGGCGAGCACTACCGTGATATGGTGCAAAACTTTCTTGCACCTCAAATCCAACAATTTAACCAGCAAAAGATGTGGATCCAGCAGGACGGAGCAACTTGTCACACAGCTAGGGAAACAATGAATCTTTCGCGAACAATATTTCCGGCACGTTTAATTTCTCGATTAGGTGATGTCAACCGGCCACCAAGGTCACCGGATTTAACGGCTCCTCACTTTTTTGGGAATTTTGAAAGATGCCAACAAACCAAATACTGTAGAGGCAGCTGAAGAACAATACTACGGAAGCGACTGAAAATATTTCTCCCGAAACCTACCAAAAAGTAATGGAAAATGTAATCAAGAGCGCTCAGGTTTGCCTGGCTTCTAGAGGCTATTTGTCTGATATTATTTTTCATACATAATTTGTAAGCTTCAATAACAGATTAAGATAAAAAAAATGGACGTATTTCATTTGATTTCACAAATATTCAAGATACAAACCAGTCAGTTACATATCGGCCACCCTGTATAAATGAGCTTAGGTCTTTTTTGGTTACATCATGTTGTGAAACTTTTCCTCTGGTTATCGATAATTTAAAAAATATTTGTCAGGCTCGTTCCACGGCGAATCCGCAGGTAAACAGTAGCGGCGATGACCCAACCACGTGGGTGTCCACCTTGACAGCAGCCCAAAATGGGAAAGAAAACGATCTGAATCACGTGAATAACATACCGGACAACGTCAAGCTGGAAAACGATATTAAGGACGTACTCAGCCCTACAAAACCTGTGAATTTGCTGCCGCAAGTTCCCACCAACACTTTCAGGTAAGAATGTGACCAATGAAATATACTAAGTGACATATAAATCCGAACACCCAGTTTAAATGGTTTTATTTTAATAAAAGTTGGTGAATGTATTTATGTTACTGTAAATAACAAGTGAAACAATTTTCAGCCTTATCAGTTGGACATTCCGGTTTTTATACTGCTTTTTTTTAATTCACTAACGCTCTAAAAATGAATATTTCAGCCGCAGTAAAGAATCAACGTTGGCGGTTTTGGTTCTTGACATCCTTTACGATCGGTTACGATGCCTAGAGTACGGAGACCTGTACGATTTCGTCAACTTAGTGAGTTTGATAGGGGCCGTATAGTGGGACTTCGGGAAGCTGGACTTTCTCTTCGGGCAATTGCAGTTAGAGTGCAAAGAAGTGTACACACTGTGGTTAGGTGTTGTCAGGCATGGCTTCGAGAAGGCCGTACGCAAAGAGCAAGGGGCACTGGACGCCGCCGTAGAACAACAGACCGTGAAGATCGCCGCCTAAGATTATTGGCCTTAAAGGACCGTTTCTCCACTACCAGCTCCATTGCAAATGAATGGTTTGCAGAACACGGAAGACCTATTGGCATGCGAAGTGTTTACCGACGAATGAGAAGTTTTGGCTTGTTTTCATACCGGCCACACTGGGTCCTCCCTTTAACTCGAGAACACCGACGTAATCGCCTTGAGTGGTGCAGACAACTTTCACTCTGGGATCAGGAATGGAACAGTATTGTCTTTAGTGACGAGTCTCGATTTTGTTTAGGCATGCACGATGGTCGTGCCAGGGTTAGAAGGCGACGTGGTGAAAGGAGGAATCCACAGTTTTTTGTTGAAAGACATGTTCATCACACTGTTGGAATTATGGTTTGGGGTGCTATAGCTTATGGTTCCAGGTCACCTTTAATCTTCATCAGAGGTAACATGAACGCGCAGCGTTATATCCACGTAGTTCTAGAACCCCATCTTTTACCCTATCTTGACACCCTAGCAGATCCAACTTTCCAACAAGATAATGCCCGACCACATGTTGCAAGAGTCACAATAGACTTCTTTCAACATAATGATGTCACATTGATACCATGGCCACCAAGATCTCCCGACTTATCCCCAATTGAGCACGTCTGGGATATGATGGGTAGGAGATTGCTCAATTTGCAACGTCCTCCTCAGACTCTAGAAGCACTTCGAGAGGAGTTGGTGGTTGCCTGGAATGAGATACCACAGGAGGACATTGACCACCTGATCAGAAGCATGCCTAGGCGCGTTGGAGAATGCGTAGCACATCAGGGTGCATCCACACATTATTAAAGGTCAAAGGGCTTTAAAGCAGTGCAATCATTTTGAAATTTTTACCATTTACTTATTATGCTTCATTAAGTACTTATACAAAATTTTCTTAAAATAAAACCATTTAAACTGGGTGTTCGGATTTATATGTCACTTAGTATACAAACAGGTGGTATCCATTTTCCCTATCTTAACCGGATTACTTATCTAGGAGTTGTTTTGGAAAAGCAGCTAACTTGGAAGCAGTTTGTAGAAAAGATAAAGAGAAGGTTTCAAAACGGTATCAATCTTCTTCGAATAATTCCAAAGTCGAGATGGGGTGCAAGTCCTGATATACAGGGTGATTCACAAGTTGACCAAAAATGAAACATCATCCAAAGGAACGCTTTTTAAGGGGGGGCTACTATGTAACATTTTCCCCGAGATCCGGGGTGTTAAAGTTTGGAAATAAAAAACTATTTTTTTTTAATATCTTCAAAACCGTCAACTGGAATGGTCTTAAATTTGGTATGTGGATTTACCTAAGTAAGTCTTTGCTTAGAATTAACGTAACGTGCACTAGTGGCGGAGATACAGGGGATTAGTGGCGTTATTTTTCCAAATAAAAATAGTACGGCACTGTTTTTTTTTTCGAAACGCGCAATTTTTTGAATTTCGCCTTCAATTTGCTACTCTTGTGTTTTTTCCTAAAGTGCATTGTTTTCGTAAAAACAAATTAGATCAAGCTTTATTTCAATCACCGCTTTGGGTTAAAGGTGAGGGTTACTTAACTCGGAGTTAGCGGTAACCCCAGGTTAAATTCGAGTAGCTTCGCACCGTCAAGGTTTAACTCTGGGTTTATAAACCCCGAGCTTTGGTCATGTTGGCAAGCTTGGAATATAGAGATATTTCTTAGAATTAATGAATTTATTGGCAATATTGCCACAAAGGCTAGTTCTGTGCTAAAAGTTTGTCGATTTGTGCTGGGATTTGAAAGATTGACGTAAATTTTGACATTTTAGTACTTGTGTTTTGTATTCAGTTTCATTGCTATTTTTTCGATTATCGTTTGTGTTTGATTTGGCTGGATAAAATATTTTCAAATACCCAACTTCCAAACAGAATCACAAATATATATACATATATATATATATATATACATAGGGTGACTTTGAAGTTGAGTCATTAATTTTCAGATAATGATTGTAGAAGGAAGATAAACCAAAATATGTGTAAAAATTAAAAAACATGTTACCTTGTTTTATAAAGTATCCTCCCGACAAGTATTTCAGTGCGGACCTGTATTTGATCGTGAGGTCTTGGAGCACCGGCATGCCCTCCCCTGTGAGGTCTTAAGTCACCTGATTCACGAGCCCTTTGTACTACATTAACAAAGGATGTCCACAAGTTCAGCATTTTCGTAAACATGTGCCATTTTTTATTTCGTTTGAGCCACGCAACAAACACCACTATTCACTCACGCGTTACCGACTGACATCGTAATAAACGTTTCAAATTCTTTCGCTTTTTTGTTTCCGATGCGATGAACCGGTCAGGCGGATTATATCCGTTGTCGCCAAACACGAGCATACACGTATAATAGGCAGGGCGGTACTCAAACTTCCAAAGGGCTATAACTTTGTTACTTTAATTTTACCAGAAAAATGGTAAAGGAAAAAAACATTTCTTTTGATCAGATCTACTCACTGTTAAAATAAATGACTCAACTTCGAAGTCACCCTGTATATATATAACTTGAGACGTGGTCATTGTCGTCTAGACCAGTTAGGTGAAAAATTAAAGCTTCCGCCTTTTGTTGGGTACTTCGACAAAATTTAAGCAAAGAGGACTCTTTATACTTTTTTAAATCTCTCTAGCTTTCAATGGACTTTGCCATCATCTTCAGGAGCTGCAATTACAATGATTACAGTCGCAACAAAAGTGTAAAATGAATTTAAATTGACTCAACTTACAGTAGTATGTGAGGATGTTGCTAATTGTTGTTTACGTATAGGATGAGGGAAACGTCCAGTAACATGGTGAGAGCTGGATAGATGGTACAATGGTCAAAATTATATAAAATATGACAAGTACAAGTTAAAAACAGATTAAAAATTATTTAAAAAACATTAGAGCATTACATCGTGAAGCCACTTGATGATTGCACAAAATGGTGGTCATGGAATAATAAGTGAGATGAACCCTTTGACAGAAGGCCGAAGGTTGTCAATGTCTGTGTTGCTACTGTTATCATTGTAATTGCAGCTCCTGAAGATGATATCAAAGTCCATTGAAAGCTAGAGAGAATTAAAAAAGTATAAAGAGTCCTCTTTGCTTAAATTTTGTCGAAGTTCCCAACAAAAGGCGGAAGCTCTAATTTTTCACCTAACTGGTCTAGACGACAATGACCACGTCTCAAGATATATATATATATATATATATAGTATTCATAGTTAATTGCCTTAACTATTAGAAGAAGATATCCTTTAATTTCTTTGGGTAGATGGCAAAGTATTGCAAAAGTACACTCTTATAAGTTAAACTCTCAAGCTTTCGAAGATCTATGTCTTCATCGTCTGGAGTAAGTCGGCGAGATTGTTGCAGAAATTGTTTTTAAACAACAGTGAAGGAAACACATAGTCGACGAATAAAAAACTGGACCGATGAGGTTCGATTAGGACGGAATTATTTTATTAGTAAATGGCAAATCATTTTGAAAGGTTTTTTTTAATTCAACGTTGATTGATTTTGGAAGAAATTTGGAGATTTTAAAACTCTGAACTATTGAAAATTCCTTCGAGATTTCATCTTTTTTTCACTGATAACCTCCACATTATCCAACACGTGCCGGCCGACTTGGAGCTAATTTAATAATAATGGTAATAATAGACAGAATTACAAAGCTAGACTTTTACACTTAACTAATCAGTCTGCAACATGGGTGATACAGTAGTGATACATACATTTCTAAAATAGAAAAATAATAATAATAAATGTCTTTATTAGCAACACAACAATAGGGCGAAGTTTAGCCAGTTGGCTACTCTTACACCCATTATTTGTAAATTTGTAAATATGTATATACAATTCAAAGTCACATACATGCAACCTAAAAATAAATACATCTGGCTTTCAACTAAGTGAGCTAATAATAAAAGGGAAAAAATACAATCAATTGATAAATCCGCGCTATATTGGTTTACCACAAACGAACCAGTCAAGAACCAATACTGAACGGATGACAACACAAAAAAAACATAAAGATAATACCAACTAATTATGATACATCTAACAGCGCGTTTTGACCAGGTTCCTGAATGTTACTACACTTTTGCTTCTCCAGGCAGGGTCGATTGAGTTGTATAACCTCACACCATTGAAAGTGAAACATTTTTGAAACAATGCGGTGTAGTACTACGGCATTGACAGATTATTATTATGCCTCAGATCTCGAAGAATAATGATTCCTCTAGTTACCAATTTACTATGGAGGTAGTTGGGCTTTTTAGTACACAATATCTTATGCACAAATACCTTAAGGCTATATTCAAATTGTTGATCCATTTTCAGCCGTTTCAACTCCCTGATCTTAGAGGAGACATGACTATATTTTCGAAGACCATACACAAACCTACAGCAGTTGTTTTGCATTCTTTGGATCTTACACCGATTCATTGAGTCGATACAAGGATAGTATAAGGTTAAAGCGTAGTTGAAGCTGGACATTATCAAACTTTCAACTAGCTTCTTACGCGTTTTAAAGCTCAAAATGGATCTATTGGCATATAGCAGGCTTAATTTGATGTAGGCGGACTTGGATAGATGACACACAAGTTTGTTAAATCTTAAATTAGAGTCGAAGATGACACCAAGATTTTTCGCTTGTTCCACAATAGGAATGAGCTCGTTGTTGATGCTCAATGCAATTCTGTCCCGTACTCTATTATGCAAATGTCTAGGATAAAAAAGTTTGCATGTACTCTTATCCGTACAAAAATCAGTGAGGTTGGCAAGATGACAATTTATCTTATATCACTTCAACCAGATGAGACAAGTCAAAATGAAAAGAAAGCTGCGTGTCATTATATGGATGTAAATCAAAAGTATATATCAAATACAGTAAAGGACCTAAGACAGGGCCCTGAGGGACACCTGAAGAAACGGCAACAGAAGATGAGACACCTCTAACTGTCTTCACATTTTGTTTACGCTTTGTTAAGTAATTTTCAAAAAATTTAAACGGAATGTCAGAAAGTCCAATATACTTTAACTTACTCAACAAAACTTTATGGTTAACAGTGTCGAATGCCTTAGAGAAGTCGTCCATAACTAAAACTGTATTAATATGTTTATCCATATTATTTAAGACATTGTCTGTCAAATGGAGGAGTGAAGAAGTTGTACTGTGACCATCACGAAATCCAGACTGATGGACAGGAAGTAAATTGTTCATCTCTGAATATTCAATTAGGTCACAGATGAACGGTGGTTAAAAAAACCGTTCTGTTCGTTTTCAGGAAATTGTCAGAGAACGAAGAGCACGACTGCGAAATCATCGAAAGGCTGATAAAGTCGTACTTTTACATAGTGCGCAAGTCGATCCAGGATACGGTCCCGAAAGCCGTGATGCATTTTTTGGTAAATTACGTGAAGGACAACCTCCAGTCGGAGTTGGTGACGCATCTGTATAAATCGGACAATGCTGATCAGTTACTCTCCGAGTCTGAACACATTTCGTTGCGCCGTAAGGAGGCTGGCGATATGCTGAAGGTGAGTAGCGACTACTTTTTTATCAATGAATTTCGTATTTATACTAAAATAGGTACCTGCCGCAAGAAGCTCTGCAAAGTAAATTGAGGTCTTGTTCCTAGTGTCTGACCGAACTTTCGGTGTCGGCTGAAAATCCGCCGAAGCTGCAACCGAAATTACGTTTGTACGAGGGCTGTTTAAAAAATAAGGTTCCCGGGCACAAGGAATTTTTTATTTGAAAAAACGAATTTATCACTGGTAACGTTGGTCTTTAAGCTACTTTTTTCCATAGTCGCCATTTTCCGTAAAATGTATTTGAAAGTGGCAAAAAATGTTTTGCGGTTAAGTGTTATTTTCGGGCATAAATATTTTCAAAATGGTCATAGCGATAAACCCTTGTAGACTCTTATTTTCCATTTGTTGTAGAATAATCATACTGAAAAGCAAAAGTATCTACTTTCTAGGAAAGAAAATATACCACGCCAAACTTCGACGTTTTTTTAATCACTATTTTCGAGCAAATTTTTTGTACATTTAACAATATTTTGAAGGGAAGTTAATATAAAACATCATTAATAACATCATGAGGAGTTTGGTTTAGAAAAGTTGGCTACGAGCGTTGTCTCAAAAATAAGGTTCCCACACTTTTTTTCAGGCACACTGAATTTTTTATTTGAAAAAACGTATTCACCATTGGAAACGTTGATCTTTAAGTTATGTTTCTCCATAGTCACCAGTTTTTTTGACGTGAAATCTTCTTTTAGAGTTTAGAAACTTGGTAACTTCTCCTTACGACTCCTCGAACCGTTGACCGACAATTTCAGAAACGCTGTCAGGGTAATTTAACTGCTTGAAAAATGTATTTGAAAGTGGCAAAAAATGTTTTGAGGTTGAGTGTTATTTTCGGGCATAAATATTTTCAAAATCGTCATAGCGATAAACCCTTGTAGACTCTTATTTTCCATTTGTTGTAGATTAATCGTACTGAAAAGCAAAAGTATTTACTTTCTAGGAAAGAAAATATAGCACGCCAAACTTTGACGTTTTTTTAATCACGATTTTCGAGCAAATTTTTTGTACATTTAACAATACATATTTTGAAGGAAAGTTAATATAAAACATCATTAATAACATCATGAGGAGGTTGGTTTAGAAAAGTTGGCTACGAGGGTTGTCTCAAAAATAAGGTTCCCACATTTTTTTCAGGCACAATGAATTTTTTATTTGAAAAAACGTATTCACCATTGGAAACGTTGATCTTTAAGTTATGTTTCTCCATAGTCACCAGTTTTTTTGACGTGAAATCTTCTTTTAGAGTTTAGAAACTAGAAACTAAAATGTATTTGAAAGTGGCAAAAAATGTTTTGAGGTTGAGTGTTATTTTCGGGCATAAATCTTTTCAAAATCGTCATAACGATAAACCTTTGTAGACTCTTATTTTCCATTTGTTGTAGAATAATCGTACTGAAAAGCAAAAGTATCTACTTTCTAGGAAAGAAAATATAGCACGCCTAACTTTGACGTTTTTTTAATCACTATTTTCGAGCAAATTTTTTGTACATTTAACAATATTTTGAAGGGAAGTTAATCTAAAACATCAATAATATCATGAGGAGGAAATTTCAAAAACGCTGTCAGAAAAATTTAACTGCTTGAAAAATGTATTTGAAAGTGGCAAAAAATGTTTTGAGGTTGAGTGTTATTTTCGAGCAAAAATATTTTCAAAATCGTGATAGCGATAAACCCTTGTAGACTCTTATTTTCCATTTGTTGTAGAATAATCGTACTGAAAAGCAAAAATATCTTTCGAGGAAAGAAAATATAGCACACCAAACTTCGACGTTTTTTTAGTCACTATTTTCGAGCAAATTTTTTGAACAACACTTAACAATATTTTGAAGGGAAGTTAATATAAAACATCAATAATAACAACATGAGGAGTTGAAAATATACTTATTGAGGGACTAAACAGTTTTTCTGTATATGCTGAATGGTTGTCATATTAATTCATGTTCGGAAATGTGTCCGTCTTGAGGGTATCGGCGATTAAAAATTCGAATATTTCTTGGGTCCGGACGTCTAGGGCACCTCCTTAGATCCGCCACTGATCTGCACCAAGTTCGATCTTAACCGATCTGACGGTCAGACGAAAAGTATTTTTTCATGAAATGAAATTTTTTTTGAAAGTATCGGTAATATGTCGTCTGAAGAAATGACGTTGCTTTTTTGTCTTCCATCAAACGATAATTTTTGTTTCGTTTATTAATAACCTAAAATAATATACAAAAAAGATTCTGTAAAGTAGCAGCGTTTCTGATATTCCGTAACTTTGAAGTTAGTCGATGAATGAGGTTTTTCTGGAAACTACAGGGTGTCCAAGATGAGAGATACAACTTAGGTTGAATTAGAAAAAAGTTGCGTTCTTTGGGCTGTTGAGAAACTTGTAAAAATTTTATGGCTTACTGAAATATTTGGGAAAAACTAAAATTTGGCCAAATATTAATTTTTTTGTGAATTCATTTTAAGAAATATCAAAAATCTGATAAAATTTTGTATAGGCATTTTTTAGGCACTACATGATAGTATTTTTAAATTTAGTGCCCGTCGATTCGTTCTTGAAAAACCATCATTAGCTTTTTTTTAAGGTCAGAAAAAGGTACACCCTGTATGTAATAGCATTTTTTATACGAATTCAACGATGCATCACATATTACATTAATTTGTTTTCTTGATTATCAGGAAAATGCGTTTTTTCTTTTTATTTACGTAGGCGTTGCAAAAATGCTCGACTTGACGTAAATACAGTAATAGACAAAAGTACGAATTCATACTTCATTGCTCCATAAACAAATGTGTTATTAGTAGAAAAATTAAATTCCTTGTTTTTACATTATCTGCAATGAACACAATACAGGTCTGAATATAAGCACTTTTTTATGAGGGACAAAAATATGTAGACAAATACTTTTCAACATTAGTACAGTTTCGTGTCAGAAGAGGATTAGTTTGTGTTGTGGAATAAGTTGAGTGATTTTAAGATCATGCCGCGTGGTCCAGAAATTTCTTTCGATGTGAAAACTAAGATGATTGAGTTATACAAAGATGGTCAACGTCAAGTCGACATTGCCAAAGTTTGAAGCTGAAGCGTAAAGCAGTTTGGGCAATATTGAATTTGTAAGTAATTTCGTCCAGAGACCCGTTTAAAACCCCAAGATAAATAAAAGCCGAAATCGAGACAACAGGAATTCTCAATGCTTCTACAAAAACTATAAGTAGAAGATTAAATGATTTGAAGTTATTTTCACGTCGATCGAGCAAGAAGCCGCTAATCTCAAGGAAAATCCGTAAGGACCTATTACAATTTGCACGGTTGCATCTTGATTGGAGCATCTGTGTCTGGAAGAGGGTATATTTCAGTGACGAATCCAAGTTCAATATATTTGAATCAGATGGTGTTCATTACGTTAGACTTTGCCCACTGTCAAACATGGAGGCGGGTCTCTTATGGTTTGGGTGTGCTTTTCGGGGTTTGGGATGGGACCTTTACATAGAATAGATGGCATTATGTTTCGCAAAGAAATTCTTTCTGGATGAAAAAATACAGTTCTCAAATGGCCTTCACAGTCTCCCAATATAAACTCCATTAAAAATCTATGGGAATACTTAGATGAGCAAATACGAGATAAAAATCATTCAAACGGATGAACTTTTTTCCGCTTTAGAGCTAAAGTGGAGACAGATTGTTGAATCTTATATCAAGAAACTTCTACAATCTATGCCGAGACGATGCCAGGCGGTGATTGATAATAATGGTTGTACTACAAAATATTAACATAGTTGGTTTTCTATAATCCAATGAACTTTGCTTCTTTTTTCTATAATTGTTTTTTATTGAAGGGTAATGAATTTATTTATGTATAAGTGAGTATTATGCTATAACGAATTATGTATATAGGCGGGTATATTAATAAAACAAGTTAAAAAAGAAATACAGGACAATATTAATTTGTCTATATACTTTTGTCCATTACTGTACCTGTCATTATTGTGTATTGTTAATATTTAATATCGTCGAAGATGCCAGGCGGTGAGCTCGAAATTTAAATGAATATGGTCCATTGAAAAAGCCTGTTTCGTCTCAAAAAAAAATCTTCAGAGCAAACTGAGAATAGTGTTACAAGCAACTCGGAGATATGAACTAGGCAAATTAAAAAAAGTGTAGAAGTAGCCAATTCCATCGCATAATTTAGAGTAAAAAATAAAATGGAGTTGGTCAAATTTTATTTTTTATACGCCCCAAAGAATGTATCTCCATGCATAGGATCAATATTTTGGACACCCTGTATATTAAGTGACACAGAAAAAAGAACACCCAGTACTTATTAATTTATTACAAAGGTGTATGTTTGTTCCATTATTGTTCTCGCATTAAATCGCTCAGCACCGCGGGCGATTAAAGTGCTCGACCATTAACGATCTAGATATGTAATGTACTATTATTTGTTCCAGGCACTCCAACGAGCCAGCCACATAATTAGTGAAATTAGAGAAACCCACATGTGGTAATTTAGGAAGATGATTTTCGCTCACAGGAAAAAAGTGTCATGTGACTAGTCAAAGGTTTCAAAATTATCAAAACTATACATTGTTAAGTGAAACGAGGTGTAAGTCACTTAGTATTTATTAAGCAACACTTTTTACAGGTTGCATTATATTGTTGTAATTGATTGAATCAGACACAATTTCAGCTGATCCACTCTGTTGTGTGGATATATGTTGTTTTTTTTATACACTTAGTAATTATATGACGCGCTAAGTAGTTTATGTCTTGTGCTTAGCAGTGTGATGCAAGTTGGAAATTGTAGATAAGCAACAATTACTATTAATAAATGTAGTTTAAAAAACTGAAAATAGTAGCAAATCGATCAAAAAAGTAGAGAATAATTTTCAAGTAGGCAATCGAAAGTCCAAAAATCAAGTATGAATAATTAAATTGAAATAAGGTCAATATAAAAATTAAGATACCAACAAAGAACCCAATTATAGTAAAAAAGCGTGGGGTGCTTGATATTAAATGTTAGAATTTTTTTGTTGTTATTTCCAAAATTGGAGTTGATATGAAAATATAGTTGATTGAAAATAGTTTTCTAATTTTTAGTTCCATTTGCTATTGAAGCGTGTTTTTTAATTTTTTTTATCTATAATTTATTTTGTGAATTTTTATTCTCAAGTCGTCGATAAAACTACCTACTTATAATCAAGAGCTTCGATTTTTGGCATATTTTATATTTGACAATAAATTTACTTCCAATTTTTTTCAAATTCGAAATTTTGAGAATTATTAAAAAGTTTTCAAAATTTTCTAGAATTCAAAAAATTTTATTTTTTTAATTCCCAGAATTTCAAATTAGTCCGAAATTTCCGAATTTTTTAATTATTTTCCAAATTTTTGATTTCAAATTTTTCTCAAATTTCAAAATTCATTTTTTTAATTAAATTAAAGTTTGATTTTTTCCATTATTATTGTATTGTCATCGGCCCTTGACCCCTGTGCAAATTTTCAAATTAATCAGACTACTTGAAATTGTGAAAATGACCTCAACTCGATTTTTTGTCTCAAAACGACGACAAAACTATTTATAATAAAGAGCTTTGATTTTTTCTATATCTTATATTTGAGTAGATCTAAATTTACTCCCAATTTTTTTTGTTTCTTCAATTTTTACCTTTTTTCAAAAATTTTTTCCCAAAAATTTTCGAATTTTTCAATTATTTCAGCAACCCCTGAGCAACTGGTAGAATTGCCGTCTCTTTGGTGTGAAAAAACTGAAAATAATGCAAATCGATCAAAAAAGTAGATAATAGTTTTCAAGTAGGAAATCGAAAGTACAAAAATCAAGTAAGAATAATTAAATTGAAGTAAGGACAATATAAAAATTAAGATACCAACAAAGAACCCAATTATAGTAAAAAAGCGTAGGGTGCTTGATATTAAATGTTAGAATCATTTATTTAGTTATTTACAAAATTGCAGTTGATATGAAAATATAGTTAATTGAAAATAATTTTCTACTTTTTAGTTCCATTTGCTATCGAAGCGTGTTTTTTTTTTTTATTTTTTTTTTAAACTATAATTTATTTTCTGAATTTTTATTCTCAAAATCCACTTATAATCGAGAGCTTAGATTTTTGGTATATTTTATATTTGACAATAAATCTAAATTTGCTCTCAATTTTCTTTCAAATTCGAAATTTTAATTCTTTTCAAAACCTTCTAGAATCTTAAAAATTTTTACAATATTCTCAAAATGTTTGCAATATTTTTCCAATTTTTTTTTAAATTCCGAAAATTTGAAATTATTCCGATATTTTTCAATTGTTTTCCAAATTTTGAAATCCAAATTTTTACACATTTCAAAATTCAATTTTTTTAAAATTACAAGTTCGATTTTTCCCAATATTGTCATCGGCACGTGACCCCTGTGCAAATTTTCAAGTTAATCAGACTTCTTGAAATTGGTGGAAAACTCAATTTTTAGTCTCAAAACGACTTATGTTAAAGAGCTTCAATTTTTTATACATCTTATACTTGACAATAAATCTAAATTTTTTCGCTTCAATTTTTTTGTTACAAAATTTTAGTTTTTTTAATTCCCAAGATATCAAATTATTCCGAAATTTCCGAATTTTTCAATTATTTCAGCAACCCGTGAGCAACTGGTCGAGTTGTCGTCTCTTTGGTGTAAACGATATTCAAATGTTGCCGTCCGGTTGAGGTTGCCAAATGTGCTTGAAATTTTGAAAATTGATTTGCTTGTCTATTTTTCTCTAACGCTTCCCTCTTTCACCAATCCATAATGATATTTTCTGTTACAAGAACACCATAACATCGCTGTTGCTTGAATCATGGATTTTTGAAGAAATGTATGTTTTAAAGCTCAAAATAAGGAATCCACCTGTTTTATGAATATTTTAGGAAATCGTTATTTACGTATTTTGGTGCCACTTTTTGTATTTGTTCGACGAGCAACCATTGACCTGAACATTTTAAAGATTCAGTCTGATTTTGGACTAAAACATACATTTCTAAATGATGACACAGTTTGATGCCTGTAATATATTGATTGGTATCTGTTTTCTCGTAATTTTGTTTCAATAAAGACTAGATATCGAAACAGAGTTTACTTATTTACAATCCACCACTATACCTATAAAAACACCGCCTTTTTATTCATAACTGTACGGATATAATAACAGGACTTTTAGCATATTTTGTCTAGATCTCGATAATAGGACGAACATGATAAACAGCATCAGATACGTTCAGAATGACTGCGGACTCGGTTTTAAAATACGACCCAAAATACTTACGATAGCGGTCACTTTAATTTTTGGTGTCCGGAGCCCGTTTACTCCTGCTATATCCGGTTTCGGAGATATCGGAAATATTTATAATTTTAAAAAACGTTTGAAATAAGACAGCGTGAAGCGCCATCTATTACCAGAATCGACCACTGCGAGAGATCATAGCAGCTATCGTTTAGAACTGTAAAGTCTTCAGTTCGCGTCTACCACGGTGACCGCCAGAGGCTGACAATTCTGGCCGTAAAGTAACTTCACCATATAATGTTCAAACTGCTTTCGTTCAACAAATTCAGTTGCTTCCGTTATTCTGTTCCGTAGCTCAGATGTTCGATTGCCTTTGAGTAAACTTTTTCTTTCACCGCTCTCCAGTAAAAAAAATCGAGTGGATTCAAGTCGGGTGAATGGGCTAGCGAAGAAATTGCACCAGATAATCCTATCCATCTGCTGATATATTCGGCATCAAGATAACCTCTAACTGAACGGACATAAAGCGCAGTCTTCTTGGTACCACACGTCTCTGTAAATGCTTAGTGGCACGTCTTCCAATAAATTTGGTAAATGATTTTGTAAAAAGTCTAAATAAGTGTCGCCATTCAAGGTCAAAAGTATGGAAACATATTTTTTATTACAAAATTAAATACAATAACTACAAAAAGATTAAAAAAATACTGTATAGCTAACATTTGGTAGCATAGCCTTTAGTATTCAACACTGCCTGATATCTTCTGCTCATAGAAGACACCAATTTTTCATAGACGTCTGTTGGGTTATTTTGCGTTCCGATTTTTTCATGTCAGTTGCCTTTTAACGTGCTTCCAGAGATGTTCTATAGGGTTTAGGTCCGGGGATTGCGAAGGCCCTGTAAGAAAAGTAACATTTTTTAGTCCTAACCAGTCCTTTACGAATTTTGAGGTATGCTTGAGGTCATTATCTTGCAGGAACGTCCATCGTAAAGGCATTTCTTCTTTAGCAAAAGGAAGCATGTGTTCACTAAGAATAGTTTCGTAAAGTTTTTGATCCATTTTCCCAACAATTTTAAGAATTGGACCCGTTTCAGAACCAAAAAACCATGATGTTGCCTCCACCGTGCTTAAGTGTTGGCAACGGATACTTTTTATCGAATCTTTTTCGTATTGGACGTCTCACATATGCCAAACAACTTAAATTCGTTTTCATCGCTCCATAAAATTGAAGTCCATTGTAGTTCTGTCCAAGTTAGATTAGTTCTAGCAATTTTTTTTTAAATGAGAAGCTTTGAATTGGACGAATATCAGAAAGCCTAAAATCCACCAAGAGTTTCTGCACTGTTCTGACAGAAATATTCTCGGTACCCTCTTTTACGATTCTTTTGAAAATTCATGTGGCTGGCATACGAGGATCTTCATGGGACAAACGATTAATGCAGCGATCCAAAACATAATCGGTTTTTTTTTTCGGTCTTCCGCACCTGTGCAGCGTTGCTGTTGATCCGTATTCTTGATATTTACTTCGAAATCGTCCCTTTGTTCATTTTTAATCTTTGAGAAATGTCAACATATCTGACTGACACCACTGCTAAATATACTAAGTGACATATAAATCCGAACACCCAGTTTAAATGGTTTTATTTTAATAAAAGTTGGTGAATGTATTTATCTTACTGTAAATAACAAGTGAAAAAATTTTCAGCCTTATCAGTTGAACATTCCGGTTTTTATACTGCTTTTTTTTAATTCACTAACGCTCTAAAAATGAATATTTCAGCCGCAGTAAAAAATCAACGTTGGCGGATTTTGGTTCTTGACATCCTTTATGATCGGTTACGATGCCTAGAGTACGGAGACCTGTACGATTTCGTCAACTTAGTGAGTTTGATAGGGGCCGTATAGTGGGACTTCGGGAAGCTGGACTTTCTTTTCGGGCAATTGCAGTTAGAGTGCAAAGAAGTGTAGACACTGTGGTTAGGTGTTGTCAGGCATGGCTTCGAGAAGGCCGTACGCAAAGAGCAAGGGGCACTGGACGCCGCCTTAGAACAACAGACCGTGAAGATCGCCGCCCAAGATTATTGGCCTTAAGGGACCGTTTCTCCACTACCAGGTCCATTGCAAATGAATGGTTTGCAGAACACGGAAGACCTATTGGCATGCGAAGTGTTTACCGACGAATGAGAAGTTTTGGCTTGTTTTCATACCGGCCACACTGGGTCCTCCCTTTAACTCGAGAACACCTACGTAATCGCCTTGAGTGGTGCAGACAACGGTCACTCTGGGATCAGGAATGGAACAGTATTGTCTTTAGTGACGAGTCTCGATTTTGTTTAGGCATGCACGATGGTCGTGGTCTGTTAGAAGGCGACGTGGTGAAAGGAGGAATCCACAGTTTTTTGTTGAAAGACATGTTCATCACACTGTTGGAGTTATGATTTGGGGTGCTATAGCTTATGGTTCCAGGTCACCTTTAATCTTCATCAGAGGTAACATGAACGCGCAGCGTTATATCCACGAAGTTCTAGAACCCCATCTTTTACTCTATCTTGACACCCTGGCAGATCCAACTTTCCAACAAGATAATGCCCGACCACATGTTGCAATAGTCACAATAGATTTCTTTCAACATAATGATGTCACATTGTTACCATGGCCACCAAGATCTCCCGACTTATCCCCAATTGAGCACGTGTGGGATATGATGGGTAGGAGATTGCTCAATTTGCAACGTCCTCCTCAGACTCTAGAAGCATTTCGAGAGGAGTTGGTGGTTGCCTGGAATGAGATACCACAGGAGGACATTGACCACCTGATCAGAAGCATGCCTAGGCGCGTTGGAGAATGCGTAGCACATCAGGGTGCATCCACACATTATTAAAGGTCAAAGGGCTTTAAAGCAGTGCAATCATTTTGAAATTTTTATCATTTACTTATTATGCTTCATTAAGTACTTATACAAAATTTTATTAAAATAAAACCATTTAAACTGGGTGTTCGGATTTATATGTCACTTAGTATAATTCACTTTGTCTCTTAAATCTTTTGAAAATCCTCCATTCTCACTGATGTTAATATTAATATTTACCGCACGCAATATCAGAGTATCGCAGAACCAATAAATACAGCAAAACTGAAATGTTTCCATTTTTTGTCGTTACCAAAACTGTGGTATTTAAATGCCTATTAATTTTCAGAGAATTTGAATATTGATAAGATAAACCTTGTATCAGTACGGGAGCCAAAGGTAAACTTTAATATTTATATTATCTATTCGTTCACTATGTTGATATTTGTTTCCAAACTTTTGTCTGCTACTGTATCTTGTCTCATCAAATGTGGATTTTTCTACATGCCACTCGTGTAACTTGTATAGATTCATGTAACCATCTTTCTTAAAAATAAAATTTTCTCAAAAAATCGCGGATCTTTCCGGTGTCTCTGTAACATTTTTTGACAAAACTCGATTTTTGGAAGATAATCCGGGGTTCTAAAGATTGTACTCGCTGTACGTGGTATGGGTAGAGCTCGTTCTTTCGCAAGTCTCAGTGGGTTGTACTTTTGGGCACTCCCGTGCTTGCTTGTATTTGACGTACTGAAGTACTCTGGTCTTCGACTGCTCGTAGTACGAAGTCCTTGTAAGGAAAGGAAATTATCCCTTCACCATGTGCTTGATTTGAGAATCGTTCCTCTGAGAGTAAACGGCGAAGATCCAGAAAAACTCGGTGATAGCGATGGTGTGCAGCATTTGGGTACCTCCTAAGCCTAGCTGCAGCACTAGTATTGTAGTAGTAGTAGTATCTATTGGCCATGTTAATTCATAAGTATATATGGAAGGTCAATACAAAGAAAAAAAATAAGCAAATAAATAAAACATCACAGAAAAAACCTTAAAGATAAAAAATAGCTTTAACATGTTAAGACATGCACAAACTTTCTGAGATGTTGTTCTACATTCCCCATAAATGTGGTGCGGTTTTTTAAACCCCATAATTTGACAAGTACACGACTTAGATTTTTCTATAATTTTCTGATAACTATTATGACTTGGCCTATCCCCCGTGTCCGGCTTGATGTTGACTTCTGGCACACCCTGTATGGATAGTCAACCTACCCGACTGTTTTTGCAAATCTTTTACGTTCTTTCTACGCCAGCAACCACGCACAAATGCTATTTGTCTAAGCGCCTTATTTTTTATACAGCTTTACAGCAATTCGTTCTTATCATTTTTGAGATACTGATGCCAAAGTTCACCATATATTGACCAAGAAATTTACTCAACCATCATTACACCATTCAAACATCATTATACGACCATTATCATTTTACAACCGGTTCTGCAAGTATCGCCCAGTATTTAATTTTGTCTGTGATGTTTTCCGTGTACTAAATAATATACTATATTCAAAAACATGTCCGTACATTTAACGAGTAAGAACTTTTTGTGGCACCTGAAGTCCCATGTGAGGTCAGTCGTGCGGAAACGGGTCGGTGAGGTCAGGTATTCTAATGGAACGGAGGCGCATACCCTCAAGATTGCAGAGAGGATCAAGCAGAAAAAGAGCGAAGCGCTACTTGGTGGCGGTCAGAAAAGGATAGATGCTCAACATAAAAGAGTGAGTTTGCGTCATGAAGACTGTTACGAATAGATGTTTATCTATTCACTCGTATATACAGGGTGTTGCAGAAAGCCGTGCCAATATTTCTGGATAGAAAGTACGTCAAGAGATACCAAAAAAAGCTCATATAAATATGGGTCAACAGATGCTCCCCTACAGGGTGATGAAGTTTTATTTACAGAATTGAAAAACAATACGGAGCGGCACGGGTATCACGTATCTTGAAAAGTGACATTATGCCAATTTTTTTGACACTATGCTGTTTTTTTTTACATTATGTAGCATTCATTCAGCATTATTTTGTGTTCTCAATGTAATGTTTATTGTTTTCGTGTTCAATTTAAAAAAATGAATATGATGGCAAAACCAGTGGCGCGCATAGAATAGGTTTTATTAATGGTAGGCTTCTACGCCACTGATTGAGGACAAGATACGCATATTATTCAATTATTGTTGTAATGAGGTGCCATAGTTTTCTTCACATGCCATTTAATGTTTCCAGTTTCAAGCCTCACGGTATTTTCACAATAGGGGAGGCTAATCCTTTTTTTAGGAATATTTTAAGATTTTACCTCAAATATTCAAACCTAAATATCTCCAAAACGAGTGATTTGACAAAAATTCCTTACGGGGCTAAATTAATGGAAAATTTTATTTTAGAAAATGCACTTTTCTCTGAAAATGCCAGTGGCTTAGAAAATATTTCCTACTAGAGATACAGGTACCCCAGTTTCTACTACTACTAGTTTAGTTTGGGTCGAAAACCCCTTTGTGTGTTTATTCATTATGATGTGCTCACTGAACGTCTAAAATGTTGACTCAGTATCTTTACTTGCTTCGTAGATACGATTTTTTTCAAAATTTTTTCAAATTGCAAAAGAACAAACCTACAGCAGTTCTCGAACGTTCATATTTGTTACGTACGAGGACGGTCCGATAAGTACTTAGCCTACAAAAGTGGCGATTTATTTCTCTGCTGAATCTGTATTCCAAAGTTACACGTACATTGGCGCCAGAAGTATTATAAGTATTCATCACTACACTTGTGGATTCGATGCCTCATCCCCTGATTATTATGTTCTTGTAGATAACTCATTTTTAAAAGTGAATCACAGCATTTGTACTACAACATAGATTTATCGATATTGTTTATTACAGGGCAAGTTGACAGCAAGAGAACGAATTTTATTATTTTGCGATCATGACAGCTTTGTGGAATACGATATGTTCATGGAACATACCTGCACAGATTTTGGAATGGAAAAACAAAAGGTAGGCATAAAAGACGAGCTCTTCAAGAATTTTTCTCCAGCTGACGCATTTCCCCTTGCTCTATGCTCTTCCTTTGCTTCGTTTTTCTTTCTTCCTTCATGACGTTGTCTGCTATTAACGTGAAAATAAGTCTACGTACCGTACAGGGTATCCCCGCTTTAAATTGACCCATTTTTATAGCCATTTAGAAAAAAATGTTTCATCTAGGGTCTAATATAAACTATCTTCATTATATAATGGATATCGCTGAAAAGCTCTATCGAATAAAGTATTTTTTTCATATGGAACACCCTGTTTATTTCTAGCGAAACCAGCCCCTAAAAACATTTTTTTCCTCGAAAACTATGCAAGGTGGCCTAGTTTTTTAAGAGCTAAAAGATGAAGTAGACAAAATGATCTTTTAAATAAAAAAGAAATCAGGGTTGCAAAAAATCTGCTATAATTCATCTAGGGATGGGGATAGTTTTCAGCGTTTTCGAAGCCTTTCGAGTTTTTTGTAAAAGTCAAATATTAGGACGTCTATCGGTTCCAAAAATATCTATGTTTTACAAATATCATCAATTGCATAATTTAAGTATAATTTAAGTTTTTGACTAGAGTAACGAAAATAAGCATAATAGACCATATACAGGGTGTTTCAGTTTATTGTTGCATAACTTTAAGATTCGATAGAACTTTTAAAATTAATGCATCAAGTCTATATAAACATGGGTCGAATAATGCGTGGCTTCCGAAATACAGGGTGTTTAAATTTACTTTTTAAAATAGTTTTTCTTAAATATTTCGAACAATATTTGACGTATAACAGTGAAAATTGGTATACAAGGGTTTTTTGGTACGACAAAACGAACCATGGGCATAGTTTTACTGTAGCCTCTAGAGGGCGCTTTCTACTGTACATGTAGTGTATTGAAATGAACGAAAAATTTTTCTTAGTGCAATTTTTTGCTTTTTGAATAAAAAAACTGATTCTTCGCACTTTTCTGCATAAAAAAGCTCTCCTGTGAGTTTTCGTTATAGTTAGCCGTTTTTGAGATATTTCGATTTTTTAAGTTCGATGCATTTTTAATTATTTATGGGAAAATAATATTTTTTACATTTTCGATTTGGGCATTACAAGTAATTAAGATGATCGTTTAGATTGTGTTTTTAAACACAGCAATAATTCCTAACTCCAAATAAACACAAAAAAACAGAATATTAATTTGTTTAATTTTCCAATATTATTTTTAATAAATTAAATTAATTATTTACAACTAAAATGCTATTGGATAGTTAGGACACACATACAAAATCTAAAGTAGTTGCTCAAATGTAAACCCAATTGTTCAATACATAATTCACATCTACGAATGATCGAACGTGGTATAGCATTATTCAAATAAGGCCTTATTTCATCACATGCATTCCTGATTCTGTCTATTAGCATATCTCTTGTGGTTACGGGAGTCTGGTACACTTTTTTAGGTCAGGGGATCGTGGAGGCCAGGCGACCGGTCCTCCACGGCCTATCCATCTTTCTGGATAATTTTCGTCCAGCCAGTTTCTAACTATTATCGCTCGAATAATGAGCTGGACAACCATCAAGCTGGAACCAGGCCAATCTTCTTAAATCTAACATAATCATCATCCCACATATTTGCATGTTCAGCCTTTAAAAATACTGACTTTTTAACGTTATTTTATCATAAATAATTAAAAATGCATCGAACCTTAAAAATCGAAATATCTCAAAAACGAAACTATAACGAAAATTCACGAGAGAGCTTTTTTATGTTGAAAAGCGCGAAGAATCAGTTTTTCTTATTCAAAAAGCAAAAAATTGCACTAAGAAAAATTTTTCGGTCATTTTAATACACTACAGGTACTGAGAGAGCGCCCTCTAGCGGCTATAGTATAACTATGCCCATGGTTCGTTTTGTCGTACCAAAAAACCCTTGTATACCAATTTTCACTGTTATACATCAAATATTGTTCGAAATATTTAAAAAAACTATTTTAGAAAGTAAATTTAAACACGCTGTATTTCGGAAGCCACGCATTTTTCGATCCGTGTTTATATAGACTTTATGCATTAATTTTAAAAGTTCTATCGAATCTTAAAGTTATGCAACAATAAACTGAAACACCCTGTATATTCAGAACCATAGAAAAGCGACTGTCATTTAGACCAAAAATATTATAGTAATCTTTTCAAAAAAAATACAACTTTATTTTAAATCTATTTTCTGAGGTACTCTGTATATAAGATATACATTGACTGAGAAACTTCATATTAGAGCATACAACTTTTGTATATAACTTCTGAAAGGTCATGCACAAAAGTTACGAGGTACACTCCATGCTTATGCTTACAACCTATCGATCACCGACTTTAGGCGCCAGCGTTGCCACCTCTCAGAATGTGGCAAGAAATAATAAAAAATCTTAAGACTAATTAGGAGGAAGGTTGAATGCTCACCTGTCCTTGGAAGGTTGAGGTTCTTTTTAACCATAAACAATTTTCTCGAAAGAGGACAATAAGCTAACCCATGCTACTATGTTGAACTGTCCATAGTTCCCGGGTGACTCGGTGGTCACAGGCAATGGGCTAGTCAACGGACGACCAGTTTACGTATTCAGCCAAGACTTCACAGTTTTTGGAGGAAGTCTATCCAGCGTCCACGCTAAGAAAATCTGTAAGATCATGGATCAGGCTGTTTTGGTTGGAGCTCCAGTTGTCGGATTGAACGATTCAGGCGGTGCCAGGATTCAAGAAGGTGTTGCATCACTTGCTGGGTATGCTGATATTTTTCAAAGGAACGTTCTAGCTTCAGGCGTCATTCCTCAGGTAGGTACTAGCAGTCTGCCAACAGTCGTTTTTTAGCCTCATACTCGCTTGTCGTTTTCGAGTGATGGACGCGCTTTTCTTTGGAATGGGAATACCTATCTCAGGCGGTGCTGATTTTGCGTGGTTTCATCTTAAAATTCGGAATGATGACTTCTCCATCTCAGCATGCTACGGGACTTTCATTGTAGGAAAATGATACTAAAAAAAATCAAAAGAATTGTCATCAGGAAGACAGGCAAATTAAATATATTGACGTTGTTCTCCAGAAGATCATTTTTGTTATTGAAACCATGACCGCCCATATAGGAGGGGGGCACGAAGTCGTATCGCTCGGGTTACCTCTCCTATTTTCTGCTCGAATCCACTTTTTGCGGATTTTGTCCATTATTTTCCTATTTTTGTTATATACCTTTCTCCGCATGATAATTTTCTCTTTGTAGATCCTTTGGGCTTGAAGTACCACAGCAAGTGGCTATAACCGGCCGCGTGGTTGTGGTTATTTGTCGCCTTGAAAATTCGAGGTCTTCTAGCCACTTTATACTACAATGTGTAGGTTGGCTCGTGTTGTGGACTTCGTGTGTCTTTTTTTTTTCTCTCCATCTTTGTTTCCTCAGGTTACACCCGTACGCGGATGTATGGGCATGTGTCTCTACTTTTATAGTTGCATATGTTCATTCATTTCGGGACTGATGAAGCCAACCAGCAGAAATACGTATCGCTCGGGTTACCTATCCTATTTTCTGCTCGAATCCACTTTTTGCGGATTTTGTCCATTATCTTCCTATTTTTGTTATATATATATATATATATATATATATATATAGATAGCTTGAAGCACTGGCACTCCATCGCGTGTTATGCACTACAACGGTTATCTAATATAGTTTTAAGACTTTCTTGCATTGAAAAACCGACCCTGCATATTTTAGATTTCGCTTATTATGGGGCCTTGCGCAGGAGGAGCAGTATACTCACCAGCCATCACTGATTTTACCTTCATGGTTGAGGATACCTCATATCTCTTCATAACTGGGCCAGATGTTGTGAAAGTAAGTATTAACCTTACGTGAATAAAGTGTGTACTTTCATATTAGGCGGATCCTTTTTTGACAATGAAAGCTTTTATATTCACTCTCAGGCAGAAAAGCTCGACAGCATTGCTCTTTCGGCCTTTCTTGCCCGAAGTGTGAGATTGTGCGTTGCACTGAGTTTTCAAACCAAAGGTAATCATCTATTCTGTCGTACATATACCTATACAGGGTGTAATTTCTCTTTACAATGTAAAAAAACTATAACGTCTATGAATACTTGTCAAAATAAGACCACAACGTAATCGATCAAATGTCATTATTTTAAAAACAAAATAGGGCACCAGCCTACTAGTTCAAAATATTTTCGTTATACCACAAAGCATGAAAATGGTTTTTATTTTTTTACGCGAAAACGGTGCATCGAAAAAAAAACAATGGCGTACGATTTTTTGTTTTGAATAGATCCCACTGAAAAGAATATTAGAAAATATTCTGTTGGTGCTTAGTAGGTGCATGTCAAACTTCATGAAAATATCTAGAACCGTATTAAAGTTAAAAGAAAACGAATTTTTTCTTAAGACTTTAATACCTTGTAGCTCAAAAGTAAAGAGGCTTAAGACATATGTTCATATAAACTTTTCTTCCTAAAATGAGCTAAGGAATAATATCCTGTATTTTTAGCCATCAACTAAATTACACCCTGTATACATCTACAACCCAGCAAGTACAACCTGCTGTTGATTCCTTAGTCTTTTTTATCAACATGAGTCTTGCTCAGCCTCATTTTGCTCACCCCATTTGCACTTGCTTATATGCCTGACAAAATTGTCAGCAGTGAGCCTCTCGCCGAGTATCAATTCCAGCATCTCTGGTAGTCAGTCCGTCTACCACACAAGATAAGATGATCAGGAGTATCCTTCTCGTAAGTGCAATATACCAGTTCACGTACTGTCTCTTTCCTATCCTCTTCAGGTACTTGTCAAAACAACCACGTCCTGTAAGGAACTGAGCAGTAAATTGACATCTATCCGCACCTCTCTCTTGTCAATCCAAGTTTTAATATCAGGGAACAGCCTCCTGGTCCATACACCACGATGAGTTGCATCCCATGTCTCCTGCCATCTAACAAAAAGCGCATCGCTTTCATCAGGTGTAGCTTCGGTGCCCCTCCTCAACCAGTAAATCGACGGGCGGGATACCAGCCACCACCTGCAGAGTATCAGTCGACACCCTTAAGTAAGCGTGTGCCACGCATAGCACTACTTTTCGTTATCTTTCCATAGGCGGATCTAAAATCTACTTTGAGTTAGGGGGGCTGGGGGCTACAATAGTTCTGTTTTGGGCCCCCAAGAGCGGAGATCGCTGCCTACAGCTGTTTGCTAATTACGGGTAGCAAATAAATATAGTAAGCCATCGCAATATTCGTTTTCATCACTTCACGTGATTCCTGCAGTCACAACCTTAATACTATTGTAACAAGATCACCGTTTTCACTATTCAAAGTCTAAATTATTAATCTACACTAATTTATAACACGTGCAACTAATTTATGATATATTTATAATCATGTCGACTGGACTGTGTTGACGTGGCGGTAGCAACTCGTTCACTGTCCTTCTTCCGCTGTCGTCTCGCCCATATATGTCGAAATCGACAAATCTAGAACATTCGCGCGATATTTATCGAACGCTCCCGACGGCAGCCAAGAAACCTCTCGATCGCTCAAACACGTGAACCCAATCGTCGAAGCTTCGCAAGCTGCGATACATAATGATGAGACTCTGGTTGCCTAATTTTGCGAGGGTATCTGTCAGTCACGGTCCCAGTTACGAGGGCGTTACATTATATTTGTCTACGGTAGTATTACTTTACAAGATCTAGGAGGTACGATCGAGGGCGGATTTAGAGGGGACAAGAGGAGCGCGTAAGTCTGTCCCATCCTCAAAGAAAATGGTATATATTGCTATGTCTTGGAGTAAAAATTCTCTTGCTAGATCTACGTGGGACGTACACCTTCCCTTTACGTATCCTATGCTTCACTTTTTAATTATCACAAATGCAACTGTTCTCAGAAACGATGCGTAAGTGTTCCAGTGATAACTATGATTCGAAAAGCAATACTTAAACTAAAAAAAAAAACGAAAATACGATTATGTGAAGGTTTTACATATTTTTTAGTCAGTTACCAACGAAGACGTGAGTCAACAAGAGCTTGGAGGTGCAAAGACGCATACCACGATATCAGGAGTGGCACATAAGTCTTTCGCCAACGACGTTGAGGCGATTCTGCAATTGAGAAACTTCATGGGATTCTTGCCCCAATCAAATCAGTATCCGGCACCTATCAGGGAATCCAGTGAACCAAGGTAAGAATATCCATAAGATAATTCGAGTTTTTTTTCATAAAACCCATCCCAATAGATTGGACCATTCCGCTGACTATGCAACTTCGCTATCAAAATCCATGGTTCCGGCTGTCTCAGCTCTTATGCTGCAATATATGAGACAAAAGCCTTGAAAGTTCGCGTTCCCACTGACTCGTCCTGCTTCCAGCACGTGAGGCAGATAGAATCTCTTTCCACCTTTCTAACGGATTGTTCACTCTACAGTAGAATCCCCACCAGAAGATTGCGCGATTCTCTAGCTGTACACTAACCAGCTCGTCCGACTTTCTCGGGGCCCCCTACAAACCTCTCCCTCGCCATACTTTTACAGGTCCCTATACATCTACACCTGCAACCTAAGTTTGGGATCGACGCAGGAGCCTCCAGCCTGGCACCTCTCTGGTTACCCGGTGCTCCACTGTACCCAGGGACCCAAAGTAGGGCCACTTCTTTGGATCGGGTTGAACTCCGAAGAACAGTAGTTCATTCTTGAATTATCGGCGCCAACATCGGAGCATATAAATTTACAAGGTGCACTGAAAATTGGGACTTTCCTTTATACAAAGACTACATTTAAAGTAACGAAGTTAATTTGTGGTAAAGGAGCACTGTTAGATTGAAAAACACGACTTATTTACTTTTTCCTAAATTTGCAACATTTGGGGCTGTCTAGGTCTTATAATGTGTCCACCCATGCATGATATAAACAAATTTTCGCAGCTCTGATGAATGTGCTAATTTAAGTTTTCAAATGCGGTTTGTTTATAAACTAGGTTAAGCTCCACACCACGCGGCGCCTGATTTAGTTACTAACTCACATAGTTATAGTACAGTTGACGTAGCAAATGTTACTGTTTATTATTGCCAGACCTATACGATCTGAACAGGAAAGTCCCGTATTTGGACTGGGCATTTTGAACAAAAATTGTTGCTCTAATGGAGTGTAGAGAACACACAGGCTAATATCACAACCAATTAAAGATGTGAAGTAATATACTGTTTTTATTTTTAGTCATTTAGATGTTCCAATGCTGGACACAGTGATACCTCCATCGGCTACATCGCCATACGATATGCTCGACATAATTTATGGTATTGTGGACGAGCGAGATTTCTTCGAAATAATGCCAAAGTACGCCAAAAATATTATCACTGGATTTGGCAGAATAAATGGCAGGACAGTCGGCATTGTCGGGAACCAACCTAAAGTAGCTGCAGGTAAGATACAAAAAAGACATTTTAATATCTTTGTGAAATCGGTGAAGATATGGTATTGTGCGATTGCTAGAATACCCAAAGCCACATTGGAACAGTCGGTACTTATTCCGGCAAATACCTGTATTTGTCAAATAGTGACGTGTTTTTTCTAATTTCCGATTTTAGCCGCGTTGATCTTTTATTTGTTTCAGGATGCTTGGACATCAATGCCTCAGTAAAAGCAGCGCGATTCGTCAGATTTTGTGACGCCTTTAATATCCCTCTGGTCACGTTAGTTGATGTGCCTGGTTTTCTGCCAGGAGTGACCCAAGAACATAACGGTATTATCAGGCATGGCGCTAAGTTACTTTACGCCTATGCAGAAGCGACCGTACCTAAGCTAACTGTCATCACAAGAAAGGTAAAGATAACGAAACACCATAATTTGAGAATCCATCGTAAGATGTATGAACCTTTATACCGAACTTTATCGCCGAGCTTTCTCGACGTGACTGTCATAAAAATTGCGGATGAAGCAGGCTTTTCATGAAATTTCTTTCCCAAAACACTGTATTTTTTACCAGTTATTTCCCCCATTATTTCCACCGCCATCTACGATATGACGCTGACGTCTGTGGATATGTCATATATAAGAGGCGCTTTCCTGGGGTGTTGCCGGATTGGGCTCCATATTTACTGAAAAATATGAAAAGTGGAAAATTTATATTTCTTATTAATGAAACACAAAAACAAAAAACTGAAACAAACAACAGTAGTAAAATTAAAAGTGATGCTTACTAAGTATAAAACAAAAAAATGACAAACAGCAGTAAAATAAAAAGCAATTCTAACTGATTATAAAAAACAAAAAATTAAAACAGTAGTAAAACAATTCTATTTTATTATAAAAAAACAATAAATAACAAACAGTAAAATAAAAAGCAATTTGGATGGAATGAAATTGCTCTTCGTTTTACTACTATTTTTACTTTTTGTTTTGTATTGACACTTAGAATTGCTTTTTATTCAACATGGAATTGTTTTTTTTGTTTTACTACTGTTTTTCTTTTTGTTTATTATATATTTTTTGATTTTTAAAATTACATGGAATTAGTTTTTGTTTTAGTTCTGTTTTTATCTTTTGTTTTTTATAATTATCTATAATTTATCATTTTTTAGCATATTAATGTTATTTTTTGATTTATACTTATTAGGAATCGCCTTTTATTCTGCTACTGTTGTTTGTTTCAGTTTTTATTTTTGTGATTCATTAATTTATACATATGTATATAAATTTTCAACTTTTCATATTTTTCCCTAAATGCGGAGCCCAATCCGGCAACACCGCAGGCAAGCGCCTCTCATATATGACATATGCACAGACGTCTACGTCATATTGGAAATAATGATGGAAAGAACAGCTAAAAATACAATGTTTTGGGAAACATTTTTCATGAAAAGTGTGCTTCATCCACACTTTTTTTGTTTCTAAATAATCTATCAGTTCTACAAGACGCAACAGCACCAACCTATAAATACTTTGTAATCTTACAAACAAATGGTAGGTATGTCAAAAGCTCAACAGCAACCTAACAAAAATAAACAATCAAATGACATGTCGGGGACAGTGACGTCACCGCGAAGCGCGTCCAAAACGTGACGCTTAAATCAACGTCATCGGCATTGCAATTTTAAATATTTTATTAAAGATGAATATGAACATTTCCATGCCTTTACGGTGTTTTATTGAGGTAAATTAACGACAGAGAATAAAAAAACGAGATTACTGTAAATGTTCAAACATCTCATAGGAGTTGCCATCTTCTTGAAGAACTCGTTAATCAGCGATTATAGACAAAATCACGAAAGATGACTATTACGTCATACCATAAATAGTACTGAAGTAATCAATGGACGTACGTCGATGATAAAATCACGAGCCAGAAACATAAGTGACAACAAATTTATATTATGATTTTGCCAAGTTAGGTTATTTCACTGATTATTTTTATTTTCATTTTATTTCATGGTTTTGAGAGATACCTTAATAATAATTTTAGTGGGGAGTTTTTGTTTTGAAAGAAAAGTAGTTATGAGTAGAATACCTTAAGACAGGAACACCAAAGACCGAAGTATTATTCGAAAACAACAATACCTGCTTAAACATAACCTAACTATTCATCTTTCAAATATGATCGATCATGCAACATGAAAACATCGTCTATCTTTGTCGGATACATGCAAATTAGCAATACAGTTTGTTTAGACAATAAAGGTCTGTTTGTCTATGTCTAACATATCAGAAACTTCATTAAATATATTCACAAATCGCTGTCGTTTGTCTTTACTACAGACTAAAATGATGACGTAATCGTCATCTTTCCTGACTATAAATATTTTTTCAGGGTTATGGAGGTGCTTATGACGTCATGTCATCGAAACACTTGAGAGGCGACATTAACTATTGCTGGCCTACTGCTGAGGTTGCCGTGATGGGAGCGAAAGGAGCAGTTACGATTTTATATAAAGGAAAAGATGATATTGAAAAGAGAGAGGCTGAATATATAGATAAGTTTGGCACTCCTTTCCCGGCAGCTCAACGAGGTATGAATTTAAACTGGACTTATTGGATGTTTTTTTGTTTTTGAAGGTGGTTGACTAACGCTACCTTTACGTAAACAGCTTTTCAAAATAGATTGAAATGACATTGTCGCTATTGACAGGCAGAACTGACAGCCTTAGTACCAACTTGGAAGCTAGAACCCTTACTTATAATGAGTTACGGTATTCTCTTCCACGTCCAAATTACAAATCCTGAGCATGGGCGCCCGCAGGAATGTTTGTCAACTGTTACGATCATCGGCGAGAGATAACTTTTTGTGGAAGTGTACCTGCCCCAAAACCTTTTTGTAGATCGGGGGTAGCTAATTTTCTCAGGGGAGGTCAAATCCCAAAATAGCACTCAAAAGCATGCGAAATATGCAAATTTTAGGGTGCGACTGGCCATGGCTTCCCCTGTTGTCAAAAAATTGTATGTTAATATATGATCCTGCAGCGACTACTTTTTTAGGATGAAACATCATCGAAATCGAAAATTATAGATATTTTGAAGCCTGAAAATTACAGACGAGCAACTAGAAAAAATCAGAATGTTTCGTTTGTTTTAGGTTTTATCGATGACATAATTGAACCGAGGACAACAAGATGGCGTTTGAGCAGGGACTTGGACTTGCTGGCAACCAAAAAACTACAAAATCCACCTAAAAAGCATGGCAATATCCCACTCTGATATTTGTTGTATAGATGTTGAAATATATTTTTTCTAAAAAGTTCCTATATTCAAATTATATATTTTATAAATAAATCCCACATTATAAGAAAACATATCTATTGTTTCTATTCGGTATTCCTTTTTTGTATTTACTATCACTGCTTGCAACAACTGAAACATTCTGCTTTCGTCCGTCCAACCACAGATAGCCAACCATGGATAGCTGTTTTGTGTTTTCGGGCAACTCATCAGCATGAGACCAAGTCTAGACTATGCTGATGAGTTGAGAGAAAGCACGAAACAGCTATTCACGGTTCGCTATCTGCGGTCGGATGGACGAAAGCAGTATGTTTCAATTGTTCAATGGTGAGTAGACCACATCTAATATACCGCCAGAATCGTCAACCTCTAACGGTCACATTATTGGTGACTGGACTATCAAACGCGAACTGGGACCTCAACAGATCCAACCAATAGCTGCTATTCACTCTGGCAGTGGTCGATTCTGGTCTTGTGTTGTCTGCGTCATCTTCTGAGGATTAATCTGTTGATATGAAAAATAAAACTCAACAATACATATACTGTCAGTCTTATTTAACAACTTATTACAACAATTTATTACATTTTTCGTATGTAAGCGATAAAAGAAAAACGTGTTACGGTTAGTGTAAAATATCTCTTTATCAAAGTGCAATTTTTAGTGATCAGAGAAATAAAAATCGTCTCTTTCGTTTGATTATGTAATACCTTGTAATAACATCCTTACTAGGCCAGGGCACTATAACTAACTAACATATCTACAATATTATCAGTATATATCACATTGGGGGTGTACAGATTTCATTAAATACACTTAATACACAATGCGCATTCACAGGAAGAAAGTATACATATATACCTATAATTATTATTCTTTGTAAAACCAGAAACAATATCTTATTCGCATATCAATCATTAGGATTTCTCCAGCATCCTAAATGTCTATCTTAAATAAAATTTGCCAAATTCCGTATTCAATAATGCTTTGGTAATATAAATATGTTAACAGCTGACAGAGGATAATTCAAAATGAATGAAAATGGCGTTTCTGTAAATATGAACTCAAAAATTCTCCGTTTTAAATGAATATCGGGTGCGTACACCATAAATACGATGTCAGTTCCAAAAGTTCCAATTTCGTATTATAAATAGAGCATCCCGACACTTTAATATTTTTTGGCATCATCCTGTATACAGCCTTCTCAACTGCTATACAAAAAAAATGATTCAAAAGCATCCTTCAGATCACACCTCCTTCATAGGACATATTTCTTCCGGTTTGTACTGATCAAAGTTAGGACTTTACACGAATAATAGTATTTTGATTGCTATGCAATTTTTTTCTGAACATACGGAATGGAACGCACTGTGTAAAGTGTTTAATGTGTAGTTCTAATTATATTGGAACCCTGCATCCTCATCTTCCAGGAACAGGTGGCGTGTACATGGTTGCCAGCTCCTAAAATAAAAATTTGCCAGACTAACCTGCTAATCATACAATACCTTGTTGCAATTTTGACAAAAAAATCGTGAGCTTGAGTCGGAATATATACTGGTAATCGGATATCTTTTAATATCTGGATGTTTTAAATCACATAATGTAATTATAGGTCACTGCCATGCTGTTAAATATATGTATTGTTCACGTTGCCGTAAATAAAGTCCATATTTATTTGTTTATAGTGATGGATTTTGGAATCTTGTCAAAAGAACAAAGTTGGTTCTATAGTTGAAGATCGGTGGAGTGTGGGTCATCCTCATTTTGAAAGCATAAATTTAGATCTGCTCTTATATATAAGCATATATAATTTAGTTTCCTTCTCACTGAAGAAAGTTTACATAACCAATTAATTTCATTTAGTTAAACAATAGTTTCTGTGAAAATTTACAATGGCAGGAGATGAAATAACCATTATAAAGCCAAATAAACATCTTCGTTCATGAAAACAACATACCTAGGTACTTTGAGAAGCATAAGATAAGCCAGATCATGATCCAATAATGTCAGACCTAGACAGTTTATTTTATATCGTTTTTCGCTAAATATTTGCTGTTCTCCAATACCTGATTTTCTCCCGCCCAATGAAATGAAATCAGATTTAGCGATATATCCGCAACGCTGGCAACAGCGGACATGCACGACGAAGGCACCCACGCATCCCATACGCTAGTTTGTTATTGAGTTCTGCGTACGGGTGCTCACGAAGAAATTTGAAAAACGGGAAAACGTTTTCATATTTGTCTGTGTTTCGGGAGTATCTTTTACGAACAATCGTATGATTAAACGGACAATGGACAAATGTACTGCATTTTGTCAGCGGTTGGACACTCGAAAGAAAACTCGGGCTTTTAGTGATCAGTGATGAAATTTCCAGCCTCCTGTGCCTGCATGGTGAGTGATAAAGTTTATTGCATGTTTGTTTATTTCACCATGTTAGCTGGACAGCCTAGCTACGACACCTTGATTTTTTGTAAAAACATTCTGCTAATGTAAAAGCAATTAAAGTATGACCGTATTTTGATTTTTGAGACTTGGAAAACTTTCCAACTGAATGACAGAACATTCTAGACGCTGAGAATGTGATAATACTTAAATAAAAATTTAAACCTAACAATAGTAGGCCGAGCATTGCAAACAGAAAATAGTACTTCCTACGATTTCTTTCATTGCAACAGGTGTAAAAAAAGAGTCGTGACTGGTTTGAACTGGTATAAGCACCGAGTTGTGTATTTAAATGAGACAAATCGGAAGGTCCGAAATAAAAAATTTCTCTCTCACTCTTCTCACACACTCAAAAAAAAGATTTGTATATTATCAGGTAAACTCAATCCGGCATTAAGATACCGATATTAATTTACTGCAAAAACCAGTGGCGTACTGTTTTCCCCAAAATGAGAGACTTGCCAGCACGATTTCAAAGCACTATTGAACATAAACAAAATTTATTTAAGATAGAAAATGCAACTGCATATTGTAAGATGAACGCCTTGTGTACCCTATCTATGTACGATGATATACTCACTACAGTACAGTACTAGAAAATAAGAGATAGAAAACATACAGATGTAGCTTAAGTCTAAGTTATAAAAAATCAACTAATCTATCATATCAAGGAGACCTAGTCTACAGACATTTTTGAGAGGACAGTTATGTTAATACTCAAAAGGTACCTTTACGTTTGACATTCATCGCGTATGATTCTAGAAAGTAACAGGCACAGATTAATCGAAAGTACAAGATTTTTTTTGACGTTTCGGTTTCCATACATATGAAGCAGCGTCTTGAAGTTTGACTTAAGGCCTCCTTATTGAAAGTTTGTTTGCCGTGACATTTTTGACAGCGACAGAAAAAATGTCAAATATATGTTTCCCAATGACAAAGGCGGCCCAGCTGTTGACGTCTTATATTTGACAAGTGGCAAATCATGACGTTTGACAACGATCCTGTCACTCTTAATTGACAAGGCAGTTAATAAGGCGTTCTTACACTAAGGAGGCATTAAGGAACGAAGTTTAATTCGCAACTCAGGATTGATTTTTTTAGACCTGTCGTATATATTAAAACACGTAGACACAAATTTTTTCATTATACGCAATCACAGTTTGAATTTAAAACATTAAAATCGGTATTAAATAAAATTTAAAAAGCCAACAGCTACTATAAAGCTTTGCAGTATTCAACTGATATTTTTTTGATAAACTATCGACATACAAATATATTTTATTTCAACGATTTCTTGGCGAATCACGCAAGGTATACTCATTATAAAGAATTTGATTGTTTACTTTCCCAATTAGTAACAGATACCTAATATCTAAAGAAGCATTATTATTGGTCGTAGGATCGTTGGCCCTTCGTGATAGAAATATATCCATTTTATAGAATAGAACTATTTTATAAAACATCATCATTGATGGCACTAAGCCCTGGTAAAATGGAAAACGACGTTACACGCTTTCAAAATACTACGAGATGCTCAAAAAGTATCTGATCTTGGAAAATACTGCTCGCAAGAAGCCCGACAAGAGTTGCAGTGTTTTGATAATAGTGTCCAATGGTGAACTTGACAGTGTCAACTAGGAAGCAGTTTGGGCCTACAAGTGGATGTAACCTTCAAATTAGTTGACTTCTAACTCACCTTGAGGTGATGGTCAAGGTCATTTTCGAACCAAAAATTCTTCGTTCTTTGCATCGATGGACTCTAATAGATACCTTGAAGGTCAACATCAAGGCCACTGTCTCCTAAAAACCATGCAACCTTTGTCTTGACTATTTTTTGTTTTTGCAGTACTTTCAGAGATAGGGAGAGTCGGAAACTTTTCGAATATTCTGTATATAAATTTTAGTGTTAAGTTTATTGTATCCAATATGGACAGAACGCCTAATAAATAGAATACCGTTTTACATTGAGGATACGAAACAAAATTGTATACAAATTTGTAATCCAGGAAATGTACACTCACAAATATCTGATCGTGATAAGTTTTTGAAGTTTTTTGATAATGTCAAAGGGGGATTATGCTTTTTTTTGAACACAGGTATGTAAAGTAAATTATAATAATTAATACGGATTAAACATTATTTTTACTGTTTGCGTGTTTGGCTTAATTTTAATATTACTTATGATATATGGTATTGATTTCCTGGATTATTACTATAACATTGACTATCTATTCGTTTTTTTCTCTGCTTGTACCAGAAATCCTAGTTTCAGCCTCGAACTATCTTCGGGTTTAAGTACCACTTTAAAGCCCTACTTCCAAACTGGGAACCTAGACTTCATGTCCTTCTAATGAGGAGATCTCCTTTAACTGAAAAAAAAAATCGTATTGATAAACTAAGTTATAAAATATCGCTAACAGTGCAATGCTATCTTAGAAACAAGCATTTATGAACCTTTAAAATTTGGAATATAGAAAAATTCAGATTGTTAAAATTAATATAATTCATGATTTCATTCAAGTAGCACTCTAAATTCCTTGATATACCTGGACTGAGGCACCATATTTTTCTCAGATATTTTTTGAACCTATAGTCCGATTTGAATGAAATTTGGAACACATTTATGTTTTGTTAGTATTCAACTTTTACAAAAAAAAAACCGAAATGGTTCAAAAAGGATGATAACAACCCCCACCCCTACATAAATTATAATAGAATTTTTTCTCAACTGTATAGCGACTCTGATTTCCGAGAAAAAAGTTTTTCGGAACTGATTTCTAGAAAAATTGCTTATCACATCAAGCCTTAAGATTTTTTGCGCCATATTGTTATATTCTGGAACTAAAATGGTGATTATATTGCCTCGAGTGATCACCCTGTAGCGCCTTACAGTGATCACATAGCGCCATATAGGCCGATAGATAGCCTAAACCGCTTCCGGTGGGAAATGGGCACATCTTCGGCAAATAATGCATAATTTGTAAAGGCGTATTATTCGCCGTCGGTGGAGGTTGTATCGGTTTGCTTATTTTGGATGACATGGGGGGTAGGGGAGTCTAGATGATGATTACGTCATCGAGAGTTATTAACATTTTTACACGAATAGCAACCCTCACATTGTCTTTGCTTGAAAAGGAAACGCATTTTCGGCGATTCCCGCAAATAATGCATACGTTTAGTGAACAGCGCGCGGTAATTCCCCTACTCGCTTTAGAACCGAGTAGGGGAATTACCGCGCGGTGCAATTCAGTTTGAAATCCTACCATAAATAAAGCCAGGAAAAAACTGAAACGATTTCAGGAAAATTAGATTTTTTCCGTTTGAAAACTTTCTAAGTGGCGTGTTGTTTGCCGCCATTGAAATTCAATTCAATTCAATTCAATGGACTTTATTGTAACACATACATAATTATGTATCCTTACAAATGGCGAAGTCTGGCCAATGGCCATTTATACTTAACCATAAATGTCAATGCTTATTACTACCTTCAAAATAAAATAAAAAAAAAAAAAAAACTGAAAAAGAAAAGGAAAAAGAAGAATAATAGTAAAAGAAGAATTAATAAATATGACATAATGCGTACGATTAGAACAAGAAACATAATACGTACGATTCAAAGAGAGGACAATAACCTAAGAGCTCAATAAGTAGTTTTTATATTTTTTTTTAGAAAAGTTGCTGATGAAACATTGTTCGAAAGAGTTGATCAATTTCACCGCATTATACGTAAAAGACCGTTGAAAAATGGCTGTCCTATGTTGTGGCATTGTCAGGAGATTAATGTTGCGCGTATTCAAATTGTGAATTAAATTCCTACGAACAAGCTTTTGCATAAGATAAACGGGAACAGAAGTTTTTAATATTTTTACGACAAATGTAACAAAGTTGTATTTGAAAAGATCAGAAATTTTCAACCAATTCATTGAAGATATTGAGTGAGAAACATGATCGTACCTTCTTAAATTGTTTATGTAACGACTACATGAGTTTTGAATTTTTTGCAGTCTGTATTTTGTGATTTCATCCAGACAGGGATAATAAACTATGTTGCAGTAAGCGATTTTACTGAGTATGAGTGACTCGCATAACATTTTCTTAATTTTTCTATTTAAAACAGTTTTACTTGCATATAGAAGCCTGAGTCTAAAATAACTAGACTTACACACATAGCCAACATGCTCCTGAAATCTGAAATCTTCATCCAAGTACAAACCTAAATTTTTTGCAGAATGGGAAAATATTAGGATACTATTATTTATTGATAAATTTAACTTTGATTTGAGGAAAGTACGTTTTTTCTTGGAGCAAAAAAGTATAGCTGTCGATTTCGATGCGTTTAGACGTAAATTATGTTTTTCAGCATATGTGCATAAGTATTGTAGATCTTGATTGATAAGGTTGTTAGCTAAATGGTAGTTGTTCGGACAGAAATTATGAAAAACCTGCATATCATCAGCATATGATTGACTAGAACAATGTTGAAGGGTGTTGGAAATGTCAAAGGTGTATATAAGGAATAAAAGTGGACCTAATATGGATCCCTGAGGCACGCCGGAACAAATCGGCCTTTTGTCTGAAAGTTTATTTTGTATGACGACATATTGATGTCGTTCATTTAAATAGCAATCTATCCATTCCAGAACCAAGTCGTCACACCCAATGTATTTACATTTAGAAACTAACAGCTTATGATTCAGGGTGTCAAAAGCCTTGCTGAAATCCAATAAGACTAATGCAGTTGCTTCTTGCCTATCCGCCGCTGTTAGTACATCGTCACAAACCCGTGCCAAAGCGGTAGTGGTACTGTGACCCTTTCTAAAGCCTGATTGATTTAATGGCAAAATGCTGCGTTCGAGTAAATAATCATTCAACTGCATATAGACTATTTTTTCTAGAATTTTTGATAGAGCTGACAGCAAGCTAATAGGTCGGAGATCACCAGGAACCTGGGGATTGGGAATCTTTGGAAGAGGTTGCACTAATGTTTCCTTCCAAGCACTTGGAAAAACACCGCGCTCTAAACAACAATTTATTAAGTGCAAAATGTATATTCCTACAGCAGGTAGACACAATTTAATCATCTCAATGGTAATGCCATCAATACCACTAGAATTGGACTTGATACTGCGAATAGCATCCAATACTGTAGATATATCGATAAGACGGAACTGAAAATGAAAATCTTGGTTTAATTTGTTATGGCTATAAAATTCGATAGTTTCCGAGCAATCATCGTCACTTTTCTGGAATATACTGGTAAAATAGTTATTTATTTCATTGGGAACTGCTAAGTCATCCGGAATGTCAGTATTACTAGAATCCTGAATTCTAAATGACTTAAGAGCTTTATAAAGAGCTGCAGAGTTTCTTTGTCGAGATAGATGTTGAAGGTAGCCTGATTTCTCTGCACGTGTAGCAGTTTTGGTAAAATTTCTCAGTTCATTGTAATGATTTCGATTCGCATCCGTTCGAGACCGTCTATATTTATGAAAAGCCTTATCTCGTTCTTTCATTATCATTTTCAAATTGTTTGTGAGCCATGGTGCACGAGGCTTAGACACTCTCACTGTTTTTAGTGGTGCATGTATGTCAAAAAGTCCTACAATGTTATCGGAAATAAATTTTACTTTCTCATCGATATTAGCCATATAAATAACTTCAGCCCAATTAACGCTAAATAAGTCATCGTCAAAAGAGGTTAGATCAAAATTGCGATAGTCTCTAAATGTAATTAGTCTAGGTGGTGGTTTATTGTTTTTACACGAAATGTGACAGAATACAGCCTGATGATCACTAAAGTTAACAGTGAAAGTTCCCACTTTGGAACATCTTTGTGCACAGTTGAAGAAAACCGGATCTAAAAGCGTTGAAGAATGATCAATTATTCGAGTTGGTTCATTCAATAACTGGTGCAAGCTATAAGATTGAAAGCACTGATTAATCTTATTATCAATAAAGAAATTAACGTTGAGGTCACCAAGTACCAAGATGCATTCATTCGACGGTGCTAAGATGGACAACGTATTATCTAATATGCTTACTGCAACATCCAAACTTCCCCGAGGCGGTCTATAAATAACACCAACTACAATACATTTACGGCCAATACGAACCTTGAGCCAAAGCATTTCTAGAGAAGTACGATCATATTCCTCAAACGATAGAATTTCTGATGAAAAACGATTTTTGACATAACAGCCAACCCCACCTCCGCGACTACCACGATCACGACGATAGAAGTTATAACCAGAAATATCTACTGAATTTGTTGGAATATCTGAAGACAGCCATGTTTCTGTAACAGCCACTACATCGAGATCCATATCATTAACCATGAAAGAAAGGTCCGCCATTGAAGGAAGAATTGATCTGGTATTAGAGTGAACAAATTTAATAATGTCAGCCATAGTTAATTCTACTTCTCAAATTATCAAAATGGCTTTTAAAAACAGTACAACAGCTAGAGTAAGACGCGTGATCAGTTGGTAGACCCTAACTTCGTATTTATTACCGTTTCCAAAATCTTCATAATTTGAAACTCCCGGTATATGATCAGGATAAAAATTTCTTTGCTGGATAAATCGGACGCTTAGATACCGAATCTGAAGTCAATTTGTCCAACCTCCATCTGACTATAATATCACTCACCTCGTTTTGATCACTAAAGCGCGACGTCACAGCAACATCATCCCTACAGGATCGGTGGCAAGAACGTCCCGGAATCGTTGAGGTTAGCGTCCAATTTGGAAACGCTGTCGTGCAATCTCGTCTCGACGATCTTTGCCTTCACCACTTTTTCGACGGCACCTTTCGGCAAGCCTGGCACCGAGCAGCGATGCGATCTGGACTGCCCCGTTCCACCACCTGAAGTACTTGAGGAGGAAGAAAGACTGCCTCCACCGCCGCCACTGGATAGATAAGACGTTTAAAATTGCGTCAAGTAGCGTCGATAAACGTATCCCACCAGAAGATGCCCAATCGATAAAGATACTTTAATTTTTTAATCCAGTTATTTAAGAGTCAGTGTAGGGTGTCTGAAAAGTCCACCATACTAATTTCTATAACTATCTAAAACTGTAATGACTCATCGATGTTCACGTGAACATCACTTAACTACCAGTAGTCGGCTGTTCATAGGCGGGGTATGAATGTTTAACATGGATGAACTAGATTTGTCACATGCTTAATAAAGAGTGGTTTGAAACATATTGTAAGTTAAAAATTTGGGAATTACCTTTATTCATCGTCGCTTCCACTTACATCTGACAGTAATAAACTGTCGCTATTGCTTTCCTCGTTGAAATTGACTATAACTGGCTCTATGATGGTGTCACATTTTTGTTTCTTCCTTCACAACATGACGGATAGCATTCTGCCAAGCTTCGGGCGTTACTAGCTGTATGGAAGTCTCAAGTAAAACCTTAACGTCTGGTAATTTGAAGGTTGTGTTATGGCGCGCAATATAACCCTTCACTTGAGCCCAGATGAGCTCTATTGGGTTCAGTTCACAGTGGTAGGGCGGTAACCGCAGCACAGTGACACCACATTGACGGGCCATCTCATCAGTCAGGTAACTAATGTTCGCAGGTTGCTTCATGTCACTTTTTCGAGATCCCATAGTCGGTACACGTTCGGCTCGTCGACTATGGTAGGAAGCATTATCCATGACGATCACAGAGTTGGGCTCAACTCGCTGAAGCACCCCTTGAAACCAGCTCTCGAAGCAGCTGGCATTCATTTCGTCATGGTAATCACCTCCTTTCTTAGAGACGAAAATCAAGTCACACTCTTCTAAAAAGCCACTATCGCTACCAAATATGAGTTACGATCAATCTTTGAGCTTTCCCTGACGGTCCACGAAGACCTGTTGACAAACCTTCAATGCTTGCTTGTCGGTTACTCACTACGTTTTTGTCTATCCAGGTTTTTTTAACTGTGTGACCTGCATTTACCCATGTCTCGTCCAAAAATTTTTCTGCTTTGTCGCCTATATTCAATCATTTCGCGTAGGTATTTTCGACGCCAGGCGACTATTTCAGGTCTCTCTATCAATACTGACTTCCGATTACGCGTTTCGTAACCAAAATTAATTTCGTGCAGGGATTTCCTCATTACCTCGACGCTCATTTGGGGTATAATTTCATTTTCCTTGATCGCTGCATGTACAGCCTTGAGGGTTGGTATCTCATTCCTAAAGAAGAATGAATGTACGGTTCGCCTTAACGCCATTTTGCTATCGTCATCCAATTTAACGGCCTTTCGTCCCTTCAAATTAAACTTTGGATCAGTAGTAGCTCCAGTTTTCTTCTTTTCATGCACCACCCTGCGAATGGTCCACTCTGGAACGCCTGTCATACTTTCACAACGCGCGAGTGCATCTCCCTGCGACATAGTTCTGTTCAGATAATTGAACACGTTGAGCACGATTTCTTTCGCGTCCCTCTTCAGTGCTTTACGAAGCCGTCTACTTGTTCCCTGGCTTTCAGTACTTCCACTCGTGCCATTTGTACTCTCCATGGTTAAGTATAACCAAAACAGTAACCACAGAAACCACAACAATAACAATCACACAACAATTCTTATAAAAACACACAATATGCGATCGCTCAACGAAACACGTTCCAATGCGTTGCCGACGCCTATGAGTCTGCCGGTCGAGGCGCGTCTTTGATTTCATTGGTTCTACCGGCTGAGAACAATCAGCCATTATTTCCATCTCTGTCTGTCCTGTTGACCACCGCAAAGCCACAGAAACGACATATGTCGTACGCTATACGGCTGTACTGGAAGGAAGCCGGGATCGAGCTCTGATCACGTGTTGATCACGCGTATGAGTCATTACAGTTTTAAATAGTTGTAGTATAGGCCTTGCGATTGATAGGAGTTTCCCCAGTTATCCAATAGTGACCTTGGCTTTGACCTAAAATATAACCTTCAAGGCCATAGGAAGGTCAAGTCGATTTTCTTAACGCAACCCCCCATTTTTGAGCCCGTAAACGAAAAGAGCAGAATCTTTTACGTTATTGACCATTGTTAAATTTTGACTTTGAAAGGTCATGATCAAGATCAAACCCAGGTGCGGTGATATAACTTGAAACCTAGTAGACGTATGGAGAAACTATCGAGGCATTATTTCAATGATTTTTCCCGGGATATTCAATGATGACCTTGGATATTAACTTGGCAATGGCATACAAGATCATTTGAAGGTCAACTCCTTTTTTTTACTGGGACCCTATACTTTTGATCGCGGAAATGGAAAATGTTATGTTCGAATATATCCTTGAGCATTTTTGGAATTGACCTTGGACTTAGCCATCAAGGTCAAACACAAGTTTACATCAATTTCTGATAATTCAGAAAACTGAGTTATCCCCAGATAAACTACCTTCACTGATTAGTACTTGTTCCCTAGCTACAAAAATCTAATTGACCTTAACATGCCCTTCAAAGTCATCATGGTTAAGGTCAGATCCAAGGTCACAATTGGGTATCAGGGAAAATCATGAAAATAATGTCTCGGTAGCTTATCTATACGACTACTGGTTCTCAAGTTGTATCGCCGTACCTGGGTAAGACCTTGATCATGACCTCCTAACGTCAGAGTATTTTTTGGACGTGTAATTTAGGCATCTTCTCGGAAAACACACTAATAAATGATGCCAAGAAAGTAAACGAAATTTACCTAGCCAGATCACCTGCCACGTTAGCCTCAGAGTGACTGTGACGAAGGTCGGTTCCTGACGATGATTTCTGCTGACTACTTCCTCCTCCAGAAGTGATCCAGGGGTGTCGCAAAGCCTCGTCAGGTAGCGGACGTCGTTTGGGGTTCCAGCTGTTGAAGAGAATTCATTACGATTTGAAATCCATCTATATTATAGAACGCAAAAAAATGTGACAAGTTCACATTAGGAGTGAGCTATGCAAATGCTTCTTCCGAAAATTGCAGTTAGTAAGCAACTAGGGAATACCTCAGTACCGATCGCCGGGTGGATGTACAAGTGTGCCAACGGGCCACTTTAGGTCTATTTAACAACCAAAAGGAAGGTGGAAGACAAAGACTAGTCGATCGAAGCGGTACCATCCGCTAGCTTTTTCTAGGTTAACTTAAGAATGTCAACACTTGAGCAACGCAGTCTGCTTTCTTCCCTTTACCTTCATAACAAAGAAATTCATGATTCTACAGTATATTCAGATAAGAGATAGACCGGATGTAAACAAAAGGTTCGGGTGATTTTCACGCTAACGCCGCCGTCTCGACGTAAAACAGGAGCCCTCATTGGTCAATTCGCAATTAAATGCCTATGCCGAGCGGCAGAGCAGTCGTATCAAGGCAGAGTCACACTCAGGTTCAGACGTGTTACGTATGTCGTGTGCATCATTGCAATTTGATATTTCTTTGGACGTTTTCGTTTGTTATCTTATTAAGTTGTTGAGTTTGTCGTTGTTATTGTTATACCTTGTTATTGATTGTTATTGTTATCAACTGCTTGCGCAAAATGCCCAGTAGTACAGATACTGCCGATGAAGTTGTAAACTCCTGTAGTCCACCTAGGAAACGCTCTAAAAAAAGACACCTGAATGCAGAAATGAAAGAGGTCATTTTGAATATTTATAAGATCGAGCGCGAGGAGAACGAGGCATCAACCATCAAAGAAATTGTTGTGAAGGTTTCTCACAAAGTTGGGGTGTGTCGCGCATCAGTGTTTAATGTGTTAAGACAATACAAAAAAAATCACACCTTTTCTGAGCCAATGACCAGTAAACATCGCAAAAGTATTGTTAAATCATTGGATGAAGCTGATAAGCATGCGATTAGGAGGAAAGTGCATGAATTCTTCTTTAGGAATGAAATACCTACTATAGATAAAGTACTGCAGGAGGTAAATGGAGATACAACGTTGCCAAATTTCAAACGATCAACTTTCCATGCGTTACTGAAGCATTTAAATTTCAAATGAAAAAAACGGGGTCGTAACAGTTTACTACTGGATAGAGAAGAAATTGTGCTATGGAGGAGGGATTAATTTAATTCATACTTTAAGCTTTATAAAGTTATAATTTGTTAATATTAATATTTGCGCGTATTTCAGGTTCCTGATCATTCATTTTTTAAAGGTTTATAACTTTAAATTAAATTGTGAAGCGCTGAGTAATCATACGACGTTCAATATTCTTTCTTTCAATATGACTAAATAATCCCAATTATAGCAATCTGATACTCATGTCTCAATGTTTTTTCGCTGAATGTGATGAAAACATTTGGAAAAGGTTCGCTTATTGAAATAAATCTACACCAGTTAGTACTTCGATCTCCAGGTAAAGGGAAAAGGCTCATTATCTGCCATATTGGCAGTGAGGATGGATTTGTTGTTGACGGTCTGTGGTGCTTTGAGTCTAAGAAAACTGGAGATTACCACGAGGAAATGAATGGCGAATCGTTTGAACAGTGGTTTTCAAAAATTTTACCGAACTTAGAGGAAAACGCAGTAATTGTGTTGGATAATGCGCCTTATCATTCTCGAAGAATGGAGAAGGTCCCAACAACGGCTTCAAGGAAAGTTGATGTTCAAAATTGGCTCCGCTCGAAAAATATCAACTTTGAAGAAGCAATGCTGAAAGTACAATTATTAAGAATTGTCAAGGATCACAAGGCGGAATATCAAAAATACGCCATTGACGAAATGGCAGCAAGTCAAAATAAAACTGTGCTCCGTTTACCTCCATACCATTGCGAGCTCAATCCCATTGAGCTCATATGGGCAGAGGTTAAAAATTATATAGCTAAGCACAATACAACTTTTAAATTTTGTGACCTCAAAGGACTTTTCAAAGAAGCACTAGAATTAATAACAGCGCAAAAATGGGAAAACTGTATTAAGCACGTGAAAGACAAAGTTGAAAAGATAATGTGGGAACTGGACAATATTTTAGAGGAACAAGTCGAGCCATTCATTATTGTCGTTGGTGCTTCAGGCAGTAGCGATGATGAAAGCTCATCAAGCTCATCTTTCCAATAAAAGATGTCGTTCATCAAATTCGGTAAGTTATAAGTAATTATAAAGCTACTGTATTTTTTAATTAATTATTGACATTTTTGAACCCATTTTGGCAAAACCTATTCAAGAATCTACTTTCTGACAATGTTCAACCATGCACATTTTTTTACGTTTTGAACGTTTTAATTTGGTTACATATTTACCTAGAAATCAAAAAATATACTAATCAATATTCTAAAAGCAATTTTAAGAGATATACGATTATTTTTAATTTAGGCTAATTTAAACGCCATTTTGAGATTATATTCGACTGTATTTCACCAAACATCAGGCGGCATCCGAAGCTGGAAATCGAAGCGAACATTTTGAAACCCTTATGTATATTTACATCATTATATATTTCTTACCCCACCCCCACATGATCCTATATCCATCACCAATCGTATACACATCGAATTGTGCTAATTTGCTACAAAGTTACGCAAAGCAGCATCTACTATCTAAAATATGTACTGCGTGACTCTTAATACGTCCCTGCCGAATGTTACAGCGTTCGATGATCACGTGGTCTTGTTTATGTCCGGTCTATCTCTTATCTGAATTATACTGTATAAACAAAATCGATGTTAAAACCTTCATTTGCGGGATTAACAGCGACATCGATGCTGTTCACCACTATCTGCATTCTAATCGACCCGACATGCTTTTCGTGACGGATACCAAAATCTCAGATTCTGCACTGATTAATCATCTTAGCTTCCCAAATTAAGAGGTTCTCTTCAATCTGAAGAAGAACGAGGGAGATGTGACTTTTGTCTGCAGCAGTATTTCCTACTCCAGAGACGTTTCTTTGGAATCAAGCAGGAAAACCGTTCTGTGGCTTCGCCTCAACTCCAAAACATCCCCCAAACTTATTTGCTGTCTTTATCGCTCTCCCTTGGACCATAAGTGGGATGACCATCTCGCTGACAAGTTCGACTTCCAGAACATCAGTCGCCCTGCTTCAGACGTAGTCGTTCTCGGTGATTTCAATGCCAATAACGAGCTGTGGTTAGGCTCGTGCAGTTGAAGCGTTCGCTCTTACTCAAGGACCGAACCCAGCTGGTGACGAGGCCTACTTTTTTTCCCGCGTTTCGTCACGCGCCAGTGGCCTGCTGGATCTCTCTCTAACCACGCACCCTGTGCTTTAGAGCACTGCTGTCCTGTCTCCCTGGGTAAGGTGACCTCGAAGCAGAGGAGATCATGTTTTGGCCACAACCGACTGTGGCAGCAGAAACTCTGCTGGTCCGGACTTGATTCCCACCGTTGTAATGATGAGATGTGTAGCGGAGCTTGGGCCAGTTCTTTCACGTCTCTTCCGGATACTTTACGAATCCAGCACTTTCCCAGAAAACTGAATGGAGAGGTTCATAAATCGGTAGCTTCTGGAATACCTTGAACATCACGGCATTCTTAGCAGTATGGATTCCGGCACCGATAAGGAAAGTAATCCTGTGCCTGTCTGTGTGTGTTTAGGGAAGGCTTGCGAGTCTTGTCACATTACTTTTCAATATTACTTGCGAATTAAAAAGTTTGTGTCACATAGGATAGTATAAAAAGCAGTTGTATTATAACAAAAGTAAAAACTTACTCCAAACATTTCGACAAGAAATCGATGAAAAGCGGGTCATTGCACCTGAGCACCATAGCCAAATTTTTCGATCCCGGTTTTCGCTTCCTGCCTTTGGAGTTCGTTATGCAGCGAGGATTTCCACGGGAATCTAGAAAATTGACCGTAGAATAATTTGAAAAAAAAAAAACAATGACGATATAGATACCGAAACGCAGTAGGCATAGATTTGAGGTTGAGTGACCATGAACAAAGGGCGTTGGAATGGAATGGATGGATAGTTGCAGCGTAATTCGGGTTACGTTTTCATTCGAAAGCGGAATGTCATTAATTTTGTGCAGCCTGAAGTCAATTTTAGAACAATTACGGTTTTATTACAGGTTCATTAGTCGATACATTGAATGTTCTGTAGAGGAATAGACCTTTGAACTGGAATAAAACAAGGAAGCCGTTATAAAGGTCGTTGTATTAGATGAGATTATGCCACGAACGAGTACAAAGGGCACTCTGGAAGACCCGGTTTTAATCATTTTCTGAGCATTTGGAGATGTATTATACAGGGTGTCCGCAAAGTTGGGGTTTTCCCTTACACGACGTATAGATCTTGAAAACATAAGCAATTTTTCTTAGTACCATATACACCAATGTCTTAAGGGAACCGAGATAAAGGGCTCTGTAACATCAAAAATATCTGAATACCGTCCTGTAGCCGCGACCCGCCGGGATATCCCCGACACCCCAAATGGTACAAGGTCTCAACCCGACGGCAGAACTGGGTCGGGGTCAGTGTGTCAGGTCAGTATGCAACCTTCAACCAACGGTTACGGTCACGCGTGTAGAGGTAATCGCGTAGACGAGAATCCCTCAACAAGCACTAGAGACATGGCTAGAGAAGTTCAAGTATCAAAAACTAAAGTGTGGCAAACGCTGCGTGAAGAGAGGCTGTATCCGTATCACGTCCAACGTGTACAAGCCCTTCAACCTGACGATTTTCCAGCAAGAGTGCGGTTTTGTGAGTGGTTGTTGCATCAACATGACAATAATCCGGACTTTTTGAAGTGCATATTGGTGACAGACGAATCTACGTTCACGCGTAATGGGGTGAATAACTTTCGCAACACTCATGTTTGGTCATTTTCAACAAACATTTTCGGTGAATGTTCGGGCTGGCATGGTGAACGGTATGCTCATTGGACCATTTATTCTCCCAAATCGATTTTACGGGATGCAATACCTAGACTTTTCACGCAACATTTTGCCTTCCTTGTTAGAAGATGTGCCATTAAGTGTAAGACAATCAATGTGGTTTCTGCGTGTGCTCGCTGGCGCTTCAGATGATTTCATTTTCTGTTGGGGCGGTATGATTTCGGGCAGAGACGTACTTAGCCCTTCTCGTCAACTGGAGAGTGAGTACTTTTTCCTTTATTTTTTTTTACTTGGTCGCCCTCGTTTCACTACACATTACCATTGTTATTTCAAGGGTAGTTGTTTCTGAAAAGGAAAACTCCAACTTTGCGGACACCCTGTATATTTTGAGTAGCTTTTTAAATGTTGCCTTTGCCTTCTGAAGCTCTCATTGTGTTTGTTTTTCGGCATAAGCAGGAAATATATTACTGAATCTACAGAGATCAAACTTATTTCGTTCACTCGAGGAATGAAAAGGTCACTAATCATGAATCCAAAGCGCACCCTATAAATGTTTCTTCGAAAGAACGTCCGTGTGGCTCTAAATACATTTGAAAAACTTGTTTTTTATATATTTCGGAAACTTTAAGATATCACTAGCTTACCAAAAAACAGACGTCTTCTAGTAGCAAGGTTGATCAGTTCGTCAGGTGGTGGTCCTAAAACTTCCATAAGACAGGCTAGTTGTTCTACCTCATTTTCTCCAGGGAAAAGGGGATATCCTGTATATAATTCTGCTAAAATACAACCTGAAACAAAGTGAAAAATAATATTAAGCCCTGTCACCAACCTGTCACACGGCCGGATCCCAGACACAGTCACCGACCACTGTACGAACAAATTTCTCATATCAGTCTGTATTTTTGAAATGATTTCTGACGTTTCATCGGATCATGTGAAATTGAGGATAAAATCTTTGGTTGCAACAAAAGAAAAGTAAGGTTGACAGGTTGACAGCGTCGTTTAAAAAGTCTGAACATTGAAGGTTTTCTTGCCTCTTATCACATAAAAGCTCAAAATATGAGGGTACTTACCTAAACTCCACATATCTATGGCAGTACCGTAAGTTAATCCCAATATCACCTCAGGAGATCGATAAAATCTTGACTGTATATAAGTGTAAACTCTTTGGTTTGAGTAACAAGAACTACCGAAGTCTATAACCTTTATTGAACTACTACCTCTTTGCTTCAAGAGGACGTTTTCCTAGAATGACAAAAACACATTTTAGTGAAAATTCTGCAATTAATTATAAATATCTTTATTAGAATCACAACAACCTTATTGTGTGAGGAAATATGTAAAGGGTTGTCCAATAGGGACGCAGAAAAGTAAACGTCAACTTGACATATACGCCATCTTTGTTTTCTGTCACCGACATGTCATTTTGTTAGTTGAATGTTTACCATTGATCGCTATGGAGTCGTATTCGATTGAAGACCGCATTAAAGTTATTCAAGAGCACTACAAAAATGGTGCAAAAATAAAAAACACGTTTCGCGCGCTTCGTGAACATTTCGGTCGCAACAACCGCCCAAACGAAACAACCATCGGTCGTCTGGTGCGTAAATTCGAGGCAACAGGTTCTGTGGCAAATCTGCCAGGCTCTGGCCAGCCAAGGAGCGTTCGCACACCGGAAAATATTGCTGTTGTGAAGGAGAGTGTGAGAGACGATCCGAAACAATCAACAACGCGTCGATCCCAAGAATTGGGCATTTCGAGAACCAGTTTGCTCCTCATTCTCCACAAGGATTTGAATGTACACGCCTACAAGATCCAATTGACGCAAGAGCTGCGTCGGGCCGACCATTTTTCGTGCCGAACGTTCTCAGATTGGCTCCTTGAACACCGCCAAATTGATGCCAATTTTTCATCAAAAATCTGAACATGATCCGCATCTGGGCGAACGAAAATCCCCGTGAGTATCAAGAGCAGCCGATGCATCCTCAAAAAGTGACTGTGTGGTGTGCATTGTGGTCAAAAGGCATCATCGGACCTTACTTTTTCGAAAATGCGGCCGGGGACGCCGTTTTCGTCAATTCTGAGCGATATCACGTGATGATAGAGGACTATTTTTTGCCGCAACTTGAAAGAATGGATATGGACGATGTTTATTTCCAACAAGACGGTGCAACATGCCACACAACCAACGTCAATATCCATCGATTGCAGTCCTTCTTCGGTGATCGTGTGATTTCGCGCAGAGGAAATGTGCCATGGCCACCATGATCGTGCGATTTGACTCCCTTGGACTTCTTTTTATGGGGCTATTTGAAAAGCAAAGTCTACGTTAACAAACCAGCCACCCTCCAAGAACTCAAAAACAACATCATTGCCGAGATAAATGCCATAGAACCGACCATGTTGCAAAATGTCATTGAAAACTTCGATCATCGCGTGGACGACTGTAAATCCAGTCGTGGTGAACATTTGAGCGATATTATTTTTCATACATAAATGGTATAAATGAACCTTCAAAATAAAGTACCCAACTTGATTTGAATATCAATCTTTCTTGTTTTAATATGCGTTTACTTTCCTGCGTCCGTTTTGGACAAGCCTTTATATAAAGTACAAAAAGAACCTAAAATAAATTAAGTTCAACTGAATTATTCTTGTATTTTTCGATCTATTACACATTTCTTACTAATTTTTTCTTCTTATATGTATATATTTATATATTTCTGACCTGAATATAGCACAAAAAACTGTTTTGAAAGCCATTTTCCATAAGCCAAGATTATATCCAACGAACAACTTATATCAAGAAACAGGGATACTTGATACAAGACAACTTTATTTCTTACATGCCACCACCTTATACCATAAGTATTGTAATAAAAAGAAAAAATCCTATAAACACGAGCATAACACACGATTTCGAATAAAGATACTTAATTTTGGAAAAAAATTTAGAAGAAAATTGAAAGACTGGGTTAGTAATGTGCAGCGAATGACTATACATAATTATATAGAAAACTAAAAGTACAAAATTCCAATTACATTAATACCTTTTAGATTTAACAATAATTGTTATACACATATATGATTGATTGTTAGTTATTAAGATATAAACCACACACAGGCGATGCCTTCTGTGGTTTTTTCATATTTATTTGCCCATTTTTTGTATTTTGGCGAATAAATATTATTATTATTATTATATCTACGGTTTCTATTATAAATACATTTTGGATACTTACTGGCTTGAGATCGCAATGTATGATATTTTCTTTCTGCAGAAGCCTCAGGCATTTCAAGAGTGAATTCGCTAAGCGCCTGATCAAGTTGAGACTGAATCCCTGGTAGTTATTTTTCTTGATCAGCTCGTACAGATTCAGGCTGAAATTAAAAGATTTATTAATACTATACGATTCAAACATATACAAATAAGTGTAAATGGCAACACTGGTTCATTAATGCAGTGTGCGCGTGAAGGGGGTCAAGCCGCACGTCGAGATTGCCCAGCGTTGCCATTTATAATTTGACAACAAATAAATTCATCAATGGATTTCTTTAAGCATGTAGAACCTGTTCTAATTTTTGCCAAGTTGGACGTGAAACTCCATGGTGACAACATTGTCGTCTCTTCCGTAGTATTGAATATCTTTTCAACTAAAGTATAGAACTTTGATAGAACTACAGTATTCAGCAATATTTTTTTGTGTTTATGAGATTCACTTCATTACCAAAACCACAATTCATATACTCGAAATGTTTTTAGCAAGAATTTGTTGTGTGATTGGCACTGTTGGCGGCACAAAAAACCAAAAAAATGTCATCTTGCATTCCACGTTTGCTCACTAGGATCGTTGTGAGCGTCCATCTAATGAGGAACAACTTAACTACACGCATTGTTGGTTGCATATGTCTTGTGAAGCCGAGTAGTCTGTAGTTTTCATCTCTGAGAAGGAAGTTGGTTGAATAGCAAGCAAAATTATTACTGAATATGCTGCCAATGACGTGTATCTATTAGCTGTGGCCGACGGGTTATTTAGATGTCCTTTTTGAAGACAAAGTTATAAACTACGATTTACGTTACTTGTGTTTTCAAAAACTTTGAGGAGAATTACGGGAAATCACTACCACGCCCACCATATGTAATTACTGTTAGCATGTATACAGGGTGTCCCAGAAGTCGACGTCAAGCCGAAACCGGGTGATAGGCAAAGTCATAACAGCTATCACAAAACTATTTAAAAAAATTGTATGTATGTGTTTTGAAAATTATAGGTCTTTGAAAAAAATATAGAAATTTCACACCCTACGGCAGTCTGTCAACTCCTGTTACTACAAATATTAACTTTTTTTGGATTTTATTTTTACAATGTAATGATGAATAATGCATCTTCAAACTGGTGTCTCAACCTTACTGCCAACTTTTCTCGTTCAGGAAAAATTGCCACTTATTTCCCAACCCAGTATTCCAAAGTAAAACTTTGCTCAACTTTAACTGGCTGTACTGGAAAAAAATGTACTACGAGAGTTTGGCAACTAACCTTAAAAGTTGGCGCATTTAATAAGGATTCCAAAATGGTATAACACTTAGCAGATTACTCGTTAACTTATGCACAATTTTTATTTGAAGAAAAACTGATGAAAATTTTTCAAAATTTCCTAATTAAACAGCGATTATGAAAACGCACAAGGACCCTTAAGGATAACTGTTTGCACAACAGTGGGCGTCAAAATGCTGCTGATGATGATTTACCTTTACAGCAAATGCTCAAACTGTTTTCCTTCAGCCGCAATACACGCTCGACATCTTCTTAAAAAAGATCGGGTTATTAAACGAGCGAATCCACGGTTATTAACAAACTCAGCTGCTTCCAATAGTCTTTGCCGTAGCTCAGCTACATTTTGAATCGGCTTGAAATACACTTTTTCTTTTACAGTTCCCCAGTAAAAAAATCTAACGGATTCAAATCTGGTGACCGGGCTGGCCACGGTATTGTACCAGACCGCCCTATCCATCTGCCTGGAAAGTTTTGATCGAGATACTCTCTCACTGAGAGTGCATAGTGCGCTGGGCAGCCATCATGCTGAAACCACATGTCCCTGTAAATACTCAGTGGCACGTCCTCCAATAAATTTTCTAAATGATTTTGCAAAAAACCTAAATAAACCTCAGCAAAGTCTCTGGGAACTCAAACGGACCGATTATTTTACCATTTAAAATTCCTGTCCAATGGTTTATCTTGAAGCGATACTGAGATTTATCTTCTCTCATCAAATGTGGGTTTGCTACGTGCCACTCGTGTAAGTTATGCAGGCTCATGTACCCATCTTTCTTAAATGTGGTCTCATCTGACCGTAAAATTTTTTCAAAGAACCGTGGATCTTCCCTGTGTCTTTCTAACATTGTGTGACAAAAAGCAACTCGGGGCTCATAATCCCGGGACAGAAGAGCTTGAACAGTCTGTACGTGGTATGGATGGAGCACGTTTTTTTGCAAGATTCTATGGGCTGTACTTTTGGGCACACCTGTTTTTAGTTCTATTGCACGCCCTGAAGTACTCGGGTCTTCTTCGACAGCTCCTAGCACCACGTCTTCGTAAGGAAGGAAAGATCTTCCCTCACCGTGTGATTGGATTGGTAGTTGGCCCTCTCAGAACAGTAAGCGGTGCACATTTGTGAACACTCGATGATCTGGATGACGAGCTGCATTCAGGTACCTCTCACAGTAAAGTCTCGCTGCAGCACTAGCGTTGCATCTGCATTCCCCATAAATGAGGTGCATGTTAGCATATTCTTGTACGGTGTAGACGGACATAGCGGCACTGCACAATCACACTATCAAAGATAGCCTAAGGAAAGCAAATGTTGTTTTGAAGAGCAATTAAACAGTCCAAATTCAAATCACAAGCGATCAACAGTCCAGTTCACGAATCCAAAATTAGTAACAGTACGAAATCAACAAGCACGAACATGTAAAGATGCGCAGTAAACCAAGGAGTACTGATCGGTATCAAAGTGTGCAATAGCAAGTAAGTGATGTGCTTCATTCATACCACATACAGCGTGTTCAACCTCTCCTGCCCCGGGATTATGAGCCCCGAGTTGCTTTTTGTCGCACAATGTTAGAAAGACACAGGAAAGATCCACAGTTCTTTGAAAAAATTTTATGCTCGGATGAGACCACATTTAAGAAAAATGGGTACATGAACCTGCATAACTTACACGAGTGGCACGTAGCAAACCCACATTTGATGAGAGAAGATAAATCTCAATATCGCTTCAAGATAAACCATTGGACAGGAATTTTAAATGGTAAAATAATCGGTCCGTTTGAGTTCCCAGAGACTTTGACTGCTGAGGTTTATTTAGGTTTTTTGCAAAATCATTTAGAAAATTATTGGAGGACGTGCCACTGAGTATTTACAGGGACATGTGGTTTCAGCATGATGGCTGCCCAGCGCACTATGCACTCTCAGTGAGAGAGTATCTCGATCAAAACTTTCCAGGCAGATGGATAAGGTACAATACCGTGGCCAGCCCGATCACCTGATTTGAATCCTTTAGATTTTTTTACTGGGGAACTGTAAAAGAAAAAAGTGTATTTCAAGCCGATTCAAAATGTAGCTGAGCTACGGCAAAGACTATTGGAAGCAGCTGAGTTTGTTAATAACCGTGGATTCGCTCGTTTAATAACCCGATCTTTTTTAAGAAGATGTCGAGCGTGTATTGCGGTTGAAGGAAAACAGTTTGAGCATTTGCTGTAAAGGTAAATCATCATCAGCAGCATTTTGTCGCCCACTGTTGTGCAAACAGTTATCCCTAAGGGTCCTTGTGCGTTTTCATAATCGCTGTTTAATTAGGAAATTTTGAAAAATTTTCATCAGTTTTTTTTCAAATAAAAATTGTGCATAAGTTAAGGAGTAATCTTCTAAGTGTTATACCATTTTGGAATCGTTATTAAATGCGCCAACTTTTAAGGTTACTTGCCAAACTCTCGTAGTACATTTTTTCCAGTACAGCCAGTTGAGCAAAGTTTTACTTTGGAATACTTGGTTGGGAAATAAGTGGCAATTTTTCCTGAACGAGAAAAGTTGGCAGTAAGGTTGAGACACCAGTTTGAAGATGCATTATTCATCATTACATTGTAAAAATAAAATCAAAAAAAGTTAATATTTGTAGTAACAGAGGTTGACAGACTGCCGTAGGGTGTGAAATTTCTATATCTCTTTCAAAGACCTATAATTTTCAAAACACATACATAAAATTTTTTTAAATATTTTTCTGATAGCTGTTATGACTTTGCCTATCACCCGGTTTCGGCTTGACGTCGACTTCTGGGACACCCTGTATGACTTGTAATTCGACAGTGTACAGTGCATATAATTATTCTTTATCTCTCTCATTTTTGAAATGTAGCAAATTTGCTTATGTAATTTCCAGAATGGATAAGAAAAAGTGGATGCGCAACTAATTTATAGCCTTACAAATATTATTAGCACAAAAAACCTATGCATTACCGTTTCCGTCTAGCTATAGTATACAGTTGCAGTTTAGAACTCGAGTGATGCCATCTCTGAAGCAGATTTTACATCACATCAGAGCCAAACATTGATAACTGAAGCATCATGACGTTTAGGCAACACGTATAACTACAAAACGAGTTCACAACGTGTCCAACAGGTAGAGCTAAGTTAACATCTACATAATGTCACGAAAGACAAAAACAATGTCAAAAAGATCGATATAATGTCACTTTATAAGATATTATGTAATGTGGAGGTATATTATGATGGTTGAGTTATGTAAGATTAGTAGTAACACTGTATGAGTCGTTTTCTTTCATATCATGATAATTAATCGTAAAGTTCAGTGCAAACTAGAATTTTTCAAGTGAAAGCGAATTTGATTTGATGGTAACAAATTACGTGCGATTTCTGCGTAAAAAAATTCGCGACACCCAACGTACGTTGATTAATGCGTACGCTACTAATAATCGGTGCAATTTCTCAACACAGCACAAAATTGCAACATTTCCCTTTTGTGGCAATGCACTCGTACACACGTATGTGTGTGTGTCCCAATGATTGAGATTTCACTCTAATTCGATCATTAAAGGCAAGAAACTTGATCAAATTGCGATAATTAATGATATCAGTCTATTAGAAATCCTCGTATGGTGTGATTGGTATTAATTGTGGGTATTGCCTACGTTTCTACACACATTAGTTGCAATAAGAGTATTGATATCACCTACAATTAGTTTTTCATTTTCAGAGTTTCTTTTTGAATCATTTGTCACTGCATCCTATTCCGCCTTTAGCCTATGGCACTAGGGGTACGTGGCCAGGGTCGCGGCTTGAACGAAGCTCCCTAATGCCCGAAAA